TGAGATATCAGGATTGAGGAATGAAATTTCGCAATGCGCAAGAAGATTAGCTTGCTAAGCAATTATAGATATAGTATAGTTTTCTGCATTAGTACACACTGTATAATGATCCCAGCCAACGAACCGAGAACCAAGTCAACCAGAGAGAGAGGAGGCCTATGTATGTATGTATGCTGTGTAAATTACAACCCTTACTTGGATTTGACTTGACATCCACGATCCATAATAATAATTTCCCATCATGCCTACTCCCTCATACGAGGCTCGTATTAACAAGTTGTATGTATGTGACCTATAGTTGGCTTGTTAGCGAGCTGGGGCTGACTTGGTTGCTCAACTTTACATAATACTGTATCAGCACCAAATAATAATATGACTACGATACAAATATGATTGCATTGCTGCAGGAGCATACACAGTAGAGTTTGTCGTGCCGTTGTCATGCTTCGTATGTATGTAGCTACGTATATTCCTGGTACGTAGCAGTTCCCAGTTTACTGAAACTTTCACCCGAAAGCCAGAAGGTTCGACAGAAATTGAGATTCGAGAGAGGAAACTGAGAGTAGGAGCGAATTGGATGAAAGTAAAAACATGGATGGGAACTACGGCAGGGGAGATGCTGGTGAAAGTTGGTTTGGTTTTTACGATGGTACAGATTTCGCTCTCTTCTTCCTGAGCAAACAGGAAGGGAGAAAAAAAGAGGATAAGAAAAATTGCAAAAGTTGACAGCAATAGAAATCTTGAAGATAGCAAAAATATAATGAAATATCCTGCCAAGCAATAAATAGTCGACTAAGCAAATACATACAACTCTACAAACTACCGCTATAAGAATAAGGGATGAGGATTAGGGATCAATTGCAGAGCGGAAAATTGAGTCTATTACACACACAGAGACAACAATAAGCCTTGGACACACACAAATAGTCTATTTCAATGAAAAAAGGAAAGGAAAATAGTTTGGAAATTGCCTGATGTTGGTGATGATGTAGGTGATGAAGATGATGGTGTGGAGTGTGTTGACTAAGGCCGTGCGAGTGAGGATGGCCATGTTGATGTTGGGGCAAGTATCCATTGGGGATTATTCCAGAGGGATTGTGGATCGGACACGGAGGGACATAATCCAAGAATTCAGGATCATAAAATGAACCAGAGTACTCCATACTCTGATTATATGTTATGGTTCTCGCGGTGTTATAGTGTTGGCTGGTGATACGAGCAGTATGTAGTCGAGTAGTCCCCGTCAAGGATTTCGCATCTAAATCTCTGGCAGGATCCACCACACGACCAACATGTACATTCGACGAATGGAAGGAGACAGCAGGACTACGTTGAGTATTTCCGTATTATATTTCCACTTCCACCGCCACCAAGGACTTATTTGCTGCCCTCTTCCACTACGTTTCCGCCGTGTACGTATAACGAGGAAGTATTTAGGACAGGCAACGAACCAAATCAGAAACCAAGACGAAGGAGAGGAGAAAGACACTTCTTTATACGTGTACTTCTTCTTCTATATGGGCACACACACCAACAACCAACCAACCAACCAACCAAACTTTCTCAATAGATAGAACATTCAGATTGTTACAAGTTGCACCACTACCACCACCACCACTGTTTTCTCCACCATCCGCTATTTGCGATGTGATATTAGGTAGTGGGACTATTTGGATGGAAGAATGGAATTGGCAAGAATGGAAGGAGACCCATCCAACTTTCTTCGGCTTTCACTTTTGTACAACCACCACGACTATTCTGCCACTCTTCCCAAACACACAGGGAATGAGGAGAGGGCAGCCAGTAGTACCAAGGAGGAGATCACTTTTGCTTTCACTTCAGTTTATTCCAGATTCGCTTTGTTGAACTTGGCCATTCCAACTTTCACCAAGTATTAGCCCAATCTCTCAAGATAGCGATGCCAGAAGACGAAGGGAGGAGGAGGGGAAAATTGAATGTTATAATATCCTTGTAAAGACCAAGGGCCACCAAGAAGGAACAGAACACGGCCTTGGTCGTTGGTCGTCTTCTTCTTGCCGTGCGGCGAATGGCTGTGTACTTTCAGTCCAAGTTATGTACAGATTGGACGCCTCTCTCGACTCTCTTACTTTCTCCAAACAAAAGTAAACTATGACGATACCATTACTTACTGTTGCCTACTCTCGCTTGACTTAACTACTCCCATTATACGTTACATTGGATTCCGCCCTATTATTATTAGAATAGACATGACTTTCAACATTAACATTGCTGTTTCACAGGATTGGGCGCAGAGATGTAGGTGGAAGTATCAGAGAGAGAACGAGGGTCGTTGCTGGAAGAGTAGACAGAGTTAAATTTCGAGTGGATTGGCTTGTTGGCAGAAGACTGCAGTAACTTTTGCTCTCTTCTGAGGATCTCTTGATCCCTTTATTAAATGGGTGGTGGACTTGCACTTTGTTGTTGTTGTTGCTGGGAATAGCGGCAGACACGATCGTAATATGCGGTTGGATTGCTGCTGCGACTTTCTCTCTCTCCCGGGGATGAAATTTTGTGTTTTCAATTCAATTTGGATTTGCTATGTTTCACATTTTCCATCTGACGATGGAGATGTGTGTGTGTGCTCGTACGACGATGAGGGAAGAGATCCGGATAGGATTTGATTTGCATTTACAACAACCTCCTACGACACATATCATCAAACCAACGCGTGGTAAGTGCAAGCCACTACACATGCGAGGTTTAGTGTCATTTTAGAACTCTAAATCTCTCGAATGTACATTTTCATACCACATTTTGTACACTACTCTTCCATTCCTTTATGTCATAACTCGTATTATTGCACTGGATAAAGTGGTGGTAATTAGCAGGATTAATAATGGCTACTACTCTCAGAGTAGAATGCAGTATAATTTATATGTAGTAGCACCAAAGATCCGTATAAATTATCACATAAGAAAGCATGTGTTTCGCTAAGAAGAGAGAGAGAGGAGGACGTGAACTCCAACACGGAAAATATGCACGGAGGAGCCAAGCAGTTGTTGGTAGAATTATGGGAAACGCTTCACTTCTCAATTTGCACCCAATGACCCAATGACTATCTACTACTCCACAAACATCGCGTGGTAGCCGTCTTGCTGCGTCATAGGAGAATATGCCGACTCAAATCCTAATCACTTTCTCCTAGAGGTTCTCGCACCACTTCACAAATCAAAACTTTATAGTCGCCGGTGTTAAAGTGAGAGGCAATGTTAATCTTTCTGCAACGTAGTCAAGTCAAATGATTTTAAAAAGTCAGACCGCCGCCGTTGTCGTCACCATCGTTCTGGATAGAACCACTCACTTGAACGATACAATTAAGCGAGTCCAATATGTAACGAACCGCACCGCAGTAGTAGCAGTGAAAGTCAAAGAGAAAATAACGGTCTTTTTTGGCTCCAGAAGTAGAAGTGAAACCAGAGACTTTCACTCGGACTCAGTTATATATGCGATGCGGTAACAAAGCGAGTCCCATAGTAAAACAAGAACTTGTATTGGTAGCCGTCGTGGTGGTACAAGTAGAAGTAGCGGCGTGAAGTGTGTTGTGAAGTTCCAAGAATGTGCCAGTTAGTGAAAGTGGATGGACTTGGGAGTGAAAGTGGAAAAGATGAGATGACGAGAGTAATATGGGGTGAGCATTTTCGGAGGAAAAGCGTATGTTTGAGCGGCAGAGAACGAATGTGCGAGCAAAGCTCAGGGAAGTGATTTCATAGCAAAGAGAGAGAGGACTGATCGTCGTCGTGTAGTGGTGAGCCTGCTCTGCTCAACTCTTCTGCCGTGGTGGTGCAAAGTCGGAAAAAGGAGAGAAAGCACAGCAGTAGCAGCAGCCAGCCAGCGATTCGACGTAAGCTCCAAGTTACAACGCCACGCATGTTCTTCCTGCCTTGCCTGGAGTGGAGAGAGCCCGAATCAGTCGGCTCCTTCTCATCGTGGTCGATTCCCTCAATGAAATGCTTTTCCGAATCATCTCATACATCCAAGAACACTGGTGAAAGTTAAAACTGCTCCCTTCTTCCTTCCTTTCCCTGACTCTCTCACTCTCTCTCAACTCCAATGCAGTGCGTACCCAAAACAAATTTAATTCAAGAAGCAGGCACAGAAAATCACCTCAATGATGAGAGTGCATAAGTAGTGTTCTCAGTCTCCTCCTTATTCTTATTAGTCTTAGTTTAATTAAAAACATTTTGTATTCTTGGATTCTTCTTACTCAATAGTTTCATAACCTTGGAGCAGCAGCAAATGCGCAACAACACGAGCAGATTATGTAATTGTAGCTGCAGATGGACCGATTCCACACACAAAGGGTATGTAGCCAGCTCCATAACCGGGTAACTCAAGGGCCTACGTATATACAGCAGGGAAATCTAAACCTGGAGAGAAATGATTGCTGCGGTCAAACGGGGCAAGCAACTCGTGAATGAGAATAAGTAGAAGGACGTCTCAAATTCCGCATACGGTCTAAATCACCCTTCTCCTTTTTGACCTCAAAGACATTAAAGAGCACAGGACTCCCATAAAAAGAGTCCATTTCGGAGTCAGACTGCATGACTGCATCCCATATTTCATCAGTCGTTCGTCGTCCACATACACTTGTGCTCCTGCTGCTTATTATATTATATTATGCAGAAGGGGAACCTGTGCATGAAATTTACAACATGTTTTCTCTTTCTCTCTGAGTGAACTTCTTGCTGTTAATGATAAGATAAAGAGCCTGCTGCTACGGCCGCTGGGTTCAATTCAGTGTGAAGAGGAAAAATTCACTGCATAAATAAATGGTCAAGTATATTGCCTTCCTTCTAAATGGTTCTAAAGTTTTATGCTCGGTTCCATTTTTTGGTCCTTGATCCATTGATTGAAACAAATAGAATGCAATGGGATGGAATGCAAAGAAATAATATAAGCAATATAGTTTTGAAAGCAATAGATTGGTAAATTTTTTGGGACAGCAGAGACGAAGAAGTAACGACAAAAGTCTTTCTGACCTGGAAATGAGGTTGCGAAAGAACAAAGCGAAGTTGCTCCAGTTGAGTGAGCCGATTCGAAGTTTCTCTCGACTCTAAACAATCTAGGACAATGTCCAGCACATCTCGGCACGTATCCACGACATCTGGCAAAGGAATTTTCCCACAAGATAGGTTTCCAGAGGATATTACATCAAAGATTTGCAAAACTGTAATTATCAAGGACACAGTTATGTATACATGAAAGTAAAAATTATTTAGTTGCACAATTTTATAAATAATTATTACTTTTCATAAGTTTTGTGTCAAGCAGAATTCCAGGTGTCAGTTTAGAGTCTTTTGTGCTTATAAGTAATTGCATATCTTCGAGAGCATCGATTATCAACGACACAGCTATAAACATTTTGAAAATAATTAGTGCAAATTATTTGTCAAAATTATAAAAAATAAAATAAAAATTAATACGCACCATCAGTGGTACATTGGTCATTTCCTCCAGCGTCGTAAGGCTCAGAACTCCAATGCGGAGAACTTACTGCGTTAAGTATGGCACCTTTTAATTTGCGTCTTGCATTGAAAGCCTAGAGTTAAAAAACACGTTTTTTCAATTAGCCACCATTTATATTATGCACCACCACGAGTATGTGTAAATGGCAAATCCTAGATTCAACTATTCGTATATATCGTATACAGGTCACGGGTATCTGATAACATAAATCTAAACAAACGCCATGCAGCAACACCGGAGTTTATTTTTGACAGGATCTTTGACGTTTATTATTATTGAGTAAGGTTGGGAATTTGATACGAGCCGGTTTCAATAACATTGCCAGTACACATACGACTAGCACCTAGCTAGGGAATAATGGTCTATTTTAGTCAATAATATTTACCTTCATAGTTTGAACAACTTCGGTCAAATGCATTCTAGGACACTTTTCACGATCCTGGAGAACAAGTTAAAAATAAAATTTGATTAAATTACGACACGCTCAATTTATATTGCTATATTTTTATATTTAATCCTTACTTTAAGCCATGGATGACTTAATACGTCCTGTATCGTCAGTCGTTTGTCTGGATTTAAGTGAAGCATATTTCTAATAAGGTCTTTGACGTCGGGGCTATGATTCTCCCACAAGGAGCCGTCTAGGTCGACGTGAGGTTCCAGAATTTGATTGTACAATCTATCCTTAGTTCCAAGAAAAGGGAGAGTACCGCTAATCAACAAATGCAACAAAATCCCGGCAGACCAAATATCCGCAGGTTTCCTGAAACAATTTAAGAATTTTTCGACAATATTATTAACTGGTAATTAATTTTATTCTATTTGTAGCTATTTATAGACACGGATATTGTAAATTACTCCTTACCCATAAGGTTCTCTGGAGACTACTTCAGGAGACATGAAACCTGACATGATAAAATTAAGTAGTAGGGAAGATTACACAATTGATTAATTAGGTATTAAGAAATTAATTCTGCACATTATTACTGACACCCCCTCAAAAATGAATACGATGCATACCTGGAGTTCCAACTCGACCTGATCTAATCCTTTGTTTCGCAGGGTCAGGACTAAGTTGAATGGCTAGTCCAAATCCTCCCAACTTAAAGTGAAAGAAATACAGTGTGAAAAATTCTTTATAATTCAAGTAATACACATTATTTACATACCTTTACAGGCGCTGAATTTTCTTTCGAAGACAAAAGGACACAATGAGGTTTGATGTCCCTGTGGATGATATCATTCTCATGACAGTACTTTAAAGCTTCTAAAATTTGTCTCATGTAGTGGCTTGCAACAGCTTCGCTGTATGCAAAACCGGCCGAAACCTATTAAACAATATTACACTCAAGTTATTTCATGGTTTTCAAAATGGACATGTATGTATTTGGATATAACACTCACTCGAGACACGATTTCATAACAAATGTCCATTCCATCCATGCTGCAAATGCATTAAATTGTTATTATCATCTATTGCATTTAAGGTTACTAACAATCGTTCATCCTTTCATAAAATATATTTTTTGAGTCTCACAATTCAAAAACCATGTATAGAAGTCCATCGGAAGAGTAATTACTGGAGTATGTCTCAAGAAGCTCTGTATAAAAATAAATACAATTTATATCAGCACTCATTGTTGTCACTAATTGTGTGCACATGTTTCGCTACGGAAAAAAAACAAAACTTCTTTGCTAACCGACTATATGGGGGTGTTTGAGCAGGTGGCAAGTGGTGGCTTCCCGTTTTAGATCTTCTGTCGAAAATCCAGGACTTGACGTAAATCGGGCCACGTCGACAATTTTCACAGCATACTGGCATCCTGTCTGTCTGTGGATGCAACGTCTTACGACGCTATAAGGTCCCCTAAATAAAAACAATAGAGAGCGTGTCAACGTAAATCCCAACCAAATGTAATACATCAACAAATAATGTAGACAATAAATACGATATTTTACGTACTTTCCAATTACTTCACAAAGCGCGTAGACATCGTCAAAGAGCACTTCCTCTTCGGCCATACTGTATGGATTGAGCCAAACTTAATCTCCTACACAAAGCTTTCCTTCTTGAAGCTCTTGGTCGACATTATGATAATTCTTTCCTTGTAACTCTTTCGGAAAGCTACATACTCAATCGTTATCGAATGCAGCGTTTCTTTGAAAATAACCGTGGAAAATTTAACACTAACATTTCATTTCTCACTGATGGCAAACAAATCAGTGTAGACGCCTTCCGTGATGGTTGGCCGGAAGTACAAATTCTTAAAACACTCTTATGGGAAAATCCGCCAGTATTTATGTATAATAATCACAGACGATGTAAGACTAGCTATAACTTTGACACACCACGACGGATCCTCTCAGGCAGAAAATGATGACTTTCATGTTTGTTTACAGAATGTAAAAGAAAACAAATCTTCTTTCAACGAACTTGAGTAATAAAGGTTCCAAATCTTGATGTAATCTCCTGTTTTGTTCCGAACCAAGTGTAGTGAAGAACATGAAAAAAGACAAAAGATTATATTTAGCATTTAGCTCACAAAGTTTAAACTTGCATGACTCTGTGTGCATATGTATTACGAGACCATTCACTTTGTATAATCATCCGTAACAAGAGAGAGAAAACCACCCACTTATAATAATACCCCAACTTTCTTTCCAACCAGTGACAATCTACCTAATTTTTGGTAAACAATTCCGTAATCTCTACGTCCCACTTGCCTAACGTAATGAAGTTAATTATCCAAAGCTAAATTAGGATTAAGGCCAAAACATGGTATGTAATGTATTCATTTATGTAATGTCGAGAACCTCTTAAACGGTTAACCAAAAATCACCAATAACAAAATGTTGCCAAAAATAAACCAGACTTAATTTGGCTCTATCACCTCACTAATGTAAATATCTTAATTTCTGAGTTATCAGAACACATTCAACTTAAGTATAACAAATTGATTAAAATTCACTTTTTAAAAAGCCGCATATAGATTACCATGCTTGAAATGCAAACTTGTAGCTTTTAGGTGACAAGATGCGTTTCCAAATAAAAATATACGGAATCACATTACAACTTGCTCTTATTAGTTTAAACCCCTCAGAATGGTATGATACCATTAAAAAATTCACGAGAGGGTTGGGATTAACGTGGAGAAAATGTGAAAGTATGTACCTATTGATTTGTTTATGTTGATGGATGGAGGACTGAAGATGAGATGATATGAGTTTTTGTTAAGTGCGGGTGCGGCGATCGGTCAACTCCTTCCGCCCTTCTCTATTTGGTTGGGATTTTGTTTGAGAGAAGAGAGAAGTCCAGCAGCTAGCTCTACTACTGCTGCTGCTTTTCCTAGCAGCTAGTAATCTTCAGACACAACTTCTATCCAACTTCATCTGCCTCCGATGAGAGAGAGCACAGAGAGTAACATATACTCTCACGAACCAGCCTCCAGACTCCGGGTGAAAGAGGAGAGCCTCCCTCTTTCCAGGCGAATTCGGGTAGTTTTCATCTCCGTCGATAAACACAGCAGCAGTGCCCGGTGTAAACCTAGCAGAGCACTTATGAGACGTTCTTATTCTTCTTCTTCTTTGCTGGTGTGTAGCAAGAGGTTCCGCTATCCGGTTCAAATACATACACAGACATGCAGCTGATGATGAATACATATGGTAGTAAACGCCGTTCCATTCTGGTTTATTCTGATCTGGCCTCTTGATTAAATTCATAAACAAAATCAAATAGTTTCATGGTTTCTTCGAGATTCTCAAACTGCTCCTTTTGCTTTCACTTTTATCTGTTAAATTAAAAAATAAAGAAAACTGATACAATATTGAGACATACTGATATGCATTTCATAACAACATAAACGAAACATAAAATACGGAATTTGGAGAAAAATATTTGAAGAAAAATGTCCCAATTGGTACATTTATATATGTAAGTATCGCGTGAAGACTTTTACTTTTTACATGAAAATGCATACATGAAGCATACTAATCTATCAATTTTGGTCCTATTTTAAAAATTTGAACTCGGAATCATTTCAAGTTGAACATTTTATTACAAAATTTTAAATTGTAATATTAATATGTTTATGATACTTTTAATATTCAATAAAATTGTTCGAAAATTACCCGATGTTTTTTCAACAATCGAAAGCACATTTTAAACAAACGAAGGCAAACTTACCACCCGAAGAGTGTTAAATATCAATTATATATTACAGCTAACTGTTTGCATCCTCCAAGTAATCTTCACCGCAAAAATTACTATCCGGAAGTGTAGACGAGGAGTACGTCATGTACATATTATTCGTTTTGCGCAGCCATTCGTTAATATTTTCATATTGCCCTTGAGTTAGAGAAGCAGTGTTCTTCAGGTCTTTAATAATTTCTGCGGCTTCGTACACCGTTCCCTTCACATCATGATTGTCCTTGGTTAGTTGATCTACTAATACGCATGACGAGAGGAACTTTGATCTCCATACTTCTAATTCATCATTTAGATTGTCTACACATTCATTATTCCTGTGGTGAAAGTTGGTGGTTTGAGCATTTTGATTCATAGGACCGTTTATACCCACTCTTCCCATCGAATTTGGAGAGAGACTGCTTCCTGACATGGAATCCACCAACAATTTTTTCAAACGAGTATTTTCAGATTGTAGATCGTTGATTTCCTTGTGTGCCATTTTTAGGCGTTCCTGCATTCGATTAATTTAGAGGTGTTTTTGTTCATTTCTTACTTTTCAAAGTGTAAAATAAACCTACTTCACTTACTTTCATTAAAGTTGTAGATGGGTGGTGATATTGCGTGCCACCATTGTTATTACTTGAAACTTTAGGTGAATGAATTCCATCGTGTCTGCATGGGCTTACAGATTTGGATAAGTCAGCATTGCTGAATAATTTACCCTCTTCGGTGGTTACTGAAGTGGTATCACCATGTGAAACCGTACTGGATTGAGATTTGATTGAGGATGTATCCGAAGGTTTTCGTATATGAGTTTGAGGAGCAATGATGGGCCGTGTAGCTGCACTATACGGTTCATACGGCACGAACTTGGGGTTTCTGAGATTAAAAGAGGTTACAGAAATTACTATAAATTCAAATTTTGAATGATCAAATGCTAGAAATTAAGCAGATACTTACTTTTGTTTTACATTTAATTTTTCTAACGGACTATAGGCGGAAGACTGCCCGGAAGCACCATGTTTATTATCAAGCTTTGGAGCAGGTCTGACAGGGATCAATAGATCCCGAGATGGCAACTGTCTTGGCGATGCCGACATGGATTTTGCCCCAGTAGTAGAGATTGAATTGGCGTGCATCGATCCTTCTAATTTCGAAGTAATTTCTACATTCTGGATCTTGGCTCCTTCCACGTTTTGTACATTATCGTTCTTGTCATGGACAACGTCATAGCTGAAACTCGGTCGGTCATCTAACTTGTGTTCCTCATTCAGTTGCTTCAATCCTTAAAAACAAGCAACTTTAAAGAACAATTTTCACACAGCGGCTGCATACATTTTCAAATTTCAATTTCTTAGGTTTATCAAGTTACCATTGTAATCATGAAGCGTTTGCTGACGAGAAGCCGAAAAGGCATCATTATTGGAAGCTCTGCTAACGTTAGTAATATGGCCACTTTCCATTCCGTCCCCAGCAGTCCGTTCTTTTATATCTGGAGATTAAAGAATCAAACAAATTGTGCGTTTAATGTATTATAGATTTAAATACGGCTAGAAACAAATAATGCGAATCAATTCAAACAATCAATTAAATTATTTATTAACCTTACCCTCGTTATTTTCAAGGTCAGAGGCTGAAGAGTCACTTTCTAGCATATTCCCCATGCCCAGGGGTTGGATTAGTATAGTTGCCGTCCAATGTTTTTATGAAGCCATCTATTAAACAAATCGAAATAATATTGATTTATTTATTGTGATTTGATTATTGAATTGATTTTCATCACAACCACAATTGGTCAAAAGTTTTGGCTCAAAACAAATACAAAATAAATACCTAATTAGAATAACTTTGGACATCAAACTTACTTTAATTAATCCTCAAACCTTATGACATCTGATAATGTCTTACAATTTATCACACTTATCAATCCTCTACAAAAACTCGGATTTTAGAAATACTCTAAAAAGGCTGAAGATCAACAATTAATATTCAATTTTACGACTATTTACTTCGACTTCGCAATCGCGAGTTTCTCTTTCTAGTTCTTGAAAAGTGAATCGTCAGCAATCACTTTAGCAAGAATCGCAGAGTTTTGGGGGAATGCAAGAAAGTTTAAATAAATCCATGCAAACTACTTTCAATCAAATTCATGGAAAGTTTGCAATTTATTTCCAAAATTCGACTAGGTCATCAGTTAAAAGTGCTAAAAACGTTTAAATAGTACAGGAATGAAACGTAAAAAATTTTAACAAAAAAGTATACAACAAACAATCGGTTTGAAAAATTGAGAAACAAATATTGAGTATTGCGTTTACAGTTTATGAGTACGTATTTCTCTAAAACGTTATGTCCTTAAGAGATTGCAGTTTGTGAAATATTTTAGGGTACTTGTCACACATGGGATCCATGCGAAGGATGAATGCATTAAACAATTTTGGTACACACTGCTTTTCGACAATGTATTGAGCATCTAATTCAGTTCCTGGTTGAGATACTTTCTGCAATTCGATCTTCAAATCGTACTTCAGAGAGGGGAATTGTTGAAGCATATTCATGGGATGAAATATTCCGACAAAATCATTGATTTTGACTGTGTATAGACTTGAATCCGTCAGAGTGCCGAGAATTCGACCACTGTCAAAGTTATCAAAATTGGATTCAGTAAATGGATTATTCAGTCGAAACTTATACAATTAAGTTTTAAAAATTACTTGTTTTGAGATCCAGAAAAATTGTCCTGTCCTTGTTGTGTACTAGATTGGAAAGCGGGGAACGAGGTTGCAGATATGGATACAGAAGATGATGCAGGAGGAGAGATCAATCGAAGACCAGGACTTGGAGCACGAAATATATTTTCAGAAGACGACTTTCTTTTTGCGATCGGTGTATCCCAATTTTTGAACTGGTTTAGGGTAATTTGTCTCGGAGTCCCAGATAGGGAAATGTCAGAATGATTTGCACTTTTCTGACTCTTATTACAGCTATTGCTTAACTTGGGTCGTTTCGCATCGCTAGGTTTTGCCAACCCACTACCAATGAAATCGAATGCATTAGTAGATTTCGAGTTTTTACAACCATTAAGATGTTGAGAGGCTGAGCTTGACTGAGATACGTTTTCCTTTTCCAATAGATTTGAAGGCCGGCATGGAGAACTTACGATATTGACGCTCTAAAAAAGAAAGTTACTACTTTGTTTTAGACAAACGAAAGCAACCAAAGTAATTTTAGTCAGTAAAATTTTAATTGAGGCGAGGTTACCTTCAAAATACTTCCATGGTTGTCAGGAATCCTTCCTTGCACCCAGAGGTTCATGTCAATAACTCGTCCGGTCTCACTTAATGTAATTGCGTCCTGTTTAGAACTTGATTCAAAATGATTGATGGGTGAGCTTTTCATGCTGACTGCTTTTGATTTTTCAAGTTCTACACAATTAATCGTGTATTGACCGCTTCTGACAATTGTCAAAGGTTCGGTAACTTCAACAGCAGGTAGAATCTCTTCTGGTGGCGTGTCCATTAAAATATCATCCAAATTACAATCAAAGTTGCTAATGCACTGATTTGATTTTTTGGCCGGTGGTGAAGGTCGAACAGAAGGGAATGGAACAGATCCCTAATAGAGCAACATATAATTATTGTATTTTTAAAACTTACTGAGAGAGAAACAATTGTAAATTTTTACCTCAGTCTTTATGGAGGCCTGGCAAAAGTTGGTGTCCGAAACAGTTGGGATATTTTCTATGAAAGACTGTATTGTACTTTGTCTTTCTTTGTGAAGGTTTGTACTCACTGCATCGGTAGTAAATGGGAAAGGACTGATTTCCTCATTTATGTCAAAAATGTCGGGTGATGTTGGATTGCGTTCTGTCGAGCTTACTGTGGACCCCGAAATATCCGAAAGTCCGGAACCGTTGTCTAAAGATGTAATCCCATAAAACTTTTGCAATAGCTCTTCCAATTTCGCAGAGATATCGTCCTAAACATAAAATATAAAGGATATTAATATTAATACAATGTAAGTATATGCATATAAATAATTCACAAATCTATGTATGTACGTACCTTATGCACCAAAAATACTTTAGTCTTGTCAATTTCTCTGTTAAAATCTACTTCATCATCGGGGACATTAATGTTAATAATGGCAACTGGAAACCTTCGTCGCTCAGCAGGGGTAGGATTAACAATTGTGGCCGCAGTATATTGACGGATAATCTGAAATTATAGCAGAGATAAATTAAGGAATTTCATCATTATTCAGCATCATTTGGAATCTATCATTAGTGCCAATATTGTGTGTACCTTTTCAAACTCGTGAACATGAACTCTTTTTCTATTGATGAATATAAAGGTCATCCTTCTTGATGTGTAACTCATGGTTTTCATATCTACCGGTTTGTTTAAAAAGAACGCTTCGATTGTACGCTCTTTCTTCTCGTCATATTCCTCTGCTGTAACCTCCAATTCAACTGGTCCGCATCTACTCAAGCTTTTGGATATTGCATGACCCAAAACTGCCATCAGGGCTTGATCAATGCTGCCAACCGATGCTTTGCTCCATATCAAGCTTTTATTGTGAAACAATCTGATATGCGTTTTAGGATTTGCAATAGCCACACTTTTCAGAAATGACTCTACTTTTTTCAACTGCTCCTGGCAGTTAGGCTTCTCTTTAATGTGGCCTCGCCGCACAGGATACATTTCGAACAAATCTGTTGCAACAATATGCGTTCCGTTTCCACCTGCGACGATTGTCTCCGAAACAATGCAGCAACAATTATCGAGCTTGTACTTGGTAGCATGTGCGTCAGTGGGAGTCTTTGTAGTAATGCATACATTAGCTACGGAGCAAATGGAGGACAGCGCTTCTCCGCGAAATCCGTAGTGGCCTTGAGCACCTAGAAAATATATTACAAGTTGTACACCAACTACATTATATAATGACAGTAAGACTCACTTAAATTTCCTGTATCTTCCAATTTCGAAGTATAACCTCCAGACACAACGTGAAAAAGATCTGGTCGAGATATTCCATTTCCGGTATCTTGTACTATGATTTCATCAAGACCAAAATTGCTCTGAAAAATAAATCAAAAGGCATAAGCTACCACAGCAGTCAAGCATAAAAGTGTTATCTAAACTTACCAGAAAAACTTGAATGTTAGTTGAATCAGCGTCTACCGAATTTTCCACCAACTCCCTCACTATATCTGAAACTTGATTGATAACTTGAGTCTTTCGAATAGTTGATGCCGTTGTAACATCCAATTTCCTAACTGTTCCTGACACCACACCCACAGTTTTGCCATTACTCGTCGTTATCGTATTTGAGCATGAAGGTCTTGGTGTGGAAACAGTTTCTTCTATTTCATCCAATGCTGGCTTATCGCATGACCAATATGGAGCACATCCCCCTCCATCAGGAGGAGAACTAGTTTCCATCAATTCCACCACATCACCTGCCAATAACAATGATAAAGGAGAATTTTCCCCATCCATCTCTCCTTTGGTAGTAGTTGGTGGTTATCAAACTGAAATCCAACATAAAATTAGCCTCTTTGCTTTACAGAATAGGTATAGACCTATCGCAAAAAAATACAAAAGATGAAAATATCTCGTCAAATAATACCTGCAATCGGTTAACCTCTGAATTCGGTAGTTGGAGTTATTTATACTTGCTAGTTTCAAATGTGAATTCCCCTCCTATTCAATAACAATTTCGAATATTTAATGAACTATTACACTAACAATCAATAACTCTAATATCGTTAATTTTGAAAATATATTTAAAATTTTGAATGAAAAAGAAGAAACTAATTTGATTTTTTTTAAATCACACACAATGAAATTTTCGTTCTGTTGATGTTTTGGAATTTCTTCGCCGTATGTTCTCGTCTCCCGCCCAGCCTGTTCAACTTTCTCCATTCTTTTGATTCTTTCACTATTCGCTTTCATGTGCCCAATTTTTTTTTCTTTTACGTTTCTCAATAAAAATGCTTTATAAATTTGTTATTTAATTTTATAATTCTGTTAAGTGTAAAATTTCTTAGGAAAGTTATCTTGAACTCTTGACCAATAAGAATAACGAATGACGAAAACCAGGCAGGAAGCCAAGATGAGATTGCATAGAAGGTCATGAAAAATATGCTAAATGATGTAAACTTATAATGTTTCGACCATATTTGTTTATTTAGCTACTGGATTTGTGATTTCGAAGATTGTTTAATACTTAAAGTTTGCTCAACACCACTTCTTAATCGTTTGATGGTAGACTGTGTGCCAAATAAACTAACCAAGTCTGCAATAGGCGGTCCTTTCTGCGTTTTCATAAAAGTAATGACATTGTAATGAAATGACTACGATTATTAGATTATTTATTTATTTGGCTTGCATAGTACTAACCTGCACCCCACAAAGGAGTAGTCTCAAGTCTGCCATGAGAACTTGAAATTTTAGATCGTTGGAAGAAGAATATTCTTTTATAAATTGAGATATGTCGTGCTCTGGTAATGTAGATTTGTTCAAGAAGACTTCAAATTGGTCAATAAAACTTAGCAGTTCTTGGGGTGAATGTTTAATTTTAGAGGCGGAATTTGGTCCAGGAATAGACCATAGATAAGAAAATTGATTACTAAAAAGGTCCATCAAGGAAGCCGTCCTGCTAGGGCACCACTTCAAAATTGTTTCCAAGTAAGGCTTTGAAAACTGTGAAGAATTTGGTAGCGATGACAGTTTAACTGATAGGGATTCGACCACAGATTCCAAGTTATTTTCAACTTCATTGCGCAACTCTAATTGATTCAGTTTGGATAAAAGTTCGAAATCTAATCGGCATGCAGCGGTATTCACTTTTGAGATGTCAAACTAGAGGAGTCCAGCATTATTGAATTAGACATGATAAAAAATTTATTTATAATTATTCTAGGTAGTTTTAAGTACAGAAATTGCAAGGTCCTCATGTGAATAAATCTTGTCCACGTTATGGTCAAGGAAGCCACCACCACTTTTAGTCACAAAATTGGAAAGTGCTCTAGGATAGTATAGCATATCTCGGTAGTGTTTCATGCTAATATCCCCTTGCCTTTTAGATAGCTTTGTCCCATCTTTGTTCACCACATTTGGAAGATGACCATACTGTGTTGCTTCCCATTTGAAAGCTCTAAGACAGAATTTTAGAAACATTTCATTAAGACTCAATTCAATATCAAATGATGAATTGAACATCGTATCATACGAATTTACCTATACAATTGCAAATGCTTTGGGGTAGAAACTTGCCACTCGATTCCACGTAAAACATGCGAAATTTCCATGTAATGATCGTCAACGACATTTGCAAAATGATAGGTTGGAAACCCGTCCGATTTTACAACGACTGGATCTCCTTCATAATTACGGTCTGTCAAGTCGAATTTCACTTGACCATGCACCATATCCTTTAATTTTACGAATTCAGGTTGTAACTAAATGAGAGGGAGAGAGAGAAACTATTGTAATTTTCATCATCCACACCGTATATAAATGCAATAAAATCAAATAACCTTAAAACGAAAACAAAAGCTTTCTCCTCCTGCTTTCTTCGCTTTCACTTGCTCCCTGGTTAAATGTCTGCACTTGTTGTCATACTTTGGCACTTGTCTCAGTCTCATAGCCTCCCTCCTTATCAAATCCAGTCTTGTTTCGGAACAGAAACATTCATACGCTTGGCCTAACTCTACTAGTTGGTTTATACTTTCTTCGTAGAGTGAAAGCCTCTCAGATTGAGTATAGGGTCCGTACTTTGACTTTGGTGAAGAAGGCCCTTCATGTGGTGTTATTCCTAGCCAGTCGAGATCTGTCTAAGAGAGTTATAACCGAAAATTATTTCAAATTAATTTTGCATAACCGTTTATACAAGTATTATTTTACGGAATTAATAGCAATCATTGCTTAGCCATTAAAGCAAGGTTACCTTCATCATTTCTACAGCCCCCGGGACCAGTCTCGTCTGATCTGTGTCCTCAATTCTAAGGATAAACGTTCCACCATGTTTCACAGCAAACAAGTAATTTATCAATGCTGTTCGAAATCCGCCCAGATGTAGTAAACCTGCAGCAAACATGTGACATCAATTAGTATCTTGTCAAATTGTACAACAACTCAAAAATCAATTAACACACAAACAAACCAATAAACTATGATCGGAGAAAGCAAAGAGAAAGTTAAGCTTTCGCCTTTCTTACCCGTTGGACTTGGTGCGAAGCGAACTCTCACCTTCCTAGTTTTTGGGACACCTTCGTTCAGACTAGAACTATTCCTTTTACACAAATTAACCTGTTTTTCAATGACCTTTCTCCCAAACAGTCTTGTGACACATGGTGAAAGCATTTTCTGTTATTTGCAATTTCACCGGAAACTGAGTTTAGTGAAATGGTTTTATTTGAGGAAGGTTGACCGTCTCCCGGTTGCAGTCTCACTCTGCCCCTGCTTTCTTTTCTCCGCCCAGTTATTGCACATTTTATCGTGATTTCACAAATCGCCAAGTCGCAAATAAACGAAGTCGCACTGACGAAATTTTTCGAACAATTTCAACTCTCTTTCGAGCAGTTATTGATAATACAGGTAATTCTGCAAGCTATTTATGCAATAAAGCTAATTTGTTACTTAAATCTTATTTAATGTAATAATTATAATCTTGTAGATAAAGTTTAGACGAGGATAATCAAGCTAGGAGATTTCACTTTCAAGCCCTTGCAATTGAAGAACAGCTAAAATGCCATCTGCGACGAATAACCCAAAAACCCCGTCGGAAAATGTGGAGTCATGGATAGAAAAGATTGTCGACGGAGAGGAAGGTTCCACCCCACGACAAGTATTTTTAGGGGGAGTGTCAGGATGGTATGATATGATCATTTATATATTTAAATACTTTCACAAGTCCCCATTAACTAAGCGGTGAACAAATTAATTTTAGGCTGACAGGCTTCTTGGCTATGAAAGTGGGGAAAGCAGCAGCAACTGCGGTGGGAGGAGGAATCATTTTGCTACAGATTGCCAATTATAAGGGTTACATCAATGTGAGTTCAAGGAGGATATACTTTTTTATGATTATATTCTATAATTAGTGATTGTTGCAGATTAACTGGAACCGACTTAACAGAGATGCAGAAAAAATCCAAAAACAGATTGTGACAGGTGCAAAGCCAGATTGGACAGATAAGGTGAGGACTGGAATATTATTATTTTTGCCTTGTTTTTTCTTGTGGACTTGTCATTATGCATTAATTTTCAACCTTGCTAATTTGTGTTGTCTGCAATATTTGTTTATGTTGTATTACTATTTTACTAATATGCATGCATGTTGCTCTTTTGTGTTAACTTTATTCTATACACCAATTTTGACTTTCTCCTTTCGCCACTAACATTTTTTTTGCTTGTTAATTTCCAATATAACCCTTAGAACCTTATATTTAACCTCTGTATGTTCTTTTGTTTTAGATTCGCACTTACGCTCAAGACAATTCATGCACAATACCTGCATTTGCTGGAGGCTTTCTCCTTGGATTGGCTTCAGCTTGAATGCGTGTCTAAAGAACGTGAACCGTTAATTTAATTCTAACTGCTACATATGTATTATATAGTGTATATTTCCCGTCCTGTGTATCTACATTTATAATTTCGCATTATAATTTTACCAATGTATAACGCTGTATGAATGTATATTTGTGCCTGACTTTCACAGTGAAAGTTTCACTGTAAGTAATTTTATCGATATTATGATATTAGTACACACTCATATTGACTGTAATATTAACCGAATTTTCGAAACGAAATAAACTCATCGGAACATAATTTCTTCTAGTTGGGAAATAAGTTGAATAAGGCAGCGGATAAGGCGGAGCAGCTCGTCTCGCGTGGTGAGACGGTATCACGACGCTGGTACCACAAACTCGCGTACGGCGAAGACCTGAGGGCACGCGATATGCAAACATTTTTCATGGCTTTCGCTGCCGGCGTTGGAATCGGCATCCTTTCGGGGACTTAATTATTGAAGAGGAGAAGCATTTACAGCATTTACAAAATGCAGATGCTTTTTTTAGTCAGCCAACTTGAATAACCAACTTGAAAAATAGTTTGTTTAGAATTTCTCATAATCTCGTATACTTAATTTATTTCATAAGTTCCTTAATATCATGTTAGACTCCTGTTCATTCTGTGATCAACTCTGCTTTTGTTTGTGATCTGAATTTAATTTCATAGTCTGAAAAAAATGTAATGAATATTCAATTAAATTAACATTATGAAAAAGATGCAACGATCAAGATGAGATTATTCTCTCAATTAATCGATATGAAGTTGCAGTTGTGAATATATGTATCTCTCTCTCATCTCATTTAAATTTGTAAATACAATCTAATAAACTTCAGAAACAAGGTTAGTCTGAACACTAACCTGAATAAATGCATAAATAAATAAAGATCTTACTATTATAAAACCACCATTCATTCAATTTCCACCATTTTATTACAAACTATTATGTTTAGGTGTAACAATTAACAGATACAGTTACAAACCTAAGCCTATAAATTATAAGCCAGTGTATTACCCAAGTTTCCAGCTACACTAACAATAATAATTATATTCAGCTATAACTCCGTAAAACCCCACAATCAAAGGCACTTTGTGAATTTTGCAGAACCTGCTTCTGCACGCGTCTCGACAATATGTTGCACTTTCCGATCAAGTCTCAAATATTTCCGTAATGCATCAATTATACAATCAACAGTACTTTTCATATATAGTAAAACTTTACACAAATTACAATAATAATAACAATAGCAAACAAAAGTATAAATCATTTAAGCTTATTACAGTTTAATATAGCTCTTCTTTCATTACACAAATGTATCTTGATTGATTCCTAAATATTTATAACGTAACGGACGGCCATTCATTTTATCTGTTTCACTTGCATAAATTCATATTTTTACTATGAACATGAGCATCAGTCTTCTAAAATCTAAAAGTTTAAGATTACTCTATTTAAGCTGGATCGAGGTATGCACGCGATTCTAAAATATTAATAGTAAATAACATTAATGAAATAAGGTAGATTGATTAAGTAGCAAAGTTTACAATGCGATTTTTTTATGTTATATAAGCAATCATTTCATGGACGAGTCAGTTTCAGAGCTCATTTCATATTGCATCGGGTCACGGAAAATATAAGTGTATTGTTTATTTTTTTATCATTATCATCAAGTCTGGTTAAAACTGTTTCGAATTTGAAGGCACTTTTTGCTTTTCGCCAAATGCGTTTCCAATAAATATTTACTGCAACTAATTATGTATGTCAGAAGGTCATTTGTATACACTTATCACGAAAAATAAATGTATGAATTAACAATTTCTTCCCAGTACATGTACTATTAGTATTGCTATTATAAGGGTTTTATCATCATCGTATTATTGCCTCTATTGCATGTATCTATCACAAATTGTGTGTTCCTTAATACATTATATTATTTCTTGCTTAGTAAATAATGATTTTAAATTGCTCTTCATGATTTTAATTTGTAACCTCTTTTGTCATGAAAGACTGGTACTTTTGTTGATAATTGATGTTCGAAAATTTGACAGGAGCAAAGAAATTCTTCTGTTTGTGTTGCAAAACAGCAAAGCTTTCTTCTAAATCGTAAACTGTACGAAATTCTCTCGGGATAAAGTCATAACTTTTTAAAAAAGATTAATGGGCATTTCATTAGCTAAATACCTAAATAATCTATTGCGTAAAAAGGGGTATATATATATTTCAATCCATAATAGTACATCTAGTACAAAAACTACACCAGATTTATCATTGTCATTCAGATCGGACGGCACACGTTCCCTGCTTTCACCCAAGCCAAAAATGCAGTTATGTAACCTCGCAAAACATTAGATTAAAACTTTTAAATATCAAAATCACGTAAGACCCGAAATAATAACAATAAATACCTCCGATACCCTTGGATATTATATATTTACACATCATGGAAGACGTAGGATTACCAACGTATCAATCAATACATGTCCTGCCTTTATGTCTTGAACGCAATAAAATAGAACTGATGATAACAACTTGGTTATAATTAAGTCGAAATTTAAACATAATAATCAACCTTACGAGGGGAAATTCATTTACAAAAATTAGAAACACGTGGTTATAAGTTTATATCCGCTAAATAAAATTAATCAAAAAAACAAACTCATTTAAGCATTTGAGACGCACAGGAATACAATTTAGTATCAAGTTCTTCTTTTACACAAAACAATAAGGCCAATAATTTCTTCGTTATCACAACAATCTCTACCCTTGAATTTGAAAAAATGACGATGTTTTAAATAAATCGCTAATAAATTCCTGCTAAACACGATTACATTCATCACTTTAGTAATCAAATGGGCGTAATCCTATGTACCCATCATTTATATAAATATTGCAGCATTTTTGTACTTGAAACTACTTAATGTAAGTCATTATGGCAAATGATAACTTGCAGCTAAGAGTGAAGATGTCAAAAATTTGAGAGCTCGTCAATACCTCCTTGAAGTAAGTAAGTATGTTTTACTATTGTGGCGTATGCCGAAATGTTGATTGATCATTATCGCTATTATCATTAAAGTATTTTTAAGTATACCTGTGGGAATAGTAAAAGTGGACGGGGTGATAACTTAATTAATAACAGAGACAAGATAATAAGTTTCATAAACATGATGAGTCGGAGAGAAACAAATCGAAATAACGAGGAGAGCGAATAAAATAAAATAATAACGATTATTCAAAATAGTTCTCAAGTCGGGACATCATAGCCATGTCATGGTGTTGTCAGACCTGCTAGAGTTCATGATCGTCTGCATTTCGTCCAAGAGTTCGTTGGACAGTTCTGAATTCAATTCCGAAATGTCCAAAGAAGGAACTAGGTCATCCGTGGATTCCACATTGCTGGAAAAAATAAAAAAATAATTTGAGTTCATTGTCCTCACCTTATCCTCTCTTCATTCTCTTATTTTCTGCACACCACCAACAACTCAACTCTCTCTCTACTTAACTCTCTGCTTAATTTAAAAATCATATTTTTAAATTATAATAAAAATGGACCACACCCCCCAGAATGTGATACACGGAGAAAGTGTTGTCCCTCCAGCCAAAAAGAAGAAAATTTCGGTGACCTTCTTCAATACTGCCAACAACAAGGTCACGAAGACTTTTCTTGAGCCGGACAATTGGATTGAGCAATTGGATGGTGAGTTCATCGGTTTAATTATTAGTATCATAATTAAACACATCTTTTACTAATTGAAGAGTGTAGCCCGATGTGCTCTCAAGAAGATCGTCCAGTGACACGTTTTCCGTGGAAAAAGCCATCCCCACCACCCCCTATCAATCAAGAGGAAAAATGGACCCCACCGACCCCAAACACTATTCCATATTTCATATTTAAGAGGGTCAAGGAATATTTGCAGTATACTGGTCCTGATCGACTAATGAAGACATCACCTGAGATGGTGGAGCTTCTCAACTCTGACCCACCAACAATTATTCAGGTCACAAAGAAGGGAAGGCAGCTCTCAAGTAACGCAAAACGAAGCAGGCAGAAGTTTAACACGAAAGAATCGAATATCGAAAATGAGGAAGTTATTGATGTAAAATTTACACAAGGAAGGATTACTTGGAGAGTTGGGGGAGGCAATGAAATTTGCAGAAACGGAGACTGTTGGCAAAAGTCAAAAAGCGCTGGTAACTGTCGTGAGCACTCTGATAATTCTGATAATCTTGTAAGAATTTCCTATTTATATTTACTAATTTACCTTATTTATATTGTTCTTACATGCACATTATTTATTCCAGATCACGCAGTTTTTGATGAGGGATAATGCTAACCAAATCCCAACTTACGCATTATTTTGGTCCAATTCGCACACCTCGAAGATGGTTCACACGGAGTCCACGATCCTTAAGTTATTCAAAAACTCACCAAGCAGTTATGCAGCCGCGTACAACTACAGTGAAAGTCGGAAGAAAGCTGGAGAGAAATTTGCAGAGGACTGGACCCCGCAGTGGAAACTTGTCACAGAAAAACCCTTCATCGTCGGCCATGACAAGTCATCTTCGTTCGCGCAGACCATCTGTATAACACTAGCTATACTTTCCATGAAGAACGCGGAAGAACCCGACCCGAAGAAAAAGATTTTCTTCATCAAAGATCAAATCTCTATTGACAAGGTATAATATTTAGCTAATTTTTGTAACTAATTAATTCATTTACACAATTAATTAGGTTGACTGGACTATTGTTATGAAGATTTTGACAAGTGTTGGAGTCACGATGGAGTTGGGGGAATATTCGGATCATGGGAAGAAGAACGAGTCGCCACTGCTCAGAATTGAAGATCTGAAATGGAGACACGGGGATTCGTGGAATTACTTCAAATTTGGAACTATCGGAAGAGTTTATGTTGGAATTGTGACCCAGAATGGGGAAATCCGTAAACCTATGCCGGATTCCTTCATTCATCACGGCAGACACCACTCTGACGACAAAGGAAAGGATGCCAAAGGAATCCCCATTTACCAATGCCAGGAAGGAGATGAAGAATTCAAGAGGAAAGAAAACAAGATCATGGAAGGTGTGGGTCAGATGGCAGTGATTGTGTGTGAGATGTTAGGTGGAGTTATCGACGGGGCCCCCATCCGAATTGATTTTGACAAATTGGAGAACAACTCGGATTGGGAAGAACGCCATTTAGAGAGAATGAAGACTCTCGTTGGATTCTTCTCGTCTAAGAAGCTGCACCTCGTTTTCCCGGAAGTGCTTAGTGTTGAGTCTGTAGACTGGAATGATGTGGGGGGGCGAGAGTCTGTATTGTCTGAGTCTGATTGTGATGATGATGATTTATTTAAATTTTAAATTTTTCCATGTTAATTGTTCAATTTTGTAAAATTATTTATTCAATAAGATTTTTACTCTTACTCGTTCCCCAAGGTTCCGATGTCAGGTGCGTCAATGGATTCTGTAAAAATGCATGTAAAAATATATAATTTAGTAAGAATGCTAGGCTGGAAACAGTAGTTACATACGTATAAACAATTTAATAGTCATTCACACACGCTCATGCAGTCTTATTAAAGAGATAGAAAATAAAACATGAAAAGTTACGCAATCAGATATTTAAAAGGAACAATTTGGAATACAAAATTTAAATAGGACAACACAACAACGGTACAACAAATGATTAATTGGATCATTCATTGGTTACCTGTTATCTGGATATTTTGGTCCCGTCGAATGTGTTTCTTTGTCCATATAAGAAATAGTTGAATTCGGAGCTATGAATTTTAGTGAGAGCTCAGCAAAGTCATAAACTGGTCATATTATTAAGTAATGTCAGAGATAAAGCACTACTCGAGGTAATAATAAGAAGAACTTAAGAAATTAATTAAGCATGTAGCCTAACTTAATTAAGCATTAAAACCAAGGTTTTGTTTTTAATCAGCCATCTCATCACTATCACATCACTCAGTTTCAGAAGGGTAATAAACTCTGGGATAAAACAGACCGCTTATTGTATCCATGTTGTCGTCCATGTTGGAAAGGAAATCTTCTGGTGTGTTTGGCAACGAGTACGAGTTTCCCATGCCCAGACCTGAATCGGCAGATTCTTGGCGACTGAATAAAATAAAATAAATCGTATGAGTGGAATTATGCAGGAATTGATAAGGTCATTGTAGGGAAAAATGTGCTACTGACCTGTGGAAATCGGAGCTGGGAGTGGAGGGATTGACCATTGATCCGCCCAAGAAGGGATCTATTTCACCATCCTCCATTTGCTATGCAAAAAAAAAACAAGACAACAATCAATACAAAACTCACAAGTACAAGTATGTATTTGATTCAAGCAACAAATTATTAATCACCTGAAGTCTATTTTGCTGACGTAAACGAGCCTGTTCCTTCTCCATCTGCAAACATTCACAAAATCACAAGTCTCATCAAATATTATGTAACTACATACTTCATTAAAATTTGATGATGATGATGGCGATCGTACTTGCTGCATGATTTCTTGCTGACGAAGCTTGAGACGTTCTCGTTCCAACTGAAGCTGTTGAAGTCTCACTTCTTGCTGCCTGGAAAGTTGGATGCTGGTATTGTTGTTAAGAAGGGAGGCTGTCCCAGCGGCGGAGGTCACAGCGGTATTGACGTTTGAACTGGCTGAAATAGCTGCTGCTGAAGCTGCGGCCAAGGCGCTTGCTTGCGCGAGAGCTGCCGCGTTGATTTGGTGTTGCAATACTTGAGGTCGCTGCAAGTGCATCGCTGTAAAAAAAAAATGAATTCAAAACGCGTTAAAATTCATGCTATTTATGAATCGAATAATAAAATGCTGTCATCAAAATATTTGTTCAACTACGACTAGACTAGGAACCAGAATGCAAACAATCTTGCTTAACCTTGAGCACGATAACAATAAAAAATTTAAATTGCAATTGTTTTTATCTTTATAGTTGAGGACTGCAAGTTTTAATGCATGTTTTAGCTTCCTATTGAACGAGACGACAAACCTTCTGCTGCTTCATTCATAATTCACATTTCTTAGTCTGGTTCCCGTCTCAGAAGAAGATAATAATAGCATTAAACTTGTTGATAGATAAATAATAAAATGACCTAACCTGATATTTAGAAAACCATAATTTCAGTGAGATACATAATAAGTTTTAACAAATTTGATTAAATTATAATGAAGATCGTTATTAATAACTTACGTATTCGAGGATCGAACCAGGACGTTGTTCTATTCATATGGTCAATAAAGTAGATTTCGCCCTCGGGAGTGATTGCTTGTTCCCATCCTTCCGGAAGTGGTCCAACTGCCGACCCCACGGCTTGGATCACATTTCCAGAATGATTAGCTTGGGATGAAAGTGAACCAGTTCCGTTGCCAATTGCAGCCAAAATTTGCTGAGTTTGTGCTAAAATTATAATCAGGTCATTATTATTGGAACCAATACTCCCAATCACGAGCAATTTTAAGCTGTACATGTAAATCTATCTAACCTTTGCGAGGATCTTCCCACGTTGTACTTCTGGTGATATGACTGCAAAGCAAACAATTGAGATTTATTAGTAAAATTAAATTACTTATAGTTAACAATTTAGTAATGTACGAAAAATACGTACATACATTAATAAAAGTAGGTCTCATTTTCATCCGCAATTTTTTTCTTCATGATTTGCTCCTCATTAAATTACACCAACAAAACCCTGTACTGACTCTGTCTCAATTTCATTCTACTTTTACTTGGGTACAATCTACCCTGTTCATCCGCTACTTTACATCGCAGCCTCCGTGTACTGATACATCTGCATGTACGATCAATCCACATCTTTAACTCGGTTTTTGACTTTTCCTCTCCTTACGTCACCATCGTCATCATCACATTTATTTCATTGCATAAAGAACACGATTTGGCAGCAGGGAAATCAGATCCAATTCCCACAGTGGGATATTGTCCTCGCCACAACAACACCAACACCGTCCGTACTTGTGTAAGTACTTTATCTCTTCGACGCTTCTGCTCCAAGCACTACACATGCAAGCAAATGCGTTTCAGCTTCAAAACTGTTTCCTCGCTCTCTTATCTTATTAGAGAGAAGAAGAGTTGTAAATTTCACGAGTTAACTAAGTGAACTGATGAGTCATACGGACCAAAAATAAATACAACTACCTCATTTTCTCTATGATTTTTGGATAACCTTCCTCCACTTTTCTCTCGCAAAAAAACAAAGTCTTTCCTTTTCATCCATGCCCATTAAATGAGATAGAGGAAGCTCTCTCATTCATACGTACTTAAATTCGTACAACGTCCACAATGCATATGCAAAAGTGAACGGGTTAAACACACACGTATGTATGTACATACATCAACCGTTATGTTACATATCATCAAACATTTAATGTGGACATGGTGGTGGTATAATAATAATAATGCATATATTATATGTTAGGCTCCAAAGTGCAAACATTAACCATGATGATTTTTTTACGCTTCTCCGACCGTCCGACGACGACGGCGACGACGTAGTTTTTGAAATTCATTATGAGACCAGGCCAGGAGAGAAATCAAAACCAATGGCATAAATGTATAACAAGAGCCAAAAACAGAATAACCGGCACATTACCCTAGACTAATATTGACTATCATCATAACCAGCAGAAAGAGTACAGCCTACATATGCATTTGCATATGTATACCTATGTATGCACACATTTATTATAGTTAAAATATTATGAGATGCAATCAATGCAAAATTGACTTTTAACAGCGTCCTCCTATGATCCGTGGTACATAGTCCGTGGCCATTCGTATGTACATCTAGTCTGCTAATAACATCACCTCCTCCTCCTCCCACCCTGCTCCTTCAAATGAACAGACAGGAAATCCCGTCATCTTCTTTCAAATCAACATCTTTATTTTTCATTCTGCCCACTTCCTCCTTCCTCTCGGCTTTATTTTGATTTTGTTTCTGCAAACTGGGCTATACGACAGCGTTTTTTTTTACTGAATGGCACACTGCCTCCAATGATAACTCCGAGAGGCTCCATGCATCTTCACCACTATGCAATTTTCACACCCAGTGACGATGGATAACAGAAAATATCATGACGATGAGAATGACTGACGGTTAAGTTTACTCAACAAACCACCCACCCACCAAACACACGGGAGTAAAACAAAACATTGAATTTGAATCTGTGTATATATATCCGAGTTTGGAAATATATGTACATCTGAAATTTACGCTTTTACTACGTCATCACATTATGCATGTGTTTGTACCTACTTTCGATTCTGGGGATCAGTTAGTGGGTTGGTATTTGTTGTAGGTGGAAAAAGGCAGGCAGCATATACCTAATTTCCAGTAACGCCTTTAGTAAATCGTTCACACAATAAAAAGTCTCAAGGTAATACTAAACCTTTGGTAATGTAAACATTAATAAATCGCATTACGTTTTAAGTCCATGGGTGAAGAGCAATAAGAATTATTTCAATAACTAAACCTACCAATATTTCAGCATGTATGTACTTATAATGGCATCATTATTATCAAATAAAAACAATCGGTTCCACAGAATACCATATTACATGCATCGTAATACACATTTAGGATTAATATGCATACGCTCATGTAAGTTGAGTTGTATTATCCGTATTAAAAATATGTGACTCATGCATGAAACAAAACTTTAATTACATCAACAGTTGACAGTTGAGACGGATTTTGATTTGTGAGATTTGGGTGTTTGGCTGTTCGCACGCATGAGAAAGTAGTAATTGATGGATCTTCTTATTAATAAACATTTACAAAAAAGTTGAACTAATTTTTGATGAAACACGAACTCTAACAAAGCTATAAAGATTTTAAAACAAGCTCTTAACGAAAATCGCGTCACATGTCAAAAGATTTCCACCCTCCTCAATCGTAAATCGTGCTCACAAATATTACTCCGGTTAAAACTTGTGAAATTAACGGATCATTTGACTCAATGTTTCACACTCGACCCTTGTTCTTTGTTTTAAACATTGGTACAATACATGTCTTACTTGATAATTTTGCTTATCACACAATTTGGGGTATTGTCCACTTTTCGCAGTAATCTCAAGTTCATTTTGACATTGATATTGTTGACAAAAATGATCTCACCTTGGCTGTGGTGAAATCAAATGGATAAAATTTAAATATAGAATTAAAAAAATCATCATCATCACCATTTCTCCTGAACCGGTTGGCCCATACTTATCTTATCTAAATTGATCCGATAATTTACATTAAACCATTGTAATATTTCGAAATTATAAAATACTGCGCACGACCCTTCTCCTCCTCCTATCTTTATACGTAAGCCGAAATTAACTGAATTTTACAACAATTAATCAACCACGTTACATCATCACCCTTTTATAATCATAGATATGAATAGGGATCCAATCCAAATCACGTATTCTCAAATGACGCCAAAACACACGATCGTATAGAAAAGAGTAGAAAAGAATACCACCCAAGTTTGTGAATGAGTATACTTTAGTTATCTCTGATTTAAATTTAATATCACGAAGTAATGGCGTGGTGGTATATTACACACTTATTATTGGTTAACAGATTTCTTGTCCTGTGTGTATGGAAAAACAAACAAATAGCAAAATAAACATTACGTTACGTATTTCACTGTCCGATTATGCATCAAATCTAATCATGAATAATAATAATGCCCCATAAATGAGTCTCGAGTCTCGTTAGACATGCATTTACTTACATATTATATAATAATAAATAGTAGTACGAAGTGTTGAGTAAGATGAGAATTAGATTTCATCCCACTATTGTAAATAAAACTAGATGTGATGATGACCACAGATTTAACAATATTTTAAATAAGATAATGAGTCAGATAGCTGCCGTAATAAAATTAAAGTAAGTACACATTTGTAATCCTAGCCAATGACGCGAATACGTAAAGTCCATGCATATCCAACCAAGCTACCAAATACTCCACCCAAAGTACAGAATATATGTATGCACATATTATACAACTTATTATTATTAATATTTAAAGAAAAACATAATTCTTTCGGTCCCAATCTGGTGACTATGCTTAATAAGCATTGCTTATCACCCAAGTAATAAAGAAGTACATAATAATTTATAGCTGCTGCACGTTATTTATGTTGGTGAGTGTTTCTCAAGAGTACAAAAAAGTCCCCTTCTTATTTTTATTCATCGGCACGACGACGTCGACGACTACAGACAGTGTTCTATTACAGATTATAGTTTACAAATTGCAATTGCACTTCGTTTATAATGATGTAGCGGCGGCAGCAAGTGCAACATACATATAATTGAAAATGAAGGTAAAGGTGCATAATAATAATATTTCAATGCGATGAATCGCCTGTGCTGTGTTACCTTTGTCAATGAATCTACTTATCTGTAGGCAATGCTGCAATAATATCCCTACATGTAACCTTCAACTAGTAAAATAAAAGTTTAATCATGTCGCACTTTCTTCTAATATTTTGTCTGTAATTGAATCTTCTGCATTTAAAAAACCTCATCTCACGTATGAATGATCTTGAAGGCACGTTATACGACTGAAATCAACATTTTGGCACACAAACATTTGCAATAATAACGGTTTTTCACACGTCGTCGTCCTCTCGTGATTAGGAGCAAGTTCATTTTAAACCCGATTTTCCTTATGCCTCTTCCTATTTGCGAAAAAAAATCAAAATGATCCTCATGTTTCTGAAAGTTTTACTCGTCCAAGGAATAATCATCATTTTACAGCAAACTGTTTTCATCCACATTTAAAAAAAAGTCCCAATGCGAATATAAATTTCGGCTCCACCTTAACCTAAAATCCAAACTGACACAAGGAGCCCGAAATATCTAGTTGCTCTGCCAGTAAATTATTGAGTTCTAAAAACCAAAAGCATGACGTGTATGACATTATGTGAAGAAAGTTAGAAAACGGAATCACCTACACCGACCCGACCATGCCTTCGCCATCGCCTCCATGCTATTTACTTTATCGCCATCACAAGATTCTTTACACGAGTAACAGCAAAAACCATATGTACTCAAGTACGAATGTACAGTGCATGGCGCATCATGTACAGAGAAAAAAGCGAGAGATCATCGGCGCCAGGAGTCCGCCACCGTAATCAAATCAGGGTTTTGATATCAAACAACAATAATATCCAGGCGGTTTTCAACTATATTATATGGTTTTCACGAGAACGTGAGTATTATAAATGTCACAAAGTAGGTATCATTTCCTGTCCTCGCTCTCCTTGCTGCCTGTCCGTCCCCAGACCAAAATCAATAATAGGTAAGCCTCCCTCCTCCCAGGATATGGGGAGATAATATTTATTCAAATAAATTACTTAAGACACTTATCAATCATCATATGCATATCAATTAATATTAATATGCGTCTTATGTACATCGCTGTTAAGTACCTTACACCCAAAACCCTTACTAAATTAGTCATCATAATTTCAATGGACAAACATATTTGCTTAATCCTGCTCCTCCGGTCAATCTGTGTACATAATTCAAGCTATAAGAAAGATGAAACATCATCGCAAAACAAAGGTTTGGATGGCTGCACAGCTCTGATAATAAAACTTGAATGTTTACCGACTGACTTGAGATTTGATTTTATGAATGGGCAACGTTGATAAATCTTGGTCACTGCATGTATGATGTATGTTGACCTGTCCTGTTTATACCTACTCTACGCAAACAGTGGTGATAATATGAGATGCATTTATATTTTCCAATTCATTTATTTATTCTGCTGCTCCATTGTGTCCTGTCCTGTCTCCATCCTTTTAATTCAACGCTACTGCCACACTGATATAAAAAGTATTCATATCAGTGTTAAGATAAGTCCGTGCACACATAAGCAAATTATAAGTAAAAGTATACACATATATTTATGTACCAATCATTCACAAACGTTTTACTAAAGAAAGAAAGGCAACATCAAATAGAATACTCTTTGTCAAACAACAAATGAAAATAAGTATGCAAATTACTTAAGTCCGAACCATAATGCTAATTTTCATTTAATCACGGATACGGTCAAATAAAATAAAGAGTGATACCAACCAAGACGGTATATTTAATAGGGTAACGCTATATACTTGATGAGAATATGAGACGACGGGGTCCACTTGCTTATTACTCATACAGCAAGAGGATTCGTAACACCTGAATCTGAATGGATTAATAAGATTCGGCGACGAGACGAAAAACCAGACGCACGTTGCTGCATGTTGACTAAATATGTATTTATTATCCATAAGAATAATATACATGACTAATATTCTTTTCTCGAGAAAATCATAAAAGAAGGATGTCGAAAGAAACAACACTCATCGCGCTGCCATTGACTTATTTACTGCTGGATGCGAAAAGAAGAAGTGGATGGAAAACAACTCGTAAAAGGAAAGAGTATAGGAATCTGCGGTTATGTATGTACTCCTGAAGATTTATCGCGCAGGGTGGTGAGCAATAGGCCGAATGAATGACTAACAATCAACAACGATTAAAAGATGCCGAATAGAGAAGCTAATTAAGTTAATATGCTCCGTTAACCAAACATGAGGTTAACACATGCCGTCTAAAAGGACTAAACTGTAAAAAGCCATTTGAATTTTAATACTACGTACATGGCTCAGTAACCAATTTTTGCAATATCACCAATGCCATCAAGTTCAACTGACACGCGTTACTTTAGAGCAAAAAAAAATAGAAAATCGACCGTTCCTAGTCCATCCAATCTGCCAACCACCCACCTGACCTCAACCAACCAACTGCTGCCTACAAATCTTTTATCATTTAGCTTGTCATCAAATTCAAATACCAATCAAACACAGAATTAATCAGCTAGAACACTTCTTTTTAATTACACGTCTAGGTCTAAAGATAATTGCGATGAAAAAAAGCATCCGGCTAGTGTAACAGACAAGAAGTTACAACTTATTCATTATTCATTCATTCATTATGCATTATCGGTTGATTGAAAGAAATAATTCAGCACTACATGATCTGCTACATCTCAACTCGAACGTACATACAATCCCTCTTGTTACAACAAACTCGCTGTATTTGCCAAATCAAGTGCGACTCATAATAATAAACGTGTTATTATTCTTTAGTCAGGCTAATAAAATAACTGCATGCGTGTCATAAGTATGTACATATGTATGTACGTAGTGGAGGAGTAGATGTACATGTAAAATATTATTATAGCGTCCCTCAGCCAGTCGCAGCAATCACATCAGTGATGTGACATCACAAACCACGTCTTATTTCCTGGTTGGACTTTGCAACACATTTGCATATTATTCGCCTATTTTATATATGCAATCATGTCCTTTTCTTTCTTTACGTGTTTCTTTATTATCAAGTAATCGAAGGGATTATCACAAACAAAAGAGAGAGAGAGAGAGAAAACCAACAACGAGTCTCAATAATAGCCATAAGTTTGCAATCATATACGTACACACTAGACACACACCATGGTTGGTTGGTGGTTTCATCATTTGTGCCAATAAGTATCCCAATAAATCTTTGCCAGACGCAACATGCAAATAAGAAGACAATGACAATGTGACTGCAAAATCTGCTCTTTTTAAACTATATCAAGATTGCAAGTTCGACTTCCTTGAAACTTATTATTGGTAAAATTCCCTCCTGCGGCTGGATGCAGTAGACGATGTACTTATGTACATTGGATGCAGCCACAGACATGAGAGGACCACCTCCGTTTATGTCGTCGTCCGTTTTGGATTTAGAAAAATAAAGTAAATAACATGCACTTCTTGGAGACGAGTTAAACGTGTATAATTTCAAAAGCAATCGTCAATGATGTTTTTGCCAAACACCATTAAGTATAAGGACACAGATGAAGATGCATTTACCAGCAGCAGCACCAGCAGAAATAGTTATAATAAAGTCAACCTATCCGTCTTGATCAACCAAGCCATCATCATCATCATCCATGGTGTTTCATGCAATGAAGAGAGAGAGTGATACGTATGTATGTACAACTTATACGTCTTCTTCATACACACGGATAAAGATTTGAGACGTTGAGAGACAGTTAAGAAAGAAACTAAAAAGACAGCAAGCAAATTTTGAAACTTGGCCAAAGTAAAGTCAACGGGCGAAAAGGTTCAAGAAATAAAAGTTTGCTACTTGCAGATTCGGTGCAAAGATAACGTCTACAGCAGATCGAGAAGGAGGAGGAGGAGAGAAGAAGATGTATAATTTGCTGAACCTAACGAAACCCGTCTTTAATCTGGCTCAACAACAGCCAAAAACCAATGTGGAAAATGGAAATGCAACATGACGGATCAGCAATATATATTAAGATGAGGGTGTACATTTAATCCTACACGGTGTGGAGTGGATCATGCACATATGGCAGTTTTAAAGGAACGAAACGTTTATATAATTTCTTAGTCCGTGATATCATCTTAACATTATGGATTGCGATTTGATATGGTAAAAGGCTACATTTGACGACTCGTTCGAAATTATTATTGTAAAGAAAGTCATTCGACGACCGTAATAATTAAATGAGCAAAGAAACACAGGGTATCTATGATGAGTCAACTTGTTACTTTTCCTAAACACAAGGCTGCAGGTTAGTAAAAAAAAGTTCTTAAACTTAAACCATGATGCAAATGCCCTTCGTCTTCTTCATCTCGTATGCACATATTGCTCGTCGTTCATCTTCGTCGTCCACTTGTTTTATGTTTTTGGCTGTTGCTCGAACAACTCTTTTTGATTTTGTATGCAGTTGAAGTGAAGTTGATGCCTATACTAAAAAACTTTTACATTGTTTGTGCTGCCCACGATGGTTCAGTTCGGCCAGGTACATTATCATCATGTACAGTAGGAGAGAAAGAAAATGTTAAATGTTCGAGTCCTCTTTCTGAATCGAATCAAGAAAAAATATTAAATGTTGCATGCACGCTGCTGCATCCTACTCAATAATACTCGTTATTTGGAACGAACGGGAATTTGATGTTGAACTCAAACACTAAATAAACCAGCTCTTTCTTTCCTGCATCTTTCTTTTTGACGTTACAACATCATCATCACATATTATTGCATGACTTTTAAGTGTGTACCATACCACTACGCCAGAATAATAATAATGCCACCATGCATCGGGCTAAACTATAATCACAAGCCAAGCCAAGTGTGTGTGTGAGACGTCAATTCAGCAGATTTAAAAGGTTACATACAGCAGTAGTGGAAGTAAAGTAATAACTGAATTTTATATATCTGAACGCGACATACGGTATTCAACAATGCCTAAATATTATCCAACTTCTTCTTGGTCTCATTGGCGTTACCCACCTTCGTCTTCTAACGTTTAGAAGGTTCATTTGGTTCAGGTGGTTAAAAAGTGCTTAAGCACCGTCATATAGATGCACATATATATACACACCAACCACCGCAATAATATGATTCGGTTGGACAGAATGCACAGTAATAGCGCATAAGAAGAAGGAAATATTATCATGTACATACATCCATTTGACTTGTACGTGTGTTGGTACAATTGTGAGAAAGAGCTTCTCTACCAAACTAGTCGTCGTAGTCGTCTCAACTTTACTTGAGAGAGTCTGACTTGCATACGAGAAGAGACCTACAAAATCCCACCACACCAAGTAATCCTAAGTAAGCAAAGCAACACCTTCTTCAAGATTCAACCCTCCATGCAACCCTCAGCAAGAAGAAGAAGAAGTACGTATGACCAAAATCCCAGACCAGGTAAGAAAGAAAGAAAGCCAAACATTACAAGACGAGAGAGAGAACATCATCACGCAACAGAAATGAAAGGTGTACATACACAAGGAAAACATCCCCTCGGGTAATATAAATACACGGCAGAAACTCACATCATCACACTTACATGAGAGATAGTAGTACTGGCTGCTTTATACCTGCTGCTGCATTGTAGCAACAAGGATAAAAAACTGTGATATAGCTCGACCAACAAGACGACGATTGCGGAGGAATAACAACGTAGTAGTAAAAGACCAAAAGTTATCCATCAACCAACCCCTCCTGCCTGCTTCCCTTAAAACTTGATACGACGACAATCGTCATCATCTCATGAAGGCAAAAGCCTCTACCACCACACCACCAATATGACTGCTTTTGTCCATTATTATCCGAAACACAACAACTATGGCCTTGAATACGTAATAATATGAATGGAGGAGGAGAGGAACAAAAGAGCTTTGAAGTCACACTACGACGTGGTGACAAGTCTACACAGCACATGCATCCACTGCTTAAATAATGACGAAGTGAGACTAATTATTGCGTAAGTAAAATGAGGTGAAAATATTTTCTCACTTGATGAAGTAGATTTGGCCTTCCGGAGTGCAAGCTTGTTCCCATCCGGGTGGCAAGGGGTCATCGGAAAGGTTATTTGCGCTGCCTGACTGAGAAAGAGAAAGTCCGGGCAGGGCGGCTGCCACGGAATAAGTCTGCTCCAAAGTGGCTGGAGAACTGTGTGCTCGAGAATGACTTGCCCCCGCAGTGGAAAGTGGACTCCTTCTATTTACAAAATATGGCAATTAATTACCACGTTTTTTAAATGAGTGAAAGTATTAATTTGGACATACCTGACGGGGTTGAGCGTCGAGTCGACCGAGTTTTCCCTCGAGTGACTGACACTGCAGGACGGAGACTTTGACCCGATGGAGGGTGGATTGAAAAAAGAGTCGGGTAAATTTCTCAATCTTAAAGGTACTTGTTTCGGTCGTCGGTTTGCATTTGGTGCAAGGACAGAGTCGAAAAGAGCTTGCAATTCGGAGTCAGAGTCACCCCTGATGTGAATGACTTGGTTTTTGTGTGACTGTCCGTTCGGAAGTCCACCTCCGGATCCACCTGTTGCCATTTTGCAGCAGAATTCTCCCGAGAGTCCTGATTCTTAATCACTAAAATTATGTATGGCGATAATTCTTCTTAACCGAACTGACACTCGGTTTCATTGCACAATTCCAGCAGCAGTGGAGAGAGAAAACCTTACAACTTGGAGTTAATAATTATGCAAATTAGATACCCTTCTTTCTCTTTCTTTCTCTAATGAGAATCTCACTTTGTTCACTACTCTTCGTCTCACCACCACGACCACCTTCACCACGTCTCAAAAATACTTGAGGGCACTACTACGTTATTATTATAAGGTCACAAAGAAGAACCACACTCATTTGAATTATCGGCAGCTTATAAAGATGGTCCAAAATATTGCAAAAATCGTTAAACAAAAGTATTATAAAGTTAGTAATATAATCATCATCGTCGTCGTCGTCGTCGTCGTCGTGCAACTATTGTGATGGGCGGACTGGCTGAGGACTGAATAGTGACTGGGATCCAGTAAAACCACCCAACTAACCCAGCCCCTAATAACTCTCAAAACTTATTCAATTCACTTCACTACTGCTGCTTTACACGAATAGGAATATGTATGTGAGCATAGACAATACGTGTAACCGGAGGCTTTTAACAGGAGTAGTAACTAAACTCACAGGAGACAGACTCACTACTTACTTATTATACATTTGGCTTCGTTGTTAACTAATAGTTAAAAGTTAACTTGGTTTTGGACGGAGGATATCTTTTTGAGATGATGTAGCTCTATGTACCTTCACTTACACGATGATCGTGATGATGGAACCAAACTCTCCCTGTTTCAGAGACCGTAAGATACGTATATACATATTGTAAGAGATGATGTTGGTGTTAAAGAAGAAGTGCATTCCTCTTACACACTTTTGTACGTGTGTATATACTCATATTATTCTGTGCATTCACTCTTTTTCTTCGTCTTCTCCTTCTTCCCAGTAGTGCAGCATCAACTTACTTTGTGCATGCAGCAGCTCCAAGTTGGATCTGTAATTACAAAAAAATACAAGTTAAATAAACATAAGGCAACGCAAAACTATGAAAACCACACCATGCATATGTCATCTATTAGTAAGAAGACTATTATCCGGATCTCTGGTGTTTCTCTTCTTCCATGCATCCACGCACGTTAAGAATGAACCATATATCATGATTTTGTATGTGTGTGTGCTCACCTTGATTTTGTAATTTGCTTATCAACAAAGAACTCAAACCTGGACACTTCTCCCCATAAACTGTTCCCCACTTAAGAAGAGGATGCATATACGCAGCTATTTAGTAAATAAATAACACACTCTACTTGTGCCTTCACTTATCCTGACAAAATGTAGCAACAATTTTTTCTAAACTTTTCCCAAACAGTTAGTCAGAAAATCGAACCCGATAACTTGGCCTTTTTCAGTGTTTATTATTATGCACTGGGTTAAATGTATATTTATATGCACTTGCTAATAAGTAACTAACTAAGCAATATGCAGTCTCAAAATTTTACATATCCATCCTCCACATTATTACCTGCCGTACCTATGTACCTGCTCATATACTTACTTGCTTATTATGTGTGTGTACCTGTTTAAGCTCACTTCGGTTCCTTTTCCTTCCATCACTCGGCCTGTCCGTGAGTTAACATTACAACTCACCTCTTGAAGAATAATACACTTCTTCGTGGCTGGTTGAGGTCTGCGGGACGCAAAAAATAATCCTATCTCTCTTTTGAAACAAGACCAAACGAAACCAAACCACCATCACCTTGGTAAAGGAATCGTATCTACGAATTCTAAGGGAGAGAAGGTTGTAGAATCCCTTCCAGTTCGGGAGAGGAGACAATTAAAACTTTTGATTTTTTTTTGTCCAACCAAGAATTCCTTTCCTTAACAATCAAATTGATGTACCTGAGTACCTGTGTGTCCAGGAGAGAAGAGAGGGTGTTCGGTTTGAGACCCTTCTTACCTGCTTACTAGCAATGAGATTTATTATAATATTCTATAACTACATAGGACCAGAAGTCTCATATCTTTCTGAGTTTTTTTCTTCTCTAACCAGCCATCATATCCTGGTCTGGTCTGATTGTCCATCAGCATCAGTCACTTCTTATGCCTCTTTTTCTTTGGGCAGGTCCTTGGTTTGGTCGGTGGTTTGGTGTAGTCCCTGATCATTTTGATTTACAGCTTCTTCTTCTTCTTCTTCTCCTAGGAGCAAAAATCTGCCTGTCTTGCGATCCTCTTTTGTTGTACCACTTTCAATGAGAAAAAGGACGGGCTGACTGACCGACCAAATGCCTACCTGTTTGGCCACACTGTAATTTATTATTATCCACTTTGCCAAGGGACTAAGAAGAAGAAAAGGTACCACACCACCGGATCAAGCTTCATATTCGTGATTTTTGCTGCATTTCTTGAGACGTGTTGTAACTTGTTGGACCGAAGTATAGTAAACTACCTGATATTACCTTGTAGCAGTATTAAGCATTATTGGCTAGATTAACGGAGAGGTTGTTGGTGGCTTAAACTTAAACGTATTCATGGAACGCAGATACATACATATTTTCTTATTAGCCTCAAATACTGAATGGTCACTCAATCAGTGGTGGTTGGTGGCAGCAAAGTAAACGTTATTCTTTTTCCGAAAAAGTCTCAAGGGACGACAGACAGGCAGAAAACCATTAAGAAAGCGGCGAGTTGTCTCAATAATAAACAAAAGCTCAGCCCTCATTCAACTCACGACTCGAAAATTTTGTCATAATTCAAAATCAGGCAAATGTCATTGTTACTGCATTCCACAAAAGTACTCAAAACTCTGTTCTCAAGAAATGTTTCGTATTGTTGTGATGTTTACTTTTATGAAATGGAACGTTTTAGAAAACAAGGTAATAATGGGAGAAATCCATTTACAGAGGGATGTTAAATACAATGCATTAACGACACAACTCATGTATAGAAGCTATACTTCTAAAACCTCGAAATAAGTGGACCAATAAACATATCATTTGGAATTTGTCACATTTTTCATGATCAGTAATTCGAAAATAATTTGAACAGATTTAATATTTCTTGCTTTCACCTGACTTTCTCCTTCTTCTTAAATGATGAGATATCTCAACGCCGTAATTGTAAATAAATTATCTCGTCATTGAATTTACTACTTTTGCTTTTTATTTAATTTTTTGAACCATTACTCCAATGAAAGTACCTGTCAGTAAGCCTAAAATTTAATGTTTGAATAGTTACCATTAAGATAAGATGGATACAATGATTATGATATTTAACTTATCTTTTTGCCGTAATCTTTATTAAATTAAACTAATTGTAAGAAACAACGCTGAATTTCTTTGTCTTCTCGTCCACAGTTCACCCCTTAGTCTTTGTCCACCGCGATTCTGTGAATGTCGAGGAAAAGTTTTGTTTTCGTTCGATCGGAGAAAGCTGCAATTTTCTTGTAGCTCCCAGATTTTAAATAAATCTAATTGTTTCCTCTACTTTTAATTAATATAACTGCTCATAATTACTGAACTAAAGTAGTGTGAAGAAGGGAGACAAGAAGGGTGAAGGGAAGGGGTGGCACGGACCATAAAATAGGTAAAGATAATCGTTACACATTTATGAGTTAACGTTATTTTGTTGTTATTTTGCTTAATTTTAATTATGACATTCTTCTACCAGCAAAAATTGGTGGTGAACTAGAGCTGGAAATTAAGATCAGTCTATTTGGTTGATTTTGTCAGGATGGATCCAGCACTGTTACGGGAACGAGATGCATTCAAGAAACGTGCTTTATCAACTCCAGTGTAAGTGTACACAAATTAGTGTTAGAAAATGAAAAGGTGGATGACATATTCTTATCCAATAATTTAAAACTTGTAGAATCGAAACCAAAAAGAAGAAAGAAGAAAGTTCTAATGATTCAGCCCCTAAAAAACCAAAATGGTCCAATAATGGAGTGCCACCACCGCCCCCGCATTCAAATAATGATCCCCTTGGGTCGAAAACTATGTATGTATAAGAATATAAAATATTTTTTCCCCAGCATCTGTTGGACTTATTAATAACACGGCTTTTATTTTCTTACATTTTGTAGGTATAAGGGTTTAAGTAATGTTGGACTGAGTTCATCTTACAAATTTGGAGTTTTAACAAAAATTGTGAAACACTTGAAGCAAAAGTTTCAAGATGGGGAGGATCATCCTTTAGCATTGGAGGAAATATTGGATGAGACTAATCAGCTAGATGTTTCAGGAAAAATTAGACAGGTGCGACTAATCAATGCATTTTTAATGCCATAATTGAGGTTTCATTGTTGTGTTATTAGTGGTTACAAACTGAAGCCCTACCTCATAATCCGAAAATTGACACAACTTTCGAGTCAAAATATCAATTTAAACCACCATTAGCTTGTCGAGATAAAAAATCACTGTTGAGACTGCTTAAACAACACGATTTAAAAGGTCTTGGTGGAATTTTAAGAGATGAAGTTGTCGAGTCGGTGCCTCATGCGGAGAGAGTTTTAAAAGTATCAGCAAATTCAACATTTACAATCATCATTACTTCATATAGTCATTCATTATGTTTAAAAATCCTTGATTCCGACAGATACTCGATCCGGAAATTATTACAATAATTCGACAAGATAAGAAGAAAGTGTTATTCTACAATGACCGACACGCAGATTTGAAAGTAGACGAGGAATTCCAGAAGCATTGGAGGTCCGTGGCCGTGGAAGGAATTGATGATGCCAAAATAGAAGAATATTTAGACAAGCAAGGTATAAGATCAATGCAGGATGACGGAAATAAGAAGCCAATTAAGCCTCCAGTGAGACGAAAGGGTCAACGAAAGAAGCAGTTCAAGAAGGCCAAAGATAACGAACATATTGCTGATGAGTTAAGACACTATGATAACTAATTCCTAAATTCCACATATATTTTTGTGTATTGATGATGAAATGAATTCACAATACAGTGTACACTACAATCTTTTTATTACTCATTGTCAAAAAATGTATTTAATTTCCGTCTAGACTAAAATAAAAATAACAAGTTCAAAGTGCATTCACAGTTGACAGTATGATTTGATTTTGTTTAATTTCGAGTAAAAAAATAACTGGAATTTCATGGCCCAATTGTTGAATAATGAGCGTATTTTTATATGACCTTGTCTAATTTAATGCAATGGAATAAAATATTTATCGCATTATACACAAGTCTTATGCAGAATCAACACAGCAAAACTCATATACATCCATGGCAAAACTACACAAGCAGCGTGGAGATATTTGTTGTTAGTGTTTTAAACAGTTTATTTTTTCATTTGCATTTTATTACATTTTACAGTTCATTCAGAGTAATAATACTTTGTGCCATTATATCAATAGTTGGTTTAACAGGGTGTATGTATGTATTAGGACTGTAGAAAATAAGGCACCCTATCGTAGACCTCATTTCTGGCTGATTTTGGCACAAATTAAAATACTGAAGTTATTTTACAAAGATCAAAAAATCTTATATTTAATTAATAATTTCGTAAATAATATATACACTTAATTGTTTCACTATGTGGTCTAAAAATACATTACGTGGGCAAAAAAGATTAGTAATTACATCTGTTCAATTAAAATACTGTTAGTTAATAGTTGTAAACGGAAATAAAAGTCTTACGGTCAGTACCGTACCAACAGTGGTATATGGTGGTAGCAAATACCAGGCCCGGGGCCCGTAAGGGCCCGGGCCGGGTCGCTAGCTTTACACTAGGTATAATAGACTTTTGTGTATTGAAGATTTTACAAAAAAAATCCAAAATTCATTTCTTACATGTAAGAAAATTTATTTGTGTGGAATAATTTTTGTTTGAATGTATCTAACGTTAAACTGTTAGATATTATTTGTTTTTCATGGGTAATTATTTTTGTATGAATTTGGGCAGACATACATACTGGACAATTTTTAATTTTAATAGTCTGACTTTCGAATTTTAATTAATATGCAAAATCGTCATTTTAACTGAACCTACATGTTTTATGGCAACTTGAAATGTGCCTTGCTAGGGGGCAAATTTACCATAACCTAGGGACAAACTTTGGTATAAACTTAGGACCCTTAATCTACAATGCTATGACGCCAGAGGTCTTGCTCCGATTTTGACGAAACCACGATAATTATGTAACCTTAGACAAATAAGTAATTGAACATGTGTTCCAGGATTTTTCGTAATGCTTAAATAAAATTATGACGGAATCCGTGAGCGAGAATTTTCATTTTTACCTTGACATTTTTCATGCGAGGGAGAAAAATACAGATTCTCGCATACGAATTCCATGATAATTTCGTATAAGGTTAAAATGCGTCGGCATGAAGTGGTTTCCTCAAATTGCTCACGCACTCAAGTAACCCGAAGGGTAATTTTCATGTTCCTGAATATTCGTGTTTTCGGTTGTGGAAGAATTTTTGAATACATTTTCAGCCAAAGCAGGATTTTTCAAAAAGTTGCTAATTTTAAAATTTGAACGCTATTTCAAAAATCAAGGGACATGTTTTCTAAAAAATTACCTCCATAAAATTATAAAAACCTACTCCAAGCAACTTTGCGGGGCCTTTTAAGATGGTATTAATGCCATCTTGATAGTTAATGGCAACACATTTGGGTGGAAATGACATCCACTGGCTAACCACTTGACCGATCATACCCTTCTCCGAACTCATCCTTACTTTTTACCTGAAGATGAAGCATGCAAAATTTCAACTCGATAGCTTTTGTTTAAAGAGAGTTATCGTGCCTACAGACGGACGGACAGACAGACATCTTGGCAAATCTATAAGGCCATCTTAAAAGGCCTAAAACTGTTTTTGGAGAAACTTTTAATGTTTGAAACTTTTATGCTATTTCGAAATTTTGAAAAAATGTTACAGACCAGAAAATTCGAAAAATCAAAAGTTTTTGAATTGTGGAAGTTTCTTAAACTCAATGTAATTATGTGCAAAAATGTTCTTTCATTTTTGAAATGGGGTCAAAGTTTATCACTTTGAAAAACCCTGATTTGGCTTAAATATATTCACAAATTCTGCCACAACCGAAAACACGAACATTCATGAATGTTGTCCTGCAGGAAAACGTAAATTATGGTTCGGGTAATTTTGGTGTGTGAGCAATTTAAAATTACAATTTAATTGTCACTATTTTCCCGTGGATCTGGGAAAATAGTGTGCTCTAAATAGGTAAAATATTACTTCGTTCCAAGATACTATTAGTATTCTGGAGCGAAAACGATTACGTAATATCGAATATATTGAACATGAAGGGCCCGGCACTGAAGCTCATACCAGGTCTGAAAATTTCACGGTACGGCTCTGCTTACGGTAAAACTACTACAGGATGTTTATCTTAAAATACTTAAAAAATAGTGTATTAGTTTCATACATCAATTTCACATATAAAAGGCAGCTGGTTTCATTGATTGACAGAGGATAGTCAGACAGAAATAGGCAGTTTGAACACAATATGTAAAGGGAAAGTGGGCCAAATTGGCCAATTTTAAAATGCAAAGATTAATTTTGCTGCAGTTTGCATGGACTTTGTTATGTTACTGATTTGGCTGTGGAGATGGAACGGTCCGACGAGCGGCTTGCTCATGCATTTTCTTTAACCTGGAAACAAAGCATAAAATTATTCAGTTGTTCAATAAAGAGTCAAGCTCTATGAATAAGCTGAAATATTTAAGTACATACCGGCGTCGCAATTCCACTGGAAACTTTTCATAGCATTTCTTGCAAACTGGTTTCGTGTCAAATTCATAGAATTTTGATTTTGGATTCAACCGTTGGTCGCAAACCGAGCAAGCGAAATGGTGTTGGCACCATGCTTTATTTAAAGCTGTCACAACTATTGGCAAAAACATGAATTGTTATTTGACGCTACTTAAAATTATGCTCAATTTATACGCTGGCGTCCTTACCATCTCCAGTGATAACTGCAAAACGAATTAGGTATGAATGATGCGGGTTGGCGGGGCAAAATGAGAACGATGGTTGTCTTACCCCACAGTGGGATGAGACAAGATGAGACTTGTATTTTTGTTGGATATCAATAATAGTAGTAAACAGACAAGTTGAAACGTGTCGATACCTCCATAATTCATCCATCATTTCAAATTCATCAAAGTTAGACAGAATTTTGTATCGTTTCCGAAATTAAATTTTATTCCGAATTTCTGCGCCAACTTTGACCTTGTCGTCACCCCCCACCCACAATGGGATTCAAGGAGGGTCATCGAGCTTTCGAAACTAATACTGTTCATTGTAATATATCAGAATTCCGTGGATCAACGGCCATTATCGACGGGACGGGAATGGCTTTTGCCAAGTCATTCTCAACCACAGGAGAGACTGAGGAGGACGCCGCAGTGATTAAGTTTGAGACATCCATGACCATCAAACTGAATCTCCTTCAGAAAATGGACATTAAGACCATAGTGGTACTTGATGGGAGGAAATTACCTGCCAAATTAGAAGAACAAGAGCGACGACGTGACCAAAGAGCCAAGGAAAATGGGACGAATTATCTCCTCGCGAAGAACAATGGCGACGCCACTATCGTGAGATGGGTGACGGCGCTGTGTGACAAGTTTGGAGTTGATGTCATTGTCGCCCCCTTCGAAGCCGACCCCGTCATGGCTTGGTTGTCCCACAGTGGGTATGGGGACATTATCATAACAGAAGATTGTGATATGATCGGGTATGGGTGTGAGAAGGTGAGTTTTAATCCCGATTCTAAATACGTCAAATTGAGGATGATTAAATTCACGAAGTGACCACAGTGGTATCATTTTTGTTTCCAGATATTTTTTAAGATGGATAACAATGGCGACGGTGACTACTTTCAGAAGACTGACTTGGGTCGCATTTTTGATGTTGACGTCGAAGATATCAACCCAACTACATTCCTACGCTTTTGTATTCTACTTGGATGTGATTTTTTTCCCAGGATCCCCAATATTGGAATGACAAAAGTCTTCCAAATCATGGACGTGACTTCCACAATGGAAATTGATAAGGTACTGAATAATATTTCCCACAGTGGGTATTTATTTACACAACTCAGAATTAATTTCTTACTTAATTTGATCTAGATTTTGACCCGAATTCAACATCTCTACCCAGATATTCCAATCCCTCCTGACTATAAAGAAGGTTTCATTCAGGCTGAGCAGGTGTTCAAACACTCGTGGATTTTTAACTTGAAAAGCAGGAAAGTTGAAAACTACACACCACTCCCTGATTCCCTTCGGAACACCAATTTGGATTTCCTTGGATCCACTGTGGATGACGCAGCAGAGTATCAACAAGCACTCGGCAATACTGATCCCTTCAATGCTCAAGTGTTTCGGAATTTCAACCCCACCCACTGTGGGAAGGAATCTATCTGGAGCACCAAACGAAGAAGAAGTGGACTCCCCCATCAGCTGTGCAGACTATTGAAAGGAAGGAGGATAAAAATTATGTGGATTTGGAATGCCCCATTTGTGGTTCGAAATGGCCTTTTCCTAGCGCCCTTGTAGCTCATCTCAGAACCCACAGTGGGGAGAAGCCCTTCACATGTCAGATCTGCAAAGAAAATTTCATTCAAAAGAGTAATGCCGACGTACACAATGCACAAGCTCACAACCCCAAACATACGTTTCGCTGTTCCCTCTGCCCTTGCCAATTTGCGACTAACATGGGTCTTTCAATTCACGTATACCAGCGCCATCCCCACATCCACAATGGAAAGGGTACCTGTGAACTCTGCGGAAGTCAGTATGAAAAGCTGACAGAACACAGAAAACTTGCACACAACCCCGACCACGCGTATGTCTGCCAGAGGTGCCCATGCCGTTTTTCGTCGAAGGTGGGTTTGACGATTCACATTAAAAGTCAGCACGCATCCACAACTGGAAATACCGTCTCCACAATATCATCTACTACAAAGTAAACCCACAGTGGGAATTTGTAATTGGAATTCTGTCTCAAATATATTTAACTCGAATTTTACTTTGTATTGCAGCAGATTCCGCCCCGTTTTGGCAACTGTTACCTCCACCGTAACCTCTGATGACCAGGACATGGCGTCAACTCCACCATTGAAACGTAATACTTATAATAATTTACACATTATTTGTCGTTTCCCACAGTGGGCGATAAAAGTGGATCAAGTTTAATGTATGTTGTTTGTATTGTAGGTCAGGCCGAGAAGAGAGACAATCCCGGAGCAAAGAAATCAAAACAAACGACGATGCATAGTTTCTTCAAGCGTTAAATATAGTTCTTTTTACTATTTACCACTGTGGTGTCTTTTTTTATATTTATATTTACGTTTATTGATTAACTAAGCTTATGTATCAGATGATATTTTGAGTACATATATAGTTGTGGACGGTTTCTTACCTTGATTGCAAATGAAGCAAAGATTTCCAAATAACTGATGGTAGTGTGTCTCGCAATATGCCAGACCTTTCTTCTCATAATGCCGATGACCCAAGAATGGCTTCTCACATTTTGCACAAACTAGACAAAATTTTCACATTTTTTTACATCCAAACTTATCAAAATAAAATTGGAGTAACGAAAATTAATCAACTCAGCTAACCGAAATGTTCGACATGCCAATGTTTTCCAAGAGCGGTGACCACTCGTTCTTCAATTGGGCGTCGGCACGCACCACAAATAGGAATTCCCTAAAGTACAATCAGTGATAATGTAATTTTGGATTTATAATAATTTGATTGTTTAACCAGTTAAATTTACCATTTTGTCGTGGCATCGAAGACAGTACAATTGATTCATGTCGTTCGCTGCATATCCAGGGCGAGATTTCACTTCTCGAGCGTCAGAGTTCAATTCAACTCCACTGTACATAAAGAATACCAAAGTTATTTGGGTAACTAGCTATGATTAGTTAATTTAATTACAAATAACCTACCAAGCAGTACAGTTGAAATGATAAGGATGAAATACTTCACCCCTAAAACGGAGAGGCTTATCATCAATGACTCCACTGTAAATAGCACACAAAATTTAAATGTAATATTTCGTAAGATATATGAAACCAAGTAATAAAAATTGTAAAAAGACTTACTGGCATTTTTGGCAGACTGAAACGCCAATAAAAATTTGTATTACAAGTTAGTTTAAGATTTTTGTTTTTAGGTAAATATAAATGTAAGGACAACTGACGGCATATAACTCACCGTACTTTCCAAGTCCTTCTGCTTTCACTTTTGCATTACAATCGTGACAAAGAGCACGGCCTTGATTTTTTATAAAGCCTAAATCTGCAAGTTCTTTGTCACACATTTGACAACTGAAGCATTTAGGGTGCCAGCTTGCATTCATAGCTTTTATGACCCTTCCAACAATAAATTCGCCTACAAACAAATTGGAAGAAATATTTAGATAATTAAAATCCTTACAAAGAATGAACGCTAAATTCCAATCTCTTACCGCATTTCTGGCAGCATGGTGCAAACAGCACGTGAAAGTCATGCTCGCAATACTTTCTCCCATCAAATTCGTAGAAAACTCCGTCGGGGAATCTCCGAAAGCATTGTGCACACCTGCATAAAACCAATTTCACTCGTAACTATTAAGTTCTAAGCTAAATTTTTTATACGATTTGTGAAAATTACTCACACAAAGCAATCAGGATGCCACAATTCCCCATTGGAGTTTACAATCTTATCCTGTGGTTCGAAACCGTCACTGTAATAAATAAAAATGATATAGAAATACCTTGCGTGTAAAATAGTGACGCTTTCTCCTTACCCGCATCTGGAGCAAAACATACTTCCAAGGGCCAGGTTGATGCTGAAAGGAATACAAAAATTTTAATTTTCATTCCAAACAGCTAAAAGCAAATTCCGACAAATAAATCCATATCGCTTAACGTATTCTTGTACCTCTCAAAGTCCTCATGTTTTATGATGAGAGTTTTACTTTTACGACGAATAAACAAATTACTTTCGTCAATGTGCAACGATAAATGCTGCATTTTTAAGCAAATAGCATTCGAATACCACAATTTATAATGTCAACCGTACCGTATGTACATACATACAACTACAAACTAATTGTGAATGTAGTATTGAATGGACAAGTACTACAAGAATTATAAAAATAGACATGACACTGTGTAAGTTAAAATCAAGCCCATATTGAGTCCTTTTATTTGCAAAAGTAGTGGATGGATTCATTTACTTTTAAGTCTGACATTTCATCAAGCTTAACATCAACCATTTACACCACTGTATAAAGAGATAGCTCTGTTGTAGATAGATAATCACTCTCATTACTTACTTACTTAAACCCTCTCGAGTTGACATATACACATCATACCATACTCCATTTCATACCATATCAATTAACAAACACAAAAGGCATTAAATGTTTACTTAACCTGAACTCTAATTTACAATGCACCACAATCCACATGCACAACCATTATTGTACTTAATACTCCACACAAGTACTCGCTTAAAGTGTAAAATGTTACGCAAACAAAAAAAGCAGAGAAATATATAAAGCCGAGTTTGTCTTATCATCATCTTGGTTTCGCTTAAAACTTTTTAATGTGGCACGGCCAGGCCACTATCTCTTTTTTGCAGTTTGGTGATAATAAATAATGCACGTGGGTGAAAAAGGTTAGTCATTCGTCTGGAGAAAGTTAACGTGTACGAGTACTTGTACTTACCCTGGCATTGCTTTCCCTCAGATAAATCACACTCGAGAAATCCTTATATGCAATTCAATTCAAATTCAAGAAGAAGCAGAATTAGTCCATTCACGATAAGCCAACAATCACGTCTGAAATCACATAATATCAAATTACTCACAAAAATAGCAGCAGAAAAAGAAAGTGATATAGATGCAGTGCAGTGGCAAATAAATAAAATATGTACACCCACAACGCCTTTAAAAAAATGCTGCACTCTCTTAAATACAAAGTACATTTACTTTCTACATAGCGGTTAGTTAGCAATTAAGCGTACATATATTTTTTAGAAATTGATACAAATTAGTGCAATACCTTTAACTCGGGCCCCCTCTTCCGAACACTATTTTTTTACGAAAGAGTTAGCAAATGGCACACGGAGGAAGTTGTGCCAACTTAGAGAAAAAGTAAAGTAGGTACATTTATTTTAACACAAGGCTTGCCAAAAAGTGTGGGTGTGTTGCCAGAGTGTATGTAATAGTAATGTACACATATATATATGCATAAGTTGGTGGAGTTTAGTTGGTTTTGGTACATGTACATCTGTATATACGCTCTCAACCCTTTCTTTCTTGTTGTAATGTAAAATACATCAACATTATGGATGGTGTATGAATCAGAGAAGACTGAGATTATTGGGCTCTTCTTCTTGGTTTTGGGCGAGGTTTCCCTTTCTTTTTATGCAAGTCCAAATATGGAACATCTAACTTTGCGACATGTACATACGTATCTTGATATCAAAATGTGAAATTAATAAACTGCATTGATTTATTCTCCTATAATTCACTAATAATCAGCAAGAAATATATTATATATAGGAAATCTAAATGTGATGATGTGAATGATCTCACACAAATAATATTTACAAACCTTACTGTCTATAATCAGCAGTATTATGCAGCACATGTATTTACTGCAATGAGAATTATGCATGTATTTATGTAGATCATGAAAGTCAAGAATGTTCATGAATCTTTATCAAAGGTTTGGTACATAAATTACAAGTGAAGTCTACAATTAGCACAAGCACAACTTCAATTGGCTTTATCAATCATACATGATCGCGTTATATCAATCATGTCATGTGTCGCAAAAAATGCACGAGACTAGTAATGAGTAATGTCATCCCCACTTGTTGTCTAATTTTTGCATTCAGCCAGCACTCACCACTTGTGCTATAATGTACATGCATATAATGTATGTACCTATTCTATTCCATCCAGTAAAGTAATTGACATTTAAAAAATTCCAAGCCCACCAGACCAGACTATGTCAACATTAATAAGTAATTGAACAACCACATCCGAATTTTCATACTTCTGCTGTACACACATCAAGCTACCCCATATACGATATAAATACTTACATTCATGAATACGTGTAGATATGTAGCTCCATCATATATTGATTATTTCAATTCCCTTGCGACTCAACACGCCATTCTTCCATTAAACTCGTACTTTTATGCCATTATTAGCATGTGTCTCTTTCAGACACGGCTGCTACGCAATTATTTCTGCACAATTATATAATGCCACCGAGAACTATTCAGTTACAGTGCAAAAAACGCCTACACACAAATTCATGCCAGGGTCGCTGATTCACCATTATTTATTTCTTCATCAACGACATTACACCGTTCCCCATGCAGTTTCAGTTTTGTACTCTTGGTGCTGTATAAGTAAGAGATTTTACTAATTCATATGCCTTATTTCCCCGAATGACATGACACGATTGCACTTTATCTGAGTCATCGTTGCGGAGAAAGTTGTAATCCACCAACAACCCACACAATTTTGCATTCATATTGCGAAAAAGCGAGAGAAAGTTTGTGTCCTTGTGCCCATCGCGTGACGGTTTCGTGGCTCCAACAGTAAAAAACGCCCCACAGAAATAAATAACAATTTTCGTATTTTGTTGAAGAAAGTTGAAATTTCTAAAAATATGGAACCCTTATAAACTTGAAATATAATTAATATAAGTGTATCCTAATACCTGGTTATATTTTTGTTGCGATTTTTAATTAAGTTTCTTAGAATTTAGTGACCTGATTGAGATTTTCATTTGTATAAAAAAATTCAGATTTGTGCTAAATTGTAAATTTGAAATTGAGAAAGGACGACAGAGTAATTAGTTAGGTTTAATTTTTTAGCGGAAAATGATACATCCTTTGCACGTTATTCTTCAGCGTCGGCCTTATCTCTTGGTTCAATTCTGATCGTATTGGGAGTTGTAAAATATAATAATTTTACTTCAAAAAAGTTTGACACTTCCCGTTTATGATGATACTATCATTATCAAAGAGATAACTCTGCACTTGAAAGGTATTGCATTAGCCTTATCTAAATCTACCAGGATTTCCCAATCCAACCCATTAACTGATTGACATCAGCGAACTGAGAGTTTTCGGATTCAATGTCATTATTGTTGACGGGGTAGTTAGGTAGGTAGGATATCGATTGCGTAATTACAAGATAAGCAGGAGATAATATAACGCGTGTTCTCCTCTATTGGAGTAGGAGGGCGGAAGAGACAAAGGAAAACATAAAAAAAACATATAATCTCCTTGTTGATAACCATCAATCATCATGTCTCGCGGAGGTGAAAGTAGCACGGGGAACAGCAACAGCAGTACGACGACGACGAGCAGCAGCAGTGATGAAAGTGAATCCTCCTCCTCTGAAGAGTTCTTTGACGCCGAAGAGCCCAACACCGGAACTTTAATACGATTTTCGAAAAAGATTCTCGAATCTCCTCCAAATCGGGTAGATTTGACCACCTTGACACCGGCAGAGATTGATTCATGTTCTTCCGCAAATGATCTATTTTTCGTGACGCCACCACAGTCTAGTAGTATCAATAATTCTGGAACGCTGAATGCAAGTTCGGTCTCGATGGCTTCAATTTTATCAAGGGTATATATACTGGTTTGTTTGCTCGAAATTGCTTGGTCATAATTATATGCATTACAAATTACCAAATTATTATTTACAGAGTGAAATGGAAGAAGAGGCAGAGGATGAACGACGCAGGAAGCGCCTCGAAGAAGGTAAGTTGTAAAAAAAACCTCATTAAACCGGGTGAGATAGTCCGTCCACGTATATGCTTGTGGTTTCGAGACGGTTTCTCTTAGCAAATTCTTAATTATAATTACTATTCAATATTACAAAATTTTTCAACTAATGGAAGGGTTTTTATTTTTCCATTCTCTAATAATCAACGATTCAAACCGGGCCACTTATCACTCTTGAAAACGAGAAGCAAGAAGAAGACTGAATAACGATGAAGTCGAAGGGGATGAACAAACTAGTCCTTCAGATAGTCAGACATCAAGTGTCGAAGGATTATATGGAGCTATTTCTGGAAAAAATTCACACCCCTTCAAGGTTGTGGATCATGACAATGTCAGTCTACAGTCTGGCGTATCTAGTGGTCGTGTTGGCCGGCCGGGAACCACGTCATCGGTCATGGCAGTAAATAACTTTGGTTATTCTACTTCAATAAACAACAACTCTTCTTACCACCTGCCACCACAACAACCTTATATTCCAAGCAGTCCATCAATTTCTGCGTCCAGTTCCCCTTCTAGCAATTCGAACTCCAATACATTTCTTGCAACTATACAACAATCCTTACCGAATAGCCAACTCAATAATGCATCGTCTTCGTCTGATAATAGTGTACACCAAGTGCCTTTATCGCAAAATAGTAGTAGCCACGGTTTCGTATTTTCTGGTAATACAACCGCTAGTGAAACTTCAAAAGTTGGTAATGGAAATCTGACAAGGAGTGGTAACTCTAATCCAAAGAATTACAATAACGCACTTCCTCTTCTTACAATGGCGATGGCCCCAGAACCAGATCTAGTTGCAAGTTGTTTGGCAAAAGAGAAAGTTTCATCCGAATTAGGTGACAGTGGTGCTGCTGGCGAGTCTCCAGTAGTACGACAACTTCAAACAATGCCAGCCCCTGTAGCACCCCCAAGAAGAAAACGAAGAGGTATCGGTGCACTGGGAAAGACACAGTCGGAAGACGGAGACGACAGTAGTAGCCGTGACGTAACTCCTTTAAGAGAAAGTCCTCCATCCCCTTTCCCACCTCCCACTGAAGTAAATAATTTTCCTCCACCCCGACCTACTTCTTCCTCGTCGCGACAAAATTCCAGCGCTGTAATGTCACCGAAAAACCCGCCTAGTCCAACAGTGAGTATCAGATCAGTATGTCGAGAATTAGACAAAACTTTGGAGACCGCACAGCGAATATATGTCGTGAAAGCGCAGGATGAAGAGAAAACTCGTGCCAAGAACTCTGGTCCTAGAGCCCTGCGTCGTACTGAGTCACTGCCCAAAGATGTTATTGCCGCTTTTGACCAATCCGGAAGTCATCGTGATAAGACTCTAACAAATGTGGTGGTGGTCAATACATCGACGTCAAATATAAATTCGGCCTCCGCCGTGGTCCCCAACTCTGGAGTAGAAGTAGAAAAGGTGGAGACTGCTCCATCCTCCCAACAAGATAAGAAGAAGCCAAACGATAAACGCCACAGCTTGTCATCTTCGGAGAAAAGTCTAAAAATCGGAGCAACTCACAGTCGAAGTAATTCTGCACCAAAGTCAGGCTCAATTAAGCTATCTTCTCTGGTATCGGCCCTCGCTGCGAGGGAAGAACGGAAAGAAATGGATGGTGCTGGAGGTCTCGCACAATTTAATATGATCAGAACAAGGACAGATTCTGGAAAGGTACAAATTAGTCCTATATATAATATATTTCTTGCTGATTATTAGTGAATTATAGGAGAATAAATCAATGCAGTTTATTAATTTTGTTGAATTTTTTTTCTAGTTATTATCAGATATCGAAATATTGGAACAAGTGGAGGTAAGTCGGTGTTAAAATCTGTTAATACACAAAAACACATATACATAAACATAAAAAAGTGATTATCAATCAATAATTAATTATTGTCTGGTGGTGGTGGTGGTGAATTTGGGTACTTTATGCTTTCTTCTCATCCTTCTTTTTCTCTGTCTCGACGCTAGCGGCCAAAGTCGTTGGATTTACACTTTCATCCGGTACCTACTAAATTTAGTGTTTTCGCAGTATTTTTATTTGCACTAAATGTACTATCCTTTATAGAATGAACCATATAGTCAATTGCAATTTGCACTATATCTCTTCTCTCTCAATTTCCTTGCTATATCTGTCTATATATAATCTAACCTAATAAATCAAAAACTTACTTTAGACAAAAAGGATGCATTTAAAATAATACATAGTTAGTTTTTTTAGCTGTTAAAAAATAATAGTGCCTCTGCCTCTACCATAGATAAAACCTATACCTCTATCTCGCCCTACTAATTTTCCTGGATTCCTGTAACTTATCTAACCTTTCTAATGAATTACTTATTATTATTGCGTTTCCTCCTCATCCTCACATAATTTCTTGTTTTTGCTAACAAAAAATCTAAATGATCTTGTATAACTCTAGGTTCTTAATCTGGACACTGGAGAGCGAGTCCCATTGTCCATTGCGGAAGACAAAATTCCTCAATGCATTAACCCATTGTCCTTGCATATCATGAGGTTGACTTCAGAATACGTCGGGCAGCGAAGCAGTAGTAATGATCGAGATTCGGATGAAGAGTCTCTGGACTCGAAAAAATCATCGGCTGCATCTCAAGACGATGCTGAAACCTCTGGAGTTAAAAAGAAGACTGCACAAGTCCGACGATTTTTGGGGTCTACGGTGAAGAAAACTGTGAACAAGGCAAAGTCATTGGCACAACGGCGCCACGTCAAAGAGGATGTCGACATTAGCACAAACGAAGATATTCTGGGACAGGATCCTTTATTGAAAATGAAAGCGTCCCATAGTCATAAAGGTACATATTCAGCCAGGGTTTCATTTTTTCTTGCATAGTATGACATTTATGTACATTTAATGATTCATTATTTTTTAGGACCTTACGACTTTGATCATTTACAACAAGTACAAGAACTCTTTGGTGAACATGTTGGTCCCGTTTGGTGCATGAAATTTTCCAATTGTGGTCGTCTCCTTGCTACCGCAGGACAAGATAAAGTAATTCGCATCTGGGTGTTGAAGGATCATCTCCCATATTTTCAAGATATGCGCACAAAAAATACGACTGATAAAGTTTCCCCTACTCCAAGTCAAGAATCTATCGTTTCTCAACATTCTCATCATTCAGCAGAGGAAATGTTACAAGCATGGTATACAAAATACACAACTTTAAATAAATTATAACATAACTTTATAACATAATTTAATATTTTGGTGCAGTGAAAACAGTGATCCTCGCTCTCCATTTGTTCCACGACCTTTATGTACGTACTCTGGTCATACAGCAGATTTGCTCGACATTGCCTGGTGAGTTTAATTTTATACATTACATAGTGACAAATATCGTTATCGGTTAAGTGTTCGTTACTTCTTCCTCACTGCTTGAGAGAAATTAGAGAATAATTTCTTTGTTCTTTTTCAGGTCTAAATCGTTCTTTGTACTCTCTTCATCAATGGACCGCACCGTTAGACTGTGGCATATCTCACGCCGGTATAATAAAACAGTTTAATACTAAGCAAGAAATAAGTAATTTATAACCATGAATTTTTTGTGTGCAGAGAATGTCTTTGTTGTTTTCAACATATTGATTTCGTCACGGCAATTGCATTTCATCCACGGGTGAGCAAACTGTCACATACTCATTGTACGCAGTTTATGAATTTTTGGACAATCTAATAATTTTCGCATTTACAGGATGATAGATATTTTCTAAGTGGATCTTTGGATGGAAAACTTCGATTGTGGAATATCCCTGGTATTAAATTTATCACAACAAATATCTTTCACTACAAAGTTACATGATAATTACATATGTGCTGGATATATGTATTTATAGATAAGAAGGTTGCATTGTGGAACGAAGTCAACGGTCCAAACAACTTGATCACGGCAGCTAACTTTTGTCAAAATGGAAAATTTGCTGTGGTCGGAAGTGAGACTTATTTCGATTATTCACTAGGTCAGAAGAAAATTGCCATCATTATTTTTACAATTATTATTTTTCAGCATACGATGGGCGGTGCATTTTCTATCACACCGAGCAGCTCAAATATCACACTCAAATAATTGTCCATAGACGTAAGCGAATGACTGGAAGAAAAATTACTGGAATTGAGCCGATGCCAGGCGAAGATAAAATACTCGTCACTTCAAATGACTCTCGAATTAGACTTTACGACTTGCGAGATTTGAGTTTAACTTGTAAATACCGTGGTTTCACAAACTCGTCCAGTCAAATCAAGGGAACGGTTAGCCATGACGGAAAATATATTGTCAGTGGGAGCGAAAATCAATGCGTTTATATTTGGAGGTGAGTATTTGTATAAGAACTTGAACTTTTTGATAAAAGCAAAAAGACTAACTTGTTTTTTTGTAACAAGGACTAATCACGACTACTCCAAATTCTCCTCAGCCAGAAGGGATCGGAATGGATATTGGGAGGGCATCAAAGGTACACATCTTAAATCATCCACCATAAAAAACAGACTCATAAATAGTTTTTTTATATTTGTATTTATGTAGCACATAACGCTGTCGTTACATCGGCCGCTTTCGCTCCTGACCCAGACATCATTGTAAAACAGATCGAAAAACTAGAGGAGCAACCTTCATCGTCGTCTGAGTCAGAAAAGAAGCAACAGGGTGCAATGGTGAAATCTCCTTCCTTGACGAAATCTTATTCGCACCAGCAGCACAGCAGTCCCTCCTCTCCTGCAGGATATGTTCTAGTCAGCGCTGATTTTTCCGGTTGCATAAAAGTATTTTTTAGCAAAGTAAAGCCAAAACATAGTTCATTACCCGCATCGGCTTTAATATAGAGAGATGAAGAATCAAACATTTAAAAAATCAGTCAGTTGTTCAAAAAGACTATACAAGAACGTACTATAAATCTGAAACTACTACTATAGTTTTAAGTGAAACTTATTGTTGTAGATAGCCCTTATTTACACCAACAAGTGTTGTAAAGACTAGACAAATGATGGAGAAAGGTCAAAATGAGATTAATTTACATTTTGCGACATTCATTATTACTATATAGACGAACTGAATCTTCCATGACTTTTTTTATTGTTTTGAATTTCAAGAGTATAAAAATCACTTGATATAGTCATCATTCACAATATGCGTTCTAGGAAATTGTGTATCAAATCTATTATTTATTATTGTAAAGTACAAGTTATAGAAAGCAATTCATATTGTGATATAGCCCCTCAAGTTTGTTGTTTAAGAGAGACACACGTGAACGCTTTCTCTTCCGTACAATAATGAGCAACCATTATTATCAATTATCGATTATGACAAAACATAATCAAAATTATATGTCAATTCAATTTATGTGAATTGTGAATGTCACAAACCTTTTTGTTTTTGAACTAGAAGAAAAAGAATGACGGATAGTACTAAATTACAAGAAAACAAACGCGATACGTTATTTATAGCATGCAGGACACAATTTGAAAATGAAAGACTAAAAGATAACTAAAGTTTCTTTCAGCAACGATAATCGTGAATACGCATATTTGTACACGTATGTATCAATATATTGTTAATCACTGAGAAATGAGAAGAGATTATAATACTGTGTGAAGCCAAATTAATACAATCAAATAATAGCCAACTGAAAATGATTCGATTAGATACGACAAATTCGCAATAAAAATCGCTTAATTTTGAACGAAAGCATTAAACTAACATTTTATTTCTCAAGCTCTAACTATCTACATATTTGTATAATTTAAACTTTCGATGTATAACTTAATGAGGATTTGATTAATTCATCCAGCTTTTGGATAAAAAGTTCACTATCGATATACGCCCCTATTGCAAGCACCGGATTCTTGACCACATATTCCACAAAAACCTGTAAAACCAAGTTAGCGCAAGTGTGAATTTCTTAGCATTCGTATGCAGACTAACTATGAGCTAAAGGAAAACCTATATACCTGTTGATATATCGTCCTCAAAAGTTCTTTAATATTTGGAGCATTTAAGTCCGTGTTCATCAAGAATTTAACGCCTGTCGGCGATTCCCAATAGTTCATTTTATATTTAGTTGTTCTATACAGGAATGAGTTGTCGTTCATATCCAGGGGAGAAATCTTATCCAGGAATGATCGTAGAGAGAAAAGCATGCCATACACTAGTTTTCCTTCCTTTAGAATAATTTATAACATAGCATATTACAATTGCAAATTGAATGATTTTGCATGTTGTTTTACCTCTTCTCTACTCATGGTGCCTGGCTTTTTGCGATTCCACTCCCCATAATAAACAAGAGTCCCTTGTCGATCAAATATATACAAGTTGTGGATAGTCATGTCTTACTAACTTTGATAAGCAATGCGAATTGTTTAGTTTTTGTAAAATTTTCAAAATTGAAAACCCAGCCAACACTTCACACTAAAGGCATTCATCCATTCCCACCTTCTGACACAAATCCTACCTTATCACCATTATATTTCACGAGTAAAAAAAACAATACAATTCTCCAAATTTTCAAAATCGCAGAAAAAATTGAAAATACAAAATAATAATATTTTCCAATTTGATGTTTACAAAATCCGAACGATTCAACCGATTCCCACAAAAATTTAGCCTGCCTTTAGCCCCTTCCATCTCTATTGAAACCAACGTTGGTTTCTTGCTGGCTTCCACTATTCACACGTCTCGCCGCTACGTAAAAACAATTTTGAATCCTTTTTGAAAATATCATTTTCATAAAAAATACAATTTTCTTCTACTCGTCTCAGCTAATTCCGAATCTACGAGAGAAGGAAGCATATTTACATAATATTTAGCGGATCGCGTGTTTGTTGTATGGTCCAAATCGTGCAATTGTTTGTAACTTACATACAAATTGTAGGACTTGCAGGCAGAGAGCGTGTCATGTCAGCAGCTCACTGTGAGTGAGAGAGAGAGAGACGAAAAAGGTGAAGCATTGCAGCCAGAGAAGCATTCCTCCTGCCTGAGATTATTAGATCCACTACTATTTTCGGTGTCGTCCTCTTCTCCGTCGAGCCAGAAAGAAAAGATCCGATTTTTACCAGAAAAACCGGCTGCCACGCCAACGCCAGAATTTTCCATCCTTGTCGTTGACCTGTCAGATTGTCGCCATCCTCACCTGACGAAGAAAGAGAGGTCCTCATTGTTCCAAAAGTTTTCAGTCGATTGACCCAACTTTCAAGCCAGCAACGACGGAGTAAGAAGGTGGAAGGCACGTTCTGTTTTTGCGTGAAGTTGTTCAACTTCTCCGAGAAGAATGGAGGACGTCGCGGTGGAAGTGAGGGGTGAAAATGGGGCCTATTATCAGGTGGGTGTGGTTGTGTTTCCGTATTTTTTGCCATGTCGGTGGTGGGATGAGGGATAAGCTAGTTTTTTTGCATCTTCCTTTGTTCTCAATTCCATCCGGTTTGGGGAACTTTTGAAATTATAAATTGAATTGGAAATTGATGTGTTTTTTTATGTGTGTAGGCCTATGTTCGAGATATTTTGGACGATGGACATGTCGTGGTATCCTTCGAGAACAAGTAAGTATTTGGATTAGATGGTAGTTGAGTTAAAATTACTTGTGTTACGGATGAGTCAGGGTGTAATAATGAAACGTAGCTATGATGACTGTGATCCTGACAGCGTGACATTGCCGGAGCAACGTCTACCATTTTCTCGTGTGAGATTGCCTCCTAAAAGTTGTAGCAATGGGGGAGGAGGAGTGGGAGGTGCTGCCAGTCCGGTGACCACGTTTACGGCGGATCAAGAAATTGAAGTATTTTCATCACCTGGCGAGTCTGAAGTTGGAGGATGGTGGAGAGCTTCGATCAAAGTAAGTTTTAAAAAATGGCAAATACTACAGTTTTGGTGTAGAAATAATGTGGGTTTTTAACATCATTTTTTTAATAGATGGTTCGACAAGACTTGTACGTTATCGTGTATTCTGAATCGAAATCAACAGAAATCGTCGAAGCTAGTAGAGTTCGATTACCCAATCCAAATCCGCCCATCGGAAAAACAACTTTTCACAAGATTGAGCTAGCTGTGCCCGACGACATAATTGAATACCTGAATACGCTCTCCACAAGGTATATGCATATTGCATTCTTATATATGTATTGCTTAATTAATAATTATTGATTATTATTATTAGTGCCAAAGTCGAAAGTTCTCATCGTGAATTTCAAAGATTGACTGGCGCGGGGTCTTGTAGGTATATTCGTAAGTACAAAACAAATCTAAATCCAATATCTGGGTTCCCAGCAGAGGAATGTGAAGTTGTTCCAAGTTTTAACATATTTTCATATATTCTTTATAGCGGATAAGAGTGTTCTTTGTCTTATTGTAAGTATCTACACTGATTGATTACCATCATATTAAATATTTGCCTGAAACTAGGTACTAATAAAATGTTTTGCTTTATTTTCTAGTCACAAAATGAGGAAACGGTAAGTTTAAAATTTGTTTCTTCAATTCTTATGATAGATTCGAATTTTTTTGGGCTTGTTTAACTCTAATTACTAATCCAGGTTAAGAAGGTCAATTTGCTGAAAGAAATGCACTTTAGATCGCTGTCTCAAAAAGCACTACTACTAAAAAAGGTGAGTAAATTAGTATGACAATGAAACTTTACCTTTGTAATTACATTAATTGACTAAATTTTACGCCTTTCTTTTTTCCTCAAGACCGAAGAAGCTGCAAAGCAATTAGAAAATATTCGAATGCACACCGGTGGAAAGTACGCCTTTAGTTATCCATGTCGAATTTTTTCAACATATCGCAGCTAAATTAAAAATTTTAATCATATTCACAGTTTCACGGAGGAATTTCGAGTAAGAGACGACTTGATGGGACTAGCAAGTAAGTGGGTAATTTATACTGGGAGGAACAATTATTAGAGTCTTTTTTTATCTAATTGTTTCGAGAACGGAAAAAAATATTGGGGTTTTTTAGCAATTCTTAATTTTGGTGGCGGTATACGAAAAATTAACGCATTTTATTTAATCAATCAATCAGTTGGAAGTGGCGGGTCTAACATCCAACACGCTCGTAGGGTGGACGGAGTTACCAATATAGAATTGGAAGAACACTCGTGCACATTTCGAATCTTTGGAGAGTCGGAAGAAGCAGTTAAAAAAGCGCGTAGTTTACTAGAATACAACGAAGAACCAATTCAAGTTCCAATCCCCTTGGTTGGAAAGGTCATAGGCAAGAATGGTTCTATTATTCAAGAGATCGTTGACAAAAGTGGGGTCGTCAGAGTCAAGATTGAAGGCGAAAACGAACCCAACCCCACAATTGTCCGCGAGGAAGGATCGATTCCATTTGTTTTCGTCGGAACTGTTGAAAGGTAATAAACAAATGACAAATTAACAAGGTATAAATTAAGATGAAAATATTTATGCGTCAACATTCAACCAAACAGTACATTACCCTCTGCTATAATATTGTACTAAATTCTTTCTATTATTTTCCCAGTATTGCTAACGCCAAGACAATTCTGGAATATCATCTTAGCCATCTAAAGGTACGTTCAATTATGTCCCATTATTGTGTAATAAATATAAGAATATAGAGATAGATTGTTAAAGTGATGATTTATTGTGGAGTAGTGGCCTGAGTGGATGTGAGGAAAATTTTCACAACTGATTACACAATCTAGATGAATAATTGGTTGCAATATTTTATTCCGTTATGATTATGCTAATGTGTTCTTTTGTATTGAAAAATCATTTGCAGGAAGTAGAGCAGCTCCGGCAAGAAAAACTGCAAATAGATCAAGAGCTTCGAAGTTACCACGGCCCCACGTCTGTAAGTAGCATGCATTTTCCAAGCCGTAGAACGGACCGGCCTTATGGAGATATGGACGGCATGGGAGGAGGTCGAGGTCGTGGTAGTCGTGGCGGAAGTCGCCCACCACGAGGGGCTGGAGGACGAGGAGTAGGCCGGGGGTTTGGTGAGTACAAATTTATGTCTTGTTTAATAATTAATTACTTTTCATTGATTTAATTAAAAAGTCTAATAAACTCCAACTATAAATGGCCTAGTTCATTTCGAGTTAAATGGATTAAGTTGTTCAAACTGTATTAACTTTTACTTTTGACTTAATAATAAGATACTTATTGAATTACTAAAATTTACTCGTGTGTTTGTGTGTGTGACATTTATATAGGAAACACTGGAAACTTTCGTCCTCGCTTTCCTAATGATCGAGAGCCTTCCAATTATTCAAATTTTGTCTCTTCTAATGGCCACGGTTATTCGAATGGTGTGTGAATTCATTGCTTAATAATCAACATCATTCACTATGCTATCTGTCTAGATTTTGTGTAGTTAGTGTGTCTTATTAAATTAGACATGTATACTCTTGTAATGAATTGAAGTTTGACATTTATTGTAACTTAATAATTTCATTAGTTTCTGTAACCATTCAAGTCAAACTTCAACAACTTTAGCTTATCCAAGCCTACTTAAAGAATTATTTCAATAGATTACTAATCATAGACTTGCATTTTTGCCAGGTTCTCGACAAAGCACACCTGGCGACATTGACGAGAGGGTTAATGTTAATGGAGGACGAGACCGTGGATTCCGAGGAGGAAGAGTGGGAGTCGGAAGTGGAGGTCGAGGAGACAGAGGTGCTAGCAGTGGACCTTTCCGACGAGGGGACGGTGGTCGTGGTAATAGACGCAATAATGATCAGGACTCAAGGCGACCTCGAGGACAAAATGATGACTCCTCATTTGAAGATAGTTCTGCTGCTGAAAATAAGTTAGCGCAAAAAACTTTACACCCCGCTGCTGCATACTATATATCTTTTTTTTAGAAGTACTAACAACGATTACTTATTACAATTGCAGCGTGACTGATCGACGAGGTGAACGGGGTGTTGTTATCGTTGGAAAGAAAACAGGTGCGGGAGGAGATCAGCCATCTTCTGTTGAAGGTAATTAGTAATATTAAGTAGTAGTAGTAGTATAAGTAATTGGTGTGTTTCGTTTTATTTTTACATTGATTTTCATTTGTGTTAACATGAGTGGCAGTACATTTGATAACGCAAACTCTGTTAACACTTTAAATTTTTTGGGGAACCACTCGTCAGGTGATTCTGTTCGAAGGGGGAAATTGTCGTTGTTTCTAAATAATATTTGGCGATTTGTGTGCTGTTAGCAGGAGGGATGGATAATCAGCAGGATCTCTCTAAGTCAGGTCAAACAGCGTCTGCTGGTAGTGGGGGTGGAGGAAAGCCACAAAGAGAACAAAGAAATCGAGGAAGGAAGGGGAAAGAAGGGTCAAATTCAGCAAATGCTCATAATCACAACTCAGCATCTGAATCCCATAACACGGCTACTACAATGGTCAACGGCGATGGGCAGTGATAGGCTATAGTTTGTATTCTATAATAATAATTACAAATATAACTAAGTTATTTGTCCTAACTTTATACCATAATTAATTAATTAATACAGCTATACGACCATACCACACAAGTCACTGACTCATTCTACGTTTCAAATAATATCATCAATCCACAACTTTTCATGACTTGATCTATTCAGAAACTAAAAAAAAGACACACGGTTGTTAGAAGTAGGAAGGAGGTACTACTATATGAACTATATTACACCATCCCACAACCTTCCCGTGTCAATTATCATCCGCGGATTAGTATATTACATCACACTGCTACTAAATACTACCTTGATTGAACGCTTTCTCTGAATTGATTAAAAGCTGAAGTATGACGGCCTTGGTATTAAAAGTAGTAACGAGTACGTTAATAATGCCAAGGTTTAGGATCAGAGAATGCATTACTGATTCGAATACCAGATTAGCCTACCTATATAAGTTGTTATCTAGTGAGACCTAACCAGTTTTCGAGATTGACATGTTTATTTATATTCACGAGGAGTTGAGTAATTGTTGATCTGATGATATTTGTATTGAATTTTTTGATTTTTTTTTGTGTTTTGCACGACGCTTCTCACCAGTACACCTTTTGATTATTATTATAGGTTTATCTATATACATAGATTCCGATTCATTATTATTATACCTTGAGCGATATTGATGATTAGATTGTTGTGTAGTCTGATTGTTGATTAGTGTAGCTTAGTTTAGTTTATGTTTTTTTTTATTTATTTGTGTTTTGTCTTTAATTCGATCGTTAAAGTTCGAATGACTTGTTTATTACATATTTGTTACTTGGTATCATACATAGATCATATCATTATTCGATACAATTTGTTTTGAGACTTATGTAGCCGTCCCTTATGCGTATGCTATTACTAGTTTTCTTTGGTTAGTATCAGTATCAAATGATTATATTATTAGGGAATTAGAGTGAGATTGTTGTGTTTACGAAGGACTGACTATTTCAAAACTGCAAATAATTAATGTGTATTCTGTACAGTTTTGAGTATCGTAATTAATATAATTATTTAATTCTTACGAGATGGACATGAGGAGAAGATAGGGGGCCCACTTTATATATTCTGGTCATTTGTGTAGTTTAGCTTTTACTTTTTTGGGGGGTGAAACGTTACACTTGTATTGCATAATAACGTAAATATGTTGTTGTTAGACTTAATTTATTACAAACCATTTTTTGTTAAATAACAGATCAAAAATTACACACATGATAGGCATAGTCTCATCACTGTCCTATCTGCCTAAACACCATATGTAACTGGCTAAGTCAAAAACTTGAACTTGAGTACCGTACATAATAATACCTCCTGTTGATAGCACTAAAAAATACCTACTATATGGAAAACTAAATTGTATTAATACAACTATATAAGCACACGGGATTGTTACTTACTAAATACTTGCTCTTGTAACAATTAACTATGTCCTAATAACTATGAAAAGTGGAGCAAATGTTGTCGAAACATTTAAGAATCGTGTAGTTGTGGGTGTCACAAATTGACATGCAATGTTATTCAATATTTCTTTTTACTAACTATTTAATTGTATGATTTTTTTGCGGTTCTCGGTTCCTATATAAAAAAAGGCAAATGGTTAATACTTATCTACTTGCGGTGTATTTCTTTGAGTTTATCTAATTATTCTGACACATTTAATCACGCTTTTTCAATATTTTTGATTGGGTTTGTTATATTTATTGTTTGCTTATTATCTGTCGGCTTTCTACTATATAGGATTGTCGCTGAAGTCCAGTTCAACATCTGTGAATTCGCTATCGCAAGCCAACAATAATTCAGTTCAGAATCAGAATGGCGTCCGACCCACAACATACAATAACAACAAGTTTGTAAATGGTGCGAATGTTGGGGATCAAAATCGAAACTCAAGGAATTCGTCTTCCACCAAGATATCATCCACCACTACAACTATTATCAACAATGCGAAGCACGCTTCTACTTACGCCGATAAAGCAAAATCCAGGCCGATTGTTAATCATTGGCCTTGTGAATAATTTTCTATTTCTTTGCTCTTTAGTGCTGTTTTCAAAACTCGAATATTTTTCTCTTTCAAAAAGTATTTAGTTTTAGCTGTAACCAAAATGTTCTTTTAGCTTTTCTTCTCGTACTCTCTGAATACCATACAAGTGAATTTGGTGCATTTACAACTACACCCACTACTACCACAGTACTTATTAACTTGAGAACAGATCAAAATTTGAAAGAAATCATTTACGCAGATCTTATTATTGTTAATATTATTAGTAATTTTCTGTATTAAGTATTACTACTAAAATTAAGCATACAATTTGATTGTTACTACATTACATATCCCTGTGTCAAACTATTTAATTTCAATGTTAGTATTTTCCACGAACCCTTATAATAATATTTACCCAAACCTATTATTTCTACTATTTTTATTTCATTCAATCGAATCTATCGAATGGTTGGTTGGTCAAAAATATTGTCGAAACGAGATAAATACACAATACAACATCACCTTATTATTATTCCGAAATTGTTTTCGTTTTGCCTTTGTTTTTATTTTGGTTTGATTTGGCTTATTTTATTAATTTTGCTGGTAGTTGCATAATTCATTATTGTATTCCTTATTTGCATATAGCTCGGTTTTTAGTCAAATTCTTAAAAAAATCTTTGATCTGTGTTGAATTGAATTAGCCCATGCCTCTTTCGTTTGATCAGTTTGTGAGTGTTTTCCTGAGTTTGATAGACTACATGATAGCTTTATTAAGCAACTCAAGTGAGAGATTGATTATTCGTACTTTATTTAACCAAAAAAATTGTGAGTTTTAACTATTTTGACATGCTGTATGAATGTAGGGGCTACGGGGAATTATTAGCATAATTTCACACCCTAATAACACGAAGATCACAGAAAGGGATAAAAATATACAAGGAGAAACAGATATCTAACATAAAGAAAGTAAAGTTTGGGATAAACTGTAAATTCATTCATTCAGTATTCGCCCCAATTAAAAATCTCTTGGTATCGCAACTCGTATGAAAATATGTAAAGCTGTAAAAAAGAAAGCAACCTGCTGCTTGCGAGGAAAGAAAGTTTAGCAAATTAATTAAACTGGACAGGAAAACAAATCTGTCTGCAAGATTGTCACACACATTTCGTGTCGACGTGTGTATAAATAAAGGTCACAAAATGAATGGGAAAATTGTCTCACTATAGGAAAACTAAACGAAACTACTAAAACAACGCATGCCGATAATAATGAAATAGCAATTTGTTGTTGTTGTTGCTATTATTAAGCTTGTGTGGTTTTTTAATGACACATAAATATTAATGGTATCAACAACCCCAGCAGTATTTTGACTGCAGATATTCTATTTTACAGTATCTGCGGTACTGTAAAAGTAAATAAGTGGCATTGGTTGGGGAAGATACAAACAAAAGTGAATTTGATAAGATCATGCAAACACAAAGGAGGACGCACTCCTCTTATGAGAAAATCCCCCCCGTGATATTTGCCCCAAATTTTGATATGTTGTACACCTCGAGGTGCTGATAAAAAAATGTATTGGTCCCTAAGCCCTAAGTGACCTGGTTCGACCGGAAACCGAGGTCAAAGGTCAGTGCACTTTTTCGCTCGAAACCCCACAAACCGTATATTTTTGGAAAGCTACGGACCTCACGAGTCCGAATATACACCATAATAGGGTCAAAGGTCAACCCTTGACCTTTGGAGCTCAGGTATTTGGGCAATGTGACCTTTTATGGACTTTACGGACTTTATTCCGCTGCACTCCGGTCAGCCGAGTGCATGGCAACAAGCTTAGTCGACTCTATCGCTGTTGTGTGTGCAACTGTGTTGCAACAGCAATTTTGCTGTTGCAACACAGTTGCACAGTTGCAAATGTGTTTTAACACATTTGCAACTTTTTTGCTTGACCTCCAAAGGTCAAGGGTTGACCTTTGACCCTATTATGGTGTATACTCGGACTCGTGAGGTCCGTAGCTTTCCAAAAATATACGGTTTGTGGGGTTTCGAGCGAAAAAGTGCACTGACCTTTGACCTCGGTTTCCGGTCGAACCAGGTCACTTAGGGCTTAGGGACCAATACATTTTTTGATCAGCACCTCGAGGTGTACAACATATCAAAATTTGGGGCAAATATCACGGGGGGGGGATTTTCTCATAAGAGGAGTGCGTCCTCCTTATTATGTATTAATAAATATGGGAAGGAAATACATACATAAATTGGGTCAATTTAAAACAAGAACAACAGTGTGTCTGCATTTCTGTATTTGTATCGCAATATTTTACAAATCGATACGAACAATACGTAAGTACAGCTAAGTAAGTTTTGCTATTTAATTGTTATACAATATACAATATATAAGCGATTTTCCTCCTCGTCATCATCTTATATAAATTATACACACTAATTAACCAACAAATTGTATTATCCGTGAATTTGTGAAAATACATTTATGCAAAAATTATGAGAGGTTTTGTGTATTCAATCATAATTCATAAAACTACAAATATCGTCGCATTTTTCACATTATTACTACTTACAAAATAGTACCAAAGAAGACGAACCCATTACTACTAACGAAACTACTATGCGATCATATATACCACATACATATTTCAGAGATAATATATTGAATTTTTAAATAAGAAAAAAATACGCGACAATTTCTCAATATTTGTTCCTGTTTTCAATCCATCATTATTGGTAAACTTTAGCAAGCTATGTGCATAATAATTATTACTTTTGAATAGATTGAGCAAAGGACAGTTAACGATAAGGCTGTTAATGATAATGACTATTACCAAGTTATAAAATACGTGTATTTGCTAGAGATTCTTGATTGTGCTCTGGTCTGGTTAAGTCAAAAAACTTTGAGAGAAAAAAAAACTTGTGGAAAATTTAATAAAAAGAGTGTTCAGATATGAAATTTGCAAAGAAAATTGTGTTAGTCTCATATTTCTCATGTCATACGAAGGAATGCAATGTATACAATCCACCAACAAAGTAAAAGTCATCTCGCCTCATTTCATACACGAATGAGAAGAATGGAATGTCGAGGAGGAACTACAATAAGAGGAAAGTTCAAGGATGTACAAGTTGTAAAATGTCGGTAAGTCTTGTATAAAGATGAATTTGGTGGTTGGTGTGTCAAGTTAGCATTTTGGTTGGCGTGGTGCTCTGATTTTTTTGCAAGCACATTTAGTACCACTTCAGGTGAAGAGTCATTGTTTATGTGCAATTAATATTATTTACAAACTAGTAATATTTAGGTACCTAAGTTAATAGTTTGAGGTCGGTCATTCCCATCATCTTGGTTTAATTTGGTTTGTTACTGTTCAACAGGTATTTATTTATTAATGATGTTGGTTGGCTTTTCTGGCCCTTTTTTAGACTACTATTATCTATTATGACGCTGTATGTACGATCGTGAATTCTGACAGAAAGTAAATGTATGACCTTTGCTCTTGAGCGTTGGTTAATCATTGCTTGGTCGTAAAGTTGTGTGTGAGAAAGAAAGCATAATATGGCACGACTCGATTTATTAACTTATGCATGACGGAAGTTGCTGTATTGTAAGACTGCAATTGTTGAGATTTTCTGTATTTTGACAGCACGACAAATTTCACTACGATTTTTAACCGGTGAATAGCACGAGTTGATTTAGATAAGCCTGAAGAATAGCCAAGCTACTTGGCAAACGAGTTTATTCAGATTATTGTTATAATACACATAAATTTCAAATGGAAGATTATAGTTTCAATAATTTAAATTTAATTAAACGTATTCAAGGTCGATACGTATACTAAATCGGATTCATCTCATCATCCATCTTGCACCCTTCAATTACGATTCATTCATTGTAGAAAAAATGAGGAACCAGTATTTTCTGTTGTTGTTTCTTACCTTCAGTTTCAATCGAATCAAGAAGAAAGTTCGAGGCGTATTTATTTAATTTGCAGAGTGTCGATAGACGAAGGTTAGTGTCGTGATATTTAAACTTCAGTTGTGGCAATTTGCATGCATTGTTTCGTGTGAAAGATTTTTTTATGAGTGACATAAATGACGTGAAAAAAGCAAACCATAAAACCGGAATATTTTCGATAGTGGTAGTTTATTAATTTTCGTGTATGCATGCAATAGACGAATATCTGTAATGTTCAAGAGTTGAAATCTCAATAATTCTTTACAGTTTGGAGCTTATTAGAATACCACTTTCATAGAATTTGCTGTATTTTATGTAGATAAAAACTGGAAAATGAGATTATTGTGCTCTCACGTAAAATGTATCCTTTAGTAAAATGACCACTTACCAGCAGCATTGTTGTTGTGCCCAATGAATGATGGAGTGAAAAACTTTCGTTTTATAATCTCCCCTGTACCTGGAGAATTGACCCAGTGACCTAATTTGACTATGGCTTTTTCATTCATAATGTGCAACATTTTTTCAAGGTTAGCACTGAAGAGAAAAGGAAAGGTAAGTTTCCAGTTGGTGGTTTAACAAGTTTTGTGAATCTTCTATGAGGAAAGTGTTATGAACTTTACGATGGTTTTGCATGCTGGAAGAATATACAGACATCCACCGGTGCATATCACAATGTCAAGGTCATCGGTATTTATTGTTAGTTCTACAATTTACTGAATCTTGAATTTTATCAACGTAACTAGAAGATTTGCAAAATTAACAAGAATCGAAAATGATTTAATTAAACGCCAAACAATTATATCATGTTTTTGTCACCACTCGGTCATCCGAAATGCATATCCTGATTCTTCTTCTTTTTAACATTTTAAAGGTTTCTTCGACCTCCAAAATGTAGATCATCATTCATTTACCTTCCTGTAACCTGTTATTGAAAGTAGGGATGCAGTCGCCAGAACAGAACACTGAGGAATTTAAAACATATTATTTATCAGGTTGAGTTTGGTAAAGTCATGTTTCACTCCTTTTTGAGAAGATAGGTCAACTCGCTTACTTAACAGAGAATAACCCACGCCACGCCACGCCATGAAGAAGACCAAGCAAAGCAGCGAAAACCAGACACCAGAACCGAATAATAATGTGGCTGAGCTGCGGCATTTTTCTGCGAACGTGGGCAAAGTAAAGCAAACTTGATTCTTTTGATATGTTTTTATTCAAGAAGAAGAGGTCTTAATTCGCTTCTTTCTTTCTTTCTTCATGCGTTATTATTATCTCAAATCTTCACCGAAGCAGAGCTGAACTGAAAGACTTAATAGTTTAACTTAATAGTGTCAGTTTGCTTGCTTATATGTAGACGTGCACATAATAATGATAATAAAAGTGTGTAAATGGGAAAAGTCTAGTCAAAAGGACCTACACACACGGGTTTACATTACAGTACAGAGTTACATATCAATGAAATAATAATGTTGATGTAACATAATATAAAATGTGGTACAGCCGTATTTATTATTGTTATTTGGTGCGGTAAGTAATATGTAAGTATCTACCAGAGTGCATTTGACCTAGTGAATATCTTCCTTTTAGCCAAATAGTGTTTAAATGTTGTCAACTTGTGTTATTATTGACAGTTTTATGTCTGATTCGTCATACGGTACACATGCTGGTAAATAAATATGTACATGCAAATCTAGGTGTTGATGAGTAACACTGCTAATCTCTAAATAATTCTGCTAATTCAATTCGTTCACGAGACCCGTTAATAAAGAAAGACTAAGCCACATCATCAATTTCATGGTGGTCCATCGTCACATCGAGCCAAAATTACGGTCAATTTTGCATGCACATAAAAATACTTGTAGCATGCCGTCGTCCTTTGATAATTATTACGTTACATATTTAGATTTAAATAAGCTGTTAATTATTCGACTTAATTCCGACGTGTTGATTTGATTTAGATTTTCTGCCGGAATCTGCAACAAAGTTCTTTCCACGGCATAAAAATGTGATCCTAAATCGAACTAAGGAACAGAAATTGATGCCGATTTGATGATGCGCTACAAGAAGATTGTCATGCCATGCTTAAAAAAAGCTCAATCACAGCAAATGATGATGACAAATGTGCATAGTAATGCAAAAAATACAAAACAAAATAATGATTTTGGGTTATCAGGAACTGTATAAATGTTACTTGATCAAACTCAATATACATAATACATATTTATCCCAATTTCTCGCATCTTGCTCCGTCATGATTTATTTCGCATTAGCTAACAATACGATTAAGAATAGGATATTAAGTATCACATAATGTGATACTTATTGTATCACCACAATAGCTCAAGATGATCTATAATTTAATGCAGAATGCAATCATCACGCAATTATTCAACCATCCAAATACATAACTTGGAACTAATTACATTCGGAGCTTGCAGATCCCTGGGGACAAGAAGACTACGCATCAAGAAACCTATCCAAGAAATATATTAACTCGTTGTGGTGTAGTTTTACAACAATACATCCATCGTAATATGCAGGTATCACGTTTTAAGGGTTTGGTCTTTACACAACTGAACCATTGCATTGACCATTATTAAAGTTACTACTACTTATTTACCCCGTATTTCCAACCAACCATCCATAACATCATATAGCAAAATATCTCTGTATTCACGTCCCATTGGTTTCGTTCCAAGTCCGACCGACACTCCAACAACAACCTGAATTGAAGGTAATAACGGGATTCTTTGGATGGATGGAAGTGAAGAAAACTCATCTTCGTATCTTTGACTGAATATGAGACCGGTGATGAATTTTAAATGCTGTAATTGTTGTAATTCCTCTTCTTGTAGTGAAATATTCTCCCCGTGTAATTGGGAAAGGCTTCAGGAATTTTATTACAAATGCTTTACGTGGATGATATCGCAAAGTATCTAAGTACTTATTAAGCGATAGACACATCAAAAATGACATCGTGAATTGTAACCAGACCGTAATCTTTAATCGTACATTCATAGTTTGTTTATACAAACACGATACATTGGTGTGGTCACATTTTTTGACGGATTCTATTAAATTAATACAGTCGGATCCAAGAATTGGGAGAAATGATGATTCAGCCAGCTAGTCGTATTTCAAAGGTCAAGCTGTACACAAAACCTGTACGACTAACCAACCGGTCTTTGTATTTCTTGTAACTGCATATGACACAACGTTACAGAAATTTGCGCTGACTTACATTTCACAGAATTCGATAAGCAATGAGGATAATTTCGAAAGATAAAATGATTAACAGATTTTTTTAAAAACCTTTTTATTTTTAAATCAAACTCTTTTCAAATTAATTTCTACCGATTGATAATCTTCAATAGGAGAAAAATTTGGAATCTGGCTCAGCCACAGATTGAATAGAGCAATCACAAGTGCACCGAAATGTGATGCAATGTACTTAATAAGGCCATAAAGAGATCCCGTTATACTGTAAGACAAAAATAAAACATTTCTTCAAGTGGAGTGGATGCGAAGTAAATAAATGTATGGAAGAAGATCTAATGTGCCATCTTGAAATTGCATTCACATTCCATTTATTTATTGTGGTGGGTGATGTGCAGCAGTTACTTAAAATTGTCGTCGTGCCGTAAAATTAATTCGACATCCGTCCTCGATCCATGCACATTAGAGGAAGAATACGGGAGCATTTTAGTTTTTTTTGTCTCATCCGACCAAGATTAAATTGGTATCGGACTTCGGATACGTGGAGGACTATCCCAAAATCAGGCGGATACATGCTATACAGTATTTTTCATCATTCATTTCAATTCAATTTACCTTTATTCAAGTGTTAGTCACATTCAGTCGATTTTTCATTTCGACCACCAAACAGAGGCTATAAATAAATGTGCCAATGATGACAAAGGACATCCACATATACAAATACTATGAATTGTCAGGGACAATTTGTCACCTAATGTTCTCATTTTAAATAACTGCATTAAAATACCGCTAAGAATTGATATTCGTTCATGTATGTATGCACTTAGGTTGTAATATGTGATCATAATAATAATAAATGCGGTCAGACGACGAAGAATGTCAACTTTCACAGACGACATACACCTTTGAACGGATTTTATTACATAGTTATTTCCACTTAAAATGAGAATAGCTTCACATCCGGTGGAGGCAATTTGAAACAGTAATCAATAAATGTATTGGTATCGGATGTTCAACCGACACTAGCTTCACAGATAAAACATGATACGGCAACATATCAAAACCGAAAAATGCATTGCATCACCGTTGCAGTTCGATTACTCTAGACTTATTTATTTAGAACATTGCACATGGAATGGAAGGTTCTCAATTTACTTACATTTCAAGGAATTAGAATTAACAATTGAAATTCCAATTCACATACGTCAGTGAAGAAAGGCTGATATTTTTCTCATGCTAAAAGCAAGTATCATCATCCATCCAAGTTTTACCTTACCTGTGCTAAAATGCAACCAACGCAATTTACCTTTTACCTTACTTGCTCTACGTGCAGGTTGAGTTTTTCGTTGGCAGTAGTCGATTTGCTCTCGTCTCGAAGTGGTAGTTCCACTCTAAAAGTACCGACAACAAAGTAGTAGTTGGCACTGCTTGGTTTTATGATAACATAAAAATTTACCGAAAATTTCGAATCGCTTTATTTTTAAAATTTTAAAAATATTACGAGTTACATAAATCAGATTTTTGGGAAGAAATCTGCCGTCTCATTCCGTTTAAGAAATTAAGCCACGAAATCTTCCCAAGTTTCCTTTCCACTATAATTTTCATCACGGAAGAAATATTTTGGAAGAAGGTTCCCATCCCACCTGCCCTTTTTGAACCATTTTCTTCACTTTGTTGGTGTTGTTCCTTGGATTTGGATTCAGTTCTGGGTTGTGGTTTGAGACTTGAACACTTGTTAAATTGTGAGTTCTGAGAGACTCTTGTGGAATCGTGTCTCACTTTGTTCCTTGTTTTGGAAACTTTTGTGAATTTTCATTGATTGACATGAATGTGAATTAATTTGCTACTGAAATCGAGAAATAAAATCTATCCAGAAGGTAATTACACTAATTTGTATTTAATTCACTTAATTGACAATATTAAAGGCATTTTGTGGTATTAAATATGCTTGCTCAGATCAAGAATATAATGAGACATATGCGTGCATTAGATTTCAAATCACTGATTGAAATACACTTTCCTTTCATGAAAGACAATTTAGTTAAATGTTTGACTTGTGTGTACATACATAATGTGCCACATTTAGAAAGACTTTAATCTCATAATTGGCAATTATGCCTAGGAAAATGCCGGTAGACTACTTTGATAATTCAGCTATGAAATGGGATGCGCTTATTATTCTCAACTTGATATTTACTCAAGAGTAAAAGCCGTCTGAAAATGACCTGGTTATTTAAATGTTAATCAAGCAAGGCTGCATTTTCACATGCGATGATAAATACAAAGAATTGAAATTATTTCCACTTGATTCATTGCTAAAATTAGCGTCTACTTATATAAATGCATCCATTTTGATGGTCGTATATTATTTTTGGGCCACTTGAGTCGCGAGAAATCTATAAATAGAAAATTTTTTGTAAAAAAGCAAATAATTTTTAAAAATAATTGTGCACCTGACAAAAAAAATATTTTTTTCGGTGTGTACCTCATAAACAATTAAAATATGAATCTCTTCTACCAAATTTATCTAATTTCCTTCAAGCGGATGTAAATATGTATCAAGTAGTAAACAACATGTGATAAATAATAGGTATTTGATGAACATACGCACACATCACACCGCAATAATAAGTTAAGAAACCAGGTTAAAATCCTCTGGCAGAGAAATTTAATCGAACAATAATAACTTTAGCAAAAGATGAGACGAAACAAGAAATACTTGTATTCCGTCAGAAAAGTAACAGTAGTTTATCACTTTTGCGTTATGATGATATAGACAAGTTTGTTGGTCACATCGTCTCACAACTCCTGCATACGTTTCTCTGTATGAACATGCATGCAGATAATCTTTGGTTTAGTTTAATCATCATCGCTTCTGCACCTCGAAACTCTAATTTGCTTGTGGTCATCAGCAAGATTTGGCAGGCCAATAAATAAATTACTCGTTTCTATCGAATATCCATCTACTGATAAGTGTAGGAAATGATCCTCAATGTGTGTTGATCCTGCGAAATCTATAATCACCAATACATAACTCATGATATCCGTGTGCATATCGGTTCACGACTTGCAAAAATCTTATTAAAATTATTTTACGAATCTGAAAACGAAAATCGTGTACGTAATTTGCAGTTCTTTTACACACAAATGGGGCATATTTTTGAAGAAAGTACAAAAACAGTCATTATTTCCTATGATACATTTTGTGCGTAAGTGTGGATTTTCATTCATAGAAAGGAACCAAGCATTACTCTCTTTTCGTCATGACCAATTCGTCGTGAACCGTGTAAAAACCACGTAAACCATTGTACACGAAGAAGGGGTTTGAATATTTATGACAGAATTAACACACAAAAATAGCACATCTTTTCCTTTTCTTCTGTTGAGTACAAAAAAATGAATTGTGTTTTTGTGAGGAACTCGGTTGAAAAGGGCATTCATTTCAATTCCACGAGAAGTCTGTGTACATAGCGAACTGGCAAATTCAACAGTCCAACAATTGTTTCTAGGTCAAATACAAACCGTTGATGAGTGTGGTGGTGTGGAATTGAAGCCGAAACTGAAACGGATGATAGTGCATCAGTTAGAAAGGATTTATGCTAATAAGCTGCTTTCATATATAGGATTTCGTCCTATGTTTGCAGTCATTTTACTTTTGCTTTACTGCCAATGCATCATTCTGAAGGATGACTTTGAGTGAGACGTGGTTAATCAGTTTGTCAATGTTTGGTGCATGCATGCGTTATTATTTGTTTTTCTTTGTTGGGTGAAGATTGATTATTTCTTGACATTTGTGCATGTGAAAACAATGCAGGCCAAAAAGTAGCCACATATTGACTAGTCATTGAATTCCTCCTTCATCCTCACGAGGATGGTTTCATAAGTAGAGAAAAAATGTTTAAAAATAGTTGCAACGGTTTAAAACAAGGAAAAACAAGATGATAAATACGTAAGGGGCATGATAAGTGGGATGTATCCGGTATCCGTCATCCATCTTGTAAGTAGTTATTCTTGTAGGGTGACCAGCATCGATACGAGACGATGGTAATAATGAGGATGTGCGTATAACTGTACAGGCAGAGAGATACGATTCCGACGACGCCATACATACACTAATGTGTATGTGACAGGTGCCAAAAAATTGCAAAGTCTTGTAGCTTGCTGCAAATAAATGTGTGAATGTATGTAGGGTTTTGATTGTGGAATTTTGAATGTGTCCGAATTCTTTGACGATGACGACGAAGACGTTGTTGTATCAGTATTGTTGTCCGCCGACGCTCCTTCTTGTTGTGTACTTAATGTTCAACACATTCTTCACATACAGCATTATTTCCTTGACAGTGACACTTAAGCAAAATGTTTGCAGGCAGTAGGTGTAGCTGCACATTAGTACACAATGACCCAAAGGAAGGTCCACCAAGCTGAATTATTGCAGTTTAAATTATGCTAAATTCTTAGTAATAAGTAAATACTGCATACTACTTTTTCAGTTGCAGACTTTAATTCAGTGCATAGAATAACTAATAACTGGTAGACATGTATATTTGCATCCATTTTTGGTCTTTTACTCCTTCAAAGTACTATAATTAAGTGCCAAAATGGCATCGAATTTTTTGACATGGTTTGAAAAAGTGCTAATGATGACAGCTAAATGAAGTGATGTGTTATGTTCATTAGTCACACTTACAATCAGCTCATCACAATAACTTGGTTTTGAGGAGACAAATTATAATCCTCGCTTTTAGAATTTGGTGTCATCAGGGCAGCAAGCGAGTGCCAACTCATCATCAACAGCGGTCATCATTATATTCATCATTATTGTACACAATTTTTACAATTTCCTACTAAATTGAGAATCGTGGGAAAATATGTGTACATTCGACACCAGCCATCGGACGAAAATGATCTAGATATTTTTGTAAAAATATAATTTCCTAGAATTTCAGGGTCAGACTTTAGTTATGGTTTGTCATTTATTCATCATTCTGAAAATAGATCATCAATCTTACACCGATTGATTTGCCATCATTAAAGTACTGCTTGGAATTTGAAATGCAGCAGAGCAGTCGTGATCTCCTGGCAGAAATCAGATTTCGGAAATTCTCACACTCATTCCGTCCATTCTGCTTAATCAACATGCATCACCACCACCACTAATCCAATGCACCGACCTAAATCCAATTTTAGCATGACGACTCCTTTTCGATAACAATTCATTCATTTATCTAATTCTACCCAGTAAAAGACCACGACACAATTCCACGTCCACCACTTAATAAAAAGTGGTCCTTTCTTATCATCTGTTACGAGAATAAACAATGGAGTTGGCACGATTGTTTGTGATCCTCTCCATGGAATAGGCAAAAAGTAAGAGAAAACTATTGTCATTTCATTGATGACAATACTTAAACTTCTCCCAACTTGGTGAAGTGGCATGGTAGAAAAGAACGCCTTGTTTAATGCAGTCCATTTATTTCATGAAATTCGCACACAAAATTCAGGGAAGTATTACATTTAAGTGTTACGGGGGGTTTCGACTAATTAAAGGTTATTTAACGAGATTAAGAGTAACTATGTACATGCACTTGTTAGTTGTGGATTGCGCATTGTTACGGTGTGAGAATCAGTGAACAGCACTACTTACATGCTACCACTTAACTTATTTATATTGCAAGTATTACAAGTGGAAAAGACCCGTTATGCGATAATCTCAGTTTATTTCCATTTCATTGCGTCTTTTTCTACTACTTCTTCTTATTCATTAAGAAATGAAATGGAGGAAAAAGTTTGCTCAACAGTTGGCTTACTGAACTACTTCTGGCTACTGCACATGCATGCATCGAGTCAATTGTGGGAGATAAGTGCATGGGAGATTTTGTACGTATTATTTGTTACCCACTTGATAATGAAATGAAAAATTGCGTAAATAAGAAATATTTATGCAAATATGTGCGAATACCTGTCAGGATGTAAATATTTGGTCAGAGAAAATTCTCATCGCTAAATTTTACATGATTAATATTACAGAAACCTTATGAAAATGCGGAAGAAAACGAGTAATCGCAACAGCATGATGGAGAATGCGGCACTATTTTTCGTCATTGTTTTGATCAGCGCTAGCGTCGAAAGTTTGTCGACCCAGACGACCCCCGCGACCCCGGCCGTGGTCACGACGCCTAATTTGGAGACTTGCCAGTGTGGAGTTTTCCTCCTAGGAACGCAACCATTAGTATTCTCGGCGGATGCAAAACCCATCCTTTCAGGTGAGTCCAACAATTTCGCAAAGTTATTAAATAACAAAAGTGAAATAGAAATCAAACGCAACTTATTTGGAACATTAATATTCCACCCGAGTCCCAAAATAGAGAAGAAGAAATTTCTCGAATTTAGGCCACCATACTTAAACGAGTTAACAATATATTCTAACCAGCTAGTTGGTAGACAATTACGTGAAATTTTCCATAAAATGAACCTTTTGTGCAGCGTTTGGATAAAGGCTCTCATCGTTACCTCCTTATTTTTCATTTGTGACGGTGTTTGTCTATTTATTGTCACCCTACTCACCTGCATTTTACTTTTGGGTTGTTGTTGACGGGTTGTTGTAATTGTAAATTGAGAAGGATTGAGGAGAGGAGCCCTTAAGATTATTATTACTAACCTAGAACACGCAGCATTTCCGTACTTACATACGTACAGATTTTACACACCTTCTCACCTGTGTACTACATATGTACATACAGTGAATATTTTCTCTGGATTGGAATCATTAGATGCATGGGGTCTCAAAAAGAAAGGGTTAATTTTGTGGGGTTGATTCGTTTTGGTTTCTGGTACATACGTAGATAAAATACAAGGTAAATACCACTTGGAATTTCGATCTGGTGGGGATAAAAAACATAAAACGAGAGAAAAAGTGTAATCTGAAGCACAAAAGGATAGGGGTTGAACGTCTTGTTTTATAGAATCGCTTAAAAATAAGAAATACTTGTGATATGTACGTGATGAGACTACATTTTCATAGTTCTTCATCCTTCTCGATCTCTTTTTCAAACGAAGATGAAAGTTATCATTTATCATGGAAATAAGACACCTTTCCTACTCCCCAGCGTTTGTAAAGCGTTGTGTGAGGAGCTTTTTTTAATGGGAAAGACCTTGAAACTGAAGTATCTCAACTAAAAATAATCATTGTTGAAGGCATCCCACACAGCGAAGGTGAACGAACCGGCTGCATTGTTCCCTTAGATTTGAAATGCTTAAAAAATGGAAAAAAAATTCTTGGAAAAGGGAATTTTGAAATTGAAATAGATTTGAAGGAGTCTGAAAGACTGAATTTTCTTGCACGGGTTATTTACCACATGCTCTTTCAGGATGAATTTGAGACCTTGAAGGGTTCATTCCCCTAGGAAGTGTTGAGAACGATAAGAACCATTTTAAGGGAACCATACTACTTAATTCCAGTTGGCTGATGGTCTTGGTTTCCTGGATAAAGTGGATGGTTGGGTTATTGAAAAGGTACAAAAATAACAAAAGATCAGGTGTAAAAATACGGTAAACTTCTGCAGATAATGATGATCAATGATCAGGTTTGTATTAGGAAAGGTACGGATTGCATGCAACGCAAAAGTCCCGTAAGAAGACCTACAAGCCTAGTCCCTTAGTTTGCAGGCTAACTTTAGCTACCGTAGATGATGAGATTATGTACACTGCACGATCCTTTCATGACACAACCTGCACTATTCTTGGAAAAGGTCACAGATATGTAGCACAGAAATGGTCAGAGACAAAAGACGTTCAACGGTGGTCCAGCCAGGGTAATAAGGAAGTGAAGATGAGCATTACAAAAGATTTGAGTCTGCCAAATGGAAGATGAACCGTTTCCCTGTAAAAATACACTTTCAACTTTTCTTCACAAAATGAGATGAGTTGAAACGAAAGGGTACTTGCTTAGATCGGGCATTGACCTGAAGCCAAAGGGTACTCTAAAAACGTCCCTGAAATAATAGCGTGGAATTTCCAGAGATTTTGATTCGTTTCAATGTTATGATTTTTCCAGGAATGCCCGTCCCTGCTAACTGTTCTGCGAGAGATGACAAACTTCAATGCGCCTCAATTTGTAGACAACTTATTGAAACAATGTCGCAATCAAATGAAGATTCTCCACTCGTACAGACCGTAGTGTTGGTAAGTTGGATATGCAAAAAAAAGATGTTATGACACTTATGCATTCGTTTTATGCAAGTTTTACTTTACAAGGCTGCAACGAGGACGTTAGCTTGTCAAAGGTTTAACGAGTCGGACCGTGTACCACTTCCGAGAACAATTGATGCTTCTCAATCTCACGTTGCAAAATTGGATGGGTCTACAAACCAGTGGAAATTCATGGTCGGGCCTGCAGCCAGGTCAGATATCAATAATGAAGCGGAGGATGACGAAGAAGAAGATAACACGATTGGCAGACTGACCCAACCAAAGTATCTCGGAGGATTTTACCGATTTTGCGATGAACACTGGATTTACGCCGGCGTTAGTCTACATGAACCTCTGTGTTGTTTGCAACATTTACCAAAAAAGTTGGTTTTACTTTATTACATATTTAGTACAATTATTTATTGACTCAATTTCCCTTCAATGTTTTTCTCTAGATGTCCACCATCAAAATCTCAAGCAAGAAACGGTCGTCGTCCACGCCTAATTATTCGACGCTGTAAGAATGACGACTGTTCTTCAGAGGAGGACGGAGATTTCCAAACTTTAGACTTAATTACCGAGAAACCATCCTCAACCACGACGACAAAAGCGCCCCCCACTACGCAAGCCGTTCCAAATTCCGATGAGGAAACTGAATTTCCAGACCATCATGAACAGAGTGATGATGCAAATGCTACATCGTCCGAGATGGATACCATTAATCCGTTCGATGATACTAATAACCCTCCTGTAAAGAATAGGAAACCCTTGAACAGCACTGCGGTTGCAGAGGCGTTTAAATTTCTCACCTCTCTCATGGATAGCATTGGATACGGGGATGTAGTTCAAGGTATTATTTATTTTTAAGAGTAATTAATTAATTAGCATTTATTTGACCACTTTGGTTATTATTAACGCATTATTAATAATGATTTAGGGATTACTTCTGTGTTACCTGCATCGACTGCGGCTGAGCTAATTGATCGTGTCGATGTTGGTGGATGGGTAAGCCGAGTCTTAATTAACAGATTTCCGACTAATATTCAATTCAATTCCTAATTAATCAATGAAATTATTTTCTTTTAGGTGAGCAATTATCAGGATCGGTACATGACCTGGCCTCGAGAATTTAGCATGGGCTACTGCTACTTGGAGTATAGCTTGTTCAACATGGCCAACGAAGGATTTTCCGCCACAGCAAATAATCTAATGAACAGATTGTTCAAAAATCAACGTTCGGGATCATCCTCCGGTGGTCCGTCCAACATGAATCTGTTGAACACACTTGGTTTACCTCCGCATCATCAACCGCTCGGAGAACTTTTGCCTGGAGGTTCATCTGGAACTCCAATCTATTCAAATAACGTGAACAACGTCAACAATTATATTTCTCCAATGGCTCCACAACTTCAGGACAATGGCGTTCCCTATGGCGCCTACGGACATCCAGGTATGCCTGGAAATAGGAGAGTTCGAAGAGGTGTCACTGTTTCTAGGAGTTACTCAGGGGTGGGAGAGACCACCGGAAGTGATCCCAGCAGACCTACAGGAATTCGAAGAATTGTGAGGAAGAAGGTCGTCCCTCGAGCAAGGAATGCTCCATCGTCAACTTTGCTCAACTCTTCAGTTTCACCTCAACTGGTGATCACTGACCCCACAACGACCACCACGACCACTTCTACAACAACGACTGAAATTCCAGAAATCATTCTAGGAAATAGAACAGTATCATTCATTCCCAGCTCTTTTGTCCCATCTGAACCTTTGATTCCGCAACAACATTCGTACAACCCCCACAATTCTCAGCCCCAACAGCAGCAACCCGTTTCTCTCACAAATCCACACTACTATCAGAATCAGTACTATCAATATGAAGTACCCCAACACCAATTCCCTACTCCAAATCAACATACGCAACAGGGTTACATCCAGCGAAGCCATCAAGCTCAACAACCGCAAAATCCTAGCCTTGTAGAGTTTGCAAGACCGCGTCGCAATCCAAATGCTCAACCCGATAACCACCACGGTGGAAACTACCAAAGTCACTATCAAAACCAACCAATGGGTCCTCCACCACTTCCAAGATCTCGACAAGCACAACCTCAACAACAACAACAGCAAAATGCTAATAAAAAGGAAGGACCTTCTGCCGGAAATTTGATGAATATTGCAAACATGTTGATGCAAACTGCAATGGCTGGAAATAATAACAATAATGGCGACCAAGTATCCAATATTATGCAAAATGCGATCCCTCTCGTCTCCTCTGTAGCGACGAATCCTGCCATTCAAAATATGGTATCCAGCCTGGTCACAAGTTTTTTGACCCCACCACAAAAACCAAGCCCTCCTCCACCAACTTCTAAACCACCGACGACAACACCAGCCTCTCAAAACCTGGATGATAGTTATGAACTTAGCGACGACTCTCAGGAAGATGCTCGTCCCGTGAAACCAGTGAAGCAGGAACCCGAGTCCAATGAGATTGACAACAATTCTATCACATCCTCGTCATCCAGCAATACCAATGCCAAACCCACAAGTCCACCCCCAGAAACGAGTGGTGGTGGAGATGGAGGTGGTATGCTTCCCAACCTGTTGTCTCAAATGGTGTCCACTTATGTCAAATACTTGCTGGGTGCTGGGGGCGGAGGTCCTCCACCAACAACAAAACCTTCTGGAATCAATAACAGACAACCGCTCGCTGGGTCAAGCAAACCTTCATCTTCCGAACCAAAGGATATTGTGGAAATGATTTGTAATGTGAGTGTAAAATCAAATTTATATTTCAATCTCAAGTTAAATTGATGATTGTATACTTATTTTATACTCAGGTCGCCAAGCCGTTCTTTATGTCATATTTCGGAGTAGTGCCAGACGATCCAGGTTTTGGAAAGTTGAGGATCAATCGAAAGTAAGCATTCACTCAAATTCGAAATATTTAGACTTGCAAATTATTCTTTAACCGATAATTCTAATTTGATATCTTTCCAGTGGACATAGACATCGCTCAGACAAGGATGGCCATTCATTCTCAGCCAATGACATTCTAACCAACGATCCTGACCCAGGCATGTTTCCTTCAATTGTAAAAAAATATCCTCAGTCATAATTAATATTGAACTTCTAACCAATTATTTTCAGGTACTGGAATAAGTGACGTGTTCTTTGGGTCTGCAAACATTCCTGAGACGGGAAATGGCGTTATTGATTTTGGCAACCGCGTCGTGTATGCATTCCATTCCGCCAACGATGCACAACATGGTCTCTACTGTTTCAAACAATATTCAGTTAACAAGGTTTGTGACTACTTTAAATAATGATATCTGGTAGGATGTAAATTAAGAAAAATATTCTTATTTTATAGGTGTGGGACTACTTCAAATTGGGCGTTAGAGCAGTGTTTAAGAAATAATATACTACATTATGGAATGGACACTATTTCTTTAAACTCACAATCTTAGGATGACACCGACTGAAATCGTACAATACATTTTTAGGGATATTTAGAAATAGTGCAGTTACGGTTGTGATACAAGAATGACCAATTATGGACCAATTATTAGGAGATAAATCAACCTTATCTTTCGCATCAGATAAAAAGTGGGCAAGGAATGAGATTAAATGACGAGACTACCTAAATACACTAATAACTGGACAGCTTGTAAAGTAGAGAGCACATGTTTGTTGTACTGTACATTATTCTAGTCAGGATTTTGCATGCAAAGTACCGGAAGTACCATAAAGTGGTCATAGGTCATTGGGGTGGGACAACACTGAAGCTTTCGTCACGCAATATGAAACAACAGCCAGTTTCAGCATGATTATGATGCACTAACTAATAATCAATCATTCATAATAACACTTTTGGGATCACGTGGGGGTTTAGTAAACTAATCATTCATTCATAAACTACTACTAAATAATAATAATGACAATTGAATTGGACGTGCCAACTATCTGTATATAATTTGAAGACTATTTAAGACAATTTACTTTTTTACTCACTACTTTGACAAGAAAACCTGTACAAATCAGCTTTTTGTTGTAATATGGTCGACATTATTTAAATGTTATGCATGTTGTATTATCGGTATTATTATTTTATGGAATATGTGAATATTTATTTATTTATTGTATGCAATCGTATTCTTTACTTTGTTAGTTGTTTTGTTGCTTTGTTGAGTTGTACAATAATAAAAACGTAAAAAACGCAATCATCAGTTACAACTATACTTTATTTACTACAGAACACTGGATAAAGCTTTAATCCCAAACACCACAAACATTAAGTAATGAACCAAAACTATGTGACAATCTATATATTGGACTAGTATATTTGGCGAGAACTAGTCAATCGTTTGTACTATTTTTGTAGTGCATAGTACCATACTTGTTGTCTATATTTTTTCAGTATCATCATCACCCACGGAGAAAATTATTATAATAATTTATACCGTGAGGCTTTTTCGTAAATCAATTCTATATGAAAGATTACTTACTCATTTCCACCAGAACATTGTATATGTATCAGCTATGAAAACTCTTAGCTGTGATTGATATAGCATCAAATTAAATTAAGAGTTTTAAAATTATGACAAATACTACTATCTATTTCGAGTCTACCCTATTCACTACACATCTCCCCTCCTACGAAGTATTATCAAACACATCCGTCATCTTAAATCAGAAATTGTAAAGTTTCAAAATAATATATTTATATGGTGCAATGCATGTTCTGCATTAATTGAAATACTGTTGGATGTAATAATCAAAACACAAAATCCTGAGAATATGAAAGTATTTAAATACCAAGTATGATATATATGGGAATGTGTTAGAAACTCATTCCATTAAAGGTACATACTATTCATTCAAGTTTTTTAAGCGTCATTTCTTCCATCCATTCCTAGTCCGAGCCCCAGGCGTTCCATTCCATGTCTGAGACGAGTTTGTTGCTGAATTTGTTCCGCTACATAATTAATTCGCAAATCCAATTAATATAATTGTCTCAACAAATAGTCTCTAATTAACAAATAGTATTTCAAATATTGGCGAACGTACAGTAGCCATATTCAGCCCCATTAGTTTGTGCTGGCATCCGTTGATCATAACATGTTGATGTCATGGCTGGGCTCCAGGCGCCGTTGAATGAAAAAGTTGGGACCTACATTGATATTACAATACGAATTGTGCATACAATTCAAAGATATATACGGTAGGTCAATTAGTGGAAATTGGCAATTACCATTATATTCGCCTGATTTGTTGGAGGAGTATTTGGTGGGTATACAATTGGGTGATAAGTCCAGACGACTGGAGGAGACACGGGAGGTGATCCTGGGCTCAAGGACTCTCCATGCATCCACATGTCATAGATCTGCATATTGGTAAGCCATTCAATTGTTAAAAATGGAGTTAAGCAAGTAATTAAAGCTGGTAAACTTACAGGAGGACTGAGCTGTGGAGCTCGGTCAAAAGTAAATACATCAGGCCCTCCTTGTTGCCCCCGTGGTATAAATGCAGGCGATGAAAGATATAGTGGAGGTGGGGGCTGAGCACGAGATCGCTTAGGAGACTCTGACCATTGTCCAGAAGAATCCATCTTCAAGTGATTATTGTATGACCTGAATTGATCCACCGAGTGACATCGGCTGTTATTATGGTTAACATTATTTCTATTCTGATCCTTAAAGCCTGAGGAGGAGTCAATGTTCCGTGGTCGAGAGCTCCTAGGCGTTTCATGGTAGGAAGGTGACGCTAACGCAGAAGTATCCAAGCCACGGACACAAACTTTTTTGGATCGGTGCTTTCCAACTACCTGGACAACATCAGGTATTGCTTGCAGTAAGGCGACAATAGACGGGTATCCCATCCGTGCAGGGCGCAGTGGTCGTCCATGCCTATAAAAACCAAAACACAATTGTAATGTGTGTGTTTTGTTTGATAAGTGTGTAAACACATCAGTAAAACGTACTTTTGTAAATAAGCAGCATCCACATTAGAAACAACAAGACTGCCACCCGCAGCTTCCAGAATCTATTAATAATAAATTACTACTATCAATATTATGTTATAATTGAATATTTCTTAATTCATTTGGTATCTAATTTTGTGGAGGACAATGGAAAATAAAAATAATTATTACCTCCAACATTTCAATCGCAAAAATGCGAATGGGGGCTAATTCAATAGTTGTTTTATCATCAAGGGTGGAAGCAGCACCAGGCTCAGAAAGTATTAGCATGTGGTTCAACTGTTTTTTAATTGTTTCTAATTCCAGGGGAGTATTATACGTATCGTTGAATCGTTTCAAGAAATGTTCCAACTCCATTTTGTACCCTGGAGATTCTTCCAAAATTAAAACAACATCTTGCATCAAGCACCGAACCTTATTCTGATCCACAGGTGTCACAATTCCATTATCCAACTGTATTGACAATAATTAAATTGTATTACTGAAACTGGTATATATATATAATAAATAAAATAGCAAATAAGATCTCTGTTTAACCTTTATGAATGATGACAACTTGTTTAAAACAAGATCTTCAATACTTTTCGCATCACACATTTCCGGTCGAAGGTGAAATCCAAGCTCATCAATGAACAGCTCATCCAACTCGGTTAACAAAACTTGTTTACCAGCATCAGTATGCGTCTGGAGCAAGTTTCTTAGCTGCTCACCCACAACCTGTATCATTATTGTTCAAATTTGTAAGTGGTTATCAACACAACATTAATATTGTAAGTTGAATTACCTTTACTTGTTCCTGAGGTACAAGTCGTACCATTTTATCATCAACAGTAAAGTCGGAGGATGGCCCTGGTGGAGCGACGCAGACTACTGTGTCTGCAATTGCTTCAAATAATTCTGCAAGTTTCGAAAACCCGTAGTCCGACACGCGACACTGTTTCCCAAAGTGATGGTGATATGCAGGGATGAACTTGGAAAATGGCATCTCATATCGTATTGAATGTCGGAATAATTCAACAACCTTGATTGAATTATTGAATATCACATATTATGAAACACACAAAGAATAAACAACAGAAAAATATAAAGCTACACAAAATTAATATATTTTGAAATCGTGCAGAGTATTTTATAGAAAGTGAAACACATCATCCAGTAGACGAGGATTAGGTTTAGTTTATTTCAAGAGTGGTGTAAATATGTTGTTAGTTAGTCAATAATTTAGTGTACAATTAATTAGTCACAGTTGGGTATTGAGAGAGAAGAGTCATCAGAGAAGAGTTTGTCATTCGAAATGTTTACCTCGGAAGCAAAAATTCTTGTACGATGGATTTCCTGTGGGGTTTGCTCTCGTTTTGGAACGGCCAGCATTTGATTTCCTCCTTCATCTTTCACCAATGCGACCAAAGTCGAGTTTTCCACCAATTCGGTAATCAGATCGGAAAAGTAGCAGAGACCATAGTCCTCTGGAAGAAACTGACGATTCGGAAACACTTGACTAAATCCTTGGGGAAACTCATCCGTTTTGATTTGCTTCTTGACTCCACCGTGCGCCTTGAGAACACGCAATAAATCTGTGGCAAATCGTTTCATCTAGAAGAGACACACCCCACAAATTATAAAAACATTTCAGTTATGTATGCAATCTAATCTTGCTTGTAATATAAATCGTTGCAATCACACAGCCTAAAGTAGGACATACCTGGGCCTTATGAGATAATGAAAGAATGCGGTTTTGGCCAGCTCCCATAATTTGAATAACGTGAGGAATGGTTTGCAAAAGCGAATTGAGGTTAAAATGCCCGTAATCAGCAACACGGCATTGTCTCCCAAAATGGTGATGGTATGCCTGCAAAATTCGAAACAAAAAATTCTTGAAAACAATTCAACTACGTCATTAAAGTAAAGCAAATATTGCTGAAAAACATGCCGGAATGAGCTTGGAGAATGCCAGAGAACATCTTGGAAAAGTTTTCAACAGGTCCACCATTTCTCTCCCAAATTGAGCAAGTTGAGTAGCAAGTGGTTGAGTTAAATTTCCAACTGATTGTAAAATAATGAAATTTTAAACATCTCTCTCATGTATAAAATATTTGAAAAATATAATCTTATTCACCTGGGTCAATGTGATTTTTATCACAGAACTGAATGCGTTTCATGCCACTATCTGCCATACTTATCTCAACACCGTGGACACAACCGAGAAGGTGCTCCAATGGTACGCCCGATCCAGTTTCCACAATCTCCATTTTTTCATATTCTGCCTCGTAACAGTCCAGGAAACTAGAAATGGTGTAGTAGATTTATTAGTAACAAATTCATTATTCGAGTGCATTTAGGTGGTATTTAAAATTAAATTAATACATCTATTTTTACCTAATCAAAGGCAGGGTCCCATTATGTGAAGCTAATAATGCATTAACCCGAACTGTCAATTGTTTGAGTTCAATCATCACATTTGGTAGCAGAATATCCGCTTCTTTTTCAGCCCAACCAGTTCGGAATTTGCTAGACTCTGTCGATTTTGGCGGATGCATTGAGCAATACAATGAAACATTTTTGTCCTGCAACATAGAATGTCGTTGTTAGTATTAGAAAGTTGATTACAAAAAATTGTCCATTCACGTTTGAATACTTGACTTACTTTTGCTTTCCAATCATGGGACAATGATATAGTTCTTCCGACGTTATAAGTATTTGCATTCTGACCAGTTTCAGATATTGCGACAACCTCCCTCAAACGGTACAAATCAGATGCAGAAACAGAACGACGATATCGTTTTTCGAACATTTCCCTGAATTTAAACAGTGGCAAGGACGAACCAGGAACATCTTGCAGGAGTGATGCTACTTCCTTCTTTAATGTTTCTGGATCAATGTTTGTTCCTGCAACCGAACGAATTATTAGGCACCATTATTTTTAACATTATAAATGATTTATCTGTTGACTAACCTTGATCAAATGAAATGAAAATTCTTTTTGAACCTATTTTCCTCCGATGGAACTGAGCCACGGCAAAGTGACCTTCGTCCTTATTGTTGACACGCACAACCGCACTGACAGCACCGTCCTGACTGATGTAAACCCAAATTCCTTTTACGGTTACGTGTTCCGCAAAAACGTTCATCAAAGTTTGACGAATGACTTTCCAGTCTCCCAAGCTCCCATCAATGTTGGTTACGTGAAGATCGAATGTTTCTGAAACAAAGTAATTATAAAGATTAGTTATAAATACTTATTGTTATTAAGTATAATTCTACGTAATTAACAATGACTGGTTACCGGCGTCTTGTGGTTTTCCTCTCATGGTAGAATTGGAAGGAGAATTTTTTAATTGAAATGATGAGTCTGGAGTACCCAGCAAGCTAGAACCAGCTAAGGCTACAAGATACAGAATGCAACTGATGATGATTCTCCCCACTAAATCAAATGTATACATATAATAATGGAAAAACTTACGCTGCAAATTTTCTATTCCATTCAAATTTGATGTAAAGTTGGTATTTGAAGAATCTGAAGGAGCAAATGGGATTGAGAAAAGTCGAGGGATCACAGTCACCAAACCATTGTTCTCTTGGTTCATTAAAGGAATGTTGTCTGCACTCTGATCGTGTGTGCAGTCCTATATTACATATTATTTAAATTATATATGCATATGCAAATATGTTTTCCACCACCACGGTGAATCATTCTAAATTGTATTAATGAATATAGAAACAAACGTACGGAATTTACAGTCTGCTGTAACGATGGACGAATCGAGTTGTTTAAGGGCGTCGACGAATGAATAGGAACAATTTTAGCACTTTTCTATATGTATGAAACAAATAATTAGCATTATTGATTGTGATGTTGATCGATAATAAATTAATTGCGGCAAGTGATAAGATGGTTTCTTACCGTGTGTCGTTGTTTGTTCGGAGAATCTTCTTTAGACTGAAATACTGATGGTGACAATGAATTTGAAGCAGTATTCACAGCAGGGGAAAGGTTAAACGACGGAAATTGATTCGATATTGGGACCATGTTATAGCTACGAGCAGCAACAGGGGTTGATGGAGAGAGATACGTTTCAGACCGATTATTCCTCCATGTTGGCTTCCAGGATGGTGGGTTCGAACCTTGAGTAAGTTCGCGAACTCTAGGATTCCGTAATGTTGAAGAATTCTCAGCCACTCCAGAGTCTGGATTGTGGAATTCCATTTGAGAAGAATAAATCACGCGAATTTTAGAGCCCAGAACGTCTTCGCCGTTCATTCGCTTCGTTGCTCTATAAGAAAACAAGACATATAAACTGAAGGTAGATAAATAACTTGTTTCCTGACATGAATTGCAACAAACCCCTACCCATAAAACGATAAGAAGTTTCCAACTGATTAAATTTTGATGTTTGAAATATCAAAACCTTTCACAGGAAGAAGTAAAAGTAAAAATTAAAAATTAAATTAGGAAACTCTATTAGATTTCTTTAAACTTTTAAAGAACATGGATAAAAATTATATTCCACTTCCTTCTCCCGTCCAAAGTCCTACATGACTAAAAGAAAGACTAAAATATTAAAACTAAAACGTTAAGGAAGCTGGTTCTTCTTATTCTTCATCCTCTTTAGAATGGTACTGATAAGACGTACATAAATGAGAATCAGTACTTGTAAAATATAAATATGAATATTCCGATCCTTTTAAAGTAAAAGAAACGATTTGCATATCCATTTCTTGGATGAATGTAGACTAATCAGAATATTTGAAATGCTTGGAATACCTAGCATGCTTATCACGTTTCTTATCACGGTATGTAAAAGAATCTCATACATACATGCATACGACGATACGCGAGCCATTCAATCCAATCTGGGCAATCTCATAATCCTACTTGCTACCTCGCTACTTGAGCATTATTTTTGTAATATTTCTTGGTTTGTGTGTTCAAATTATATTAATTTACATACCTCAATGCTGCTTCTTTGTTTGGAAAACGAAGAAGTGCAAACTTTCCTTGCAACGTAATTACTTTTCCACCTGCATTCTCACTGAGATGTTTCAGTCGATTTTTGATGGCAGCCTGTGTCTTTGAATTTGAATACGGGAGGTCCATGACCAACACGTCCATTGCATTTAAACCACCTTTCAAAGGAATGCTTGCTGAAACACGAATAATATTCATTCAAATCAATAAACATAAAAGTCAGCTAGAATAAATGGCAAAAATACGTATGCATACCTTGCTGTGCATTAAAGCTGTCTCGATGAGATGGACGAGGAGGTAGATTTCCAAGCATTTCATGAAAACTATAATGCTCGTGAGCACACAAGAGCAATGCATCTGGTGTATGTTTGTTCCCAAGAAGAATGACATAAAGTTTCTTTCTATATTTTAATAAACGTATAAGACAAATAAGCTCAATACTCTATGTAATGAACAAAAATGCTAAGATATAAGGATACCTACCTGTGTCTGAGATCTGATAAATCGCCCGAAAAATTGATATCGCCAGAAATGAGTATAACTGTTGCTGGAAAAGGACTAGAAACACACGAGTAACGGCCTGAATAAATATCAGAAAATCGTCTCATTGCTTGACGTAATTTCTCATCCGCTGCGTTTTTCGAATTTCCTGACACATGAACTACGGTAACTTGAGCATCATTTAACTCCTGCGGAACGATGCTTATTATTATATGTGATAGAGACTGGCATAAATAAATTTGTAACTTTATTGGTCACCTGAATAATTCCAGGAGATTCTTTTCTAATATCACATACGCATATAAATTCAGCTTCCAAATGACCTGGGAAAAAACGATCGCGAATACGTTGCACAGCTACCAGCGCACTTCTTCCTTTAGGGATCTGTGATTTTAGAATTATTGAACAAGGTGCCAAAAAGTCAAAGATAAAATTAGTCTGGCTATATAATTACCGAGCAATTTTCAATATCCCAAAAAACTCCAATTGGAGGGAGTTGTCCCTTGATTCCAGAACTTATGTGGCATGAATTTTGAAATAATGTGCACATATCTTCACTACTAGCAGGAGTTACTGGCTTTGCAGAACAGCATGGGAAATTGATTGCATAATTAGAATTGGAAGCCGTTGATTGAATAGGACTACATCTTGGTTGGCCTAACATGTTGAATCCATTGCTTCCAAAATATTTCTCTAAATTCACCATTTTTTGAACACCATTAAGTGATTTGTCCACCTTTTGTGCATTTAATTTCCCAACAGGATGGCCGTGTTTTGACGTTAAAAAATTACTAGGGTCAAAACTTGTAAGCTTGAAATTGGATCCCAACAATTCATTGTATATTGCTATTGCTGAGTCGTCTGGTAAAGGCCAAGGCAGTTCGTCATCCCTTTCTTCAATGTGTTTTTCTATTTAATTAACACAAATTCAGCAACACTTTCTCCAACAGTAAATAATTAATATCTATGTACCAGAGTTCTTTCGAAGTTTTCTTTTTGAAGCCTTAGTTTTTGCCTTTTTTGATTTTGCTGAAGTCAGGAATGTCACACTGGCGTTGTTCATTGTTATTAGACTGAAAAACCAATTTAATAATTTGATGAATTTAAAACTTCGTTCTCCTGCAAATTAATCGATATACAAATCAGGAATTAAGCAACTTACTCTGCGCTCTGTTGATCCTTATCTCAATAATTAAAATTAATCAAAACAAAATAATATTGTCTGGCGTGTGTGCGACTTCTATCATGTGTGTATTTCGTTAAATTTAAACTAATCGTCATTTATATTTCTCCCCCAGAAATGTCATCTTACCTAGGAATAAAGTTAAAAGTAACATCTCAGACCAATTATTGCTTGAAAAATGTAGTAATTTTGCATTTTAATTACTTACCTCGTCTCCTGATTGTGCAAATAAATTTGATTAATTTTGAAACTGAGTTTGGTCATTACATAAATTCCGTGCAGAATCACGGCGTCTATTCATAGCAAGAAGTCAAAAAACTAAAAATTTGGACGCCACATAATTGGCCTGTGGCCAATACAATTAAAAGTTTAAAACGTAACTAAATACAATTAACAAATTGGAGTGCACATTTTATTCGTGTTGTTGTTTTTGTTCTATGAACTTGGCGGATTGTATCCAGCGAAACATGGTTTAATTTAAGACTGCTGGTTCAGTCGAGTAATTCATACGTCGATTTATAAATTTTGTTTCAGATTTTATGCCATTAAAAATGAAAAATATGAAAGTTGTGATACATTAAATGAGACATGCCACCGAGAATTAAATGACAAATCAAATTTAAGAAAGTTACCAATGTTTTTGAGACTTCAGGGACAAGTCGAAAAATTTGAACGTTTGTGGCCATGTCATTACAACATACACTCAAAAGCTTAATATGTTTCATACCTTTGGTAATGAACCTTTCATGGTTTAAATGGGGGATGATGAAGCGTTATTCGTAACAGACTAAGGATGTACGAGCATTGCGACGTGACCGCAAAAAACGTCTGACCCCATAAACCAGATCATAAAGATAACATTACAAATGCCCCCCAACTCGTCGGCAAGAAAATGACTGAACTCTCACCTCCCAAGAAAATATAGTAAATTGACGACTCAAATGACTTTAGCGATCGATTTCTTTATTAGGCATGTACTTTTCATAATTTGGAGTCCAAATTTTGGACAGGTTATTGACTAGGCTTCATATTAACGCTACCCGTACAAAAAATATATTTCTTAACTTTTAACGTTATCGTATTAGACTAATATTGGCGTAAGTAGCATCCGGTGAAAGAATTCACTCTTTTGTGGTTGAATGTAAACGAGGTGGAATATCAATCAGGAGTAAATTGTCATTAGAATCATCTGAAATTGTACATGTACATATATTTTAATCATTCAGACTGCATAATTGAAATTTATGTAACGAATTGATTATGATATTTACCTCTTCTAAAGATAGTGGATTTGACTTCGTTTTAGTGTCGAGAGCGTGATACCTCTCTGAATGGAGAAATTAGTGTAAATAATATTTTATTTTTTTACTAAAAAAATAAAAATTTCCGTAATTTTAGTATCTCACCATGTGCCAAATGGAGTCTCAACATTGCCAACACAAAACATTCCGAAGAAAGAACTGCATCTCGAGCAAATCGTAGCACCAGACATTCCAAGACTTTGTTGGACACACCCACTCCCGCTTCCCACAGCATCCCACGCAAATTGTAGCTGCTCGTCCGCCCACTCTTCCCTTTGTCCCACTTAAGAAAAGCGGCCTAAAAGTGGTATAAATTTAGTAAACAACAATTTGACCAACCATTTTTTGTCTCAAGTTGGAGCTTATCTACCTTCCAAAAGAGAAGCATGTTAAGCAAGGCTGGCATATCTTTCATGGACAGGCGACCACTTATGTTGGAGTCTCTCAACATTATAATACTTTTGCAAACTTCTAACGTGGGCTTAGTCCAAAGCCAGGCTGTAAGTAACATCATAAATTTAGCAGTACGAAAAATATATATTTAGTGTGAATATTATGTATACTTTTCCAATTTGTAGTTTTAAGCAAGCGACGAAATTGGACGGCATCTATTTCCTGTGGAAATCTCGTATTCCAACGGATTATAAGATTCCGAGTGTCAGCCTATGAAATAAAATAATTTTCAAGTTTATGTATGATTAACATATGATAAATATGTATATTCGTGCACTGCATATTATCTATATTACCGTGCTGAAATTGTTGTCAAAGCTGTCAAGCGTGAAATTTCTGTACAGAAGATTATCTTCATTTACTTCCCTGAAAAACAATTTACGCTCATTTTAATAGAACACGAACAAATTTTTGCGGTTAAAGTTTTGACATTTCGTATAAAAACGTTTAGCCAAACGGGATTATTTACCAAATATTGCTTTGTTCATCGGTTAGAATTCTTAATAAAAACCTTGCTTCACAATTCGGTTGTTTCGTCTGCGGAATGATCACATATTCTCCTGGCGGAAGTGCAAAAAACGTGGCTGCAAAGTGAATATATAATTTTGTCGGAAATTCTAACAAATCATGAGGTTTAAGAGTAACGCAAGCTAAATTATAACTTACCGACTTCTCGACTAATAGAATGTTGAGTCACATCTAAAGGACGCTGCAAAATACCACATACATATTTATATATAGAAGACATGATTTAGTACAAATGATATTTCTCTGGTTAAAACACAAGTACAAATATGCAGTCAATTTTATACCCAAAAAAACATTTTACATTTTTATTTTAGAGAAAAGTAGCGACAATTACTGTGAATTTTTTTTGCACTCACGTTTTCCATAACAAACTGTGTGGTGATGCGGTTCATGTTGGGTCGGGCTTCATACACGGCGAATCCGATGGCATGAAAACTACTATTTGAAGATTTCTGATCTTTGTTGAACTGATTTGCATGTGTAACTTGGTTCTCAAAAGATGGGCCGTACTGCTGAGTTATTGCGACGACCACATGGCACTTGGTGGTTGCCCCCCTCGGGATTTGCTGTTTGGAAAGAAAAAGTAACATTACATTCCGTTTCAATTTTAGATTTGTATTAAAGTGTTGCCTTACAATGACGAATTGTGGGTTCACTGCTGTAAAGGCTGTTAAAAAATGTAAATTGTTTTTAATAGGTATGTATGCACGTATTCTCATCCTCACTGTACACATAGTACACATTTAAACGACATGATTTATCGCTTTTCTCAACAATTTGTCTTTGCTGAAAGCCTTGAAGTATTCGTGGGAGTGGAAATAAATAATTTTGCCGTGAGACTTTCACCACACAGACGGAAAACATAGGTTTTGGCAAGTCTCATCTGGTTTCAATTGACTCTTTGACATAGTAATAACGGGATGCAGATATTACATACATTCGTGATCAGGACCCCCTCCAGCATTGTATCCCAGTCGCCACCGCCGCTTGGCTAGCACGGCACGCCAAGGTTTTCTCGGTTGAAGCTCTTTTTCTATTAACCAGTCGTCGGGGCCTGTATGATGAGTATGAGCAGCATATTAAATTATGATGACGTTACATAACTGTTACACATAATTTTGAGTCATATTTACCTATATGAACTAATTCCAGGTTAGTGAAATTTCTCGCAAAATCCACAAACGACATCCTAACATTTACATATGAAGGTTTTGCAATTTTCAAGTAATGTTAACAACAATAATTGACTACGTGTCGCATTATTATGCTCACCAAAACTCTCCATCGGCCCTCGTTCTCACTGACAAAATTTCTTTATCCCTTTCGGGCAGTGCTTCCCACTCCATCGACCTTTAATGTACAAGATACTTAAATTCACAAAACAAACGGAATGAGAAACTTTGAATTCACAGAGTGGGAAAAACCACAACAAAGTTTCATTCCTTCGTTCCCTCCATTTACTGAGCGATTAGTTAATTTGTTGTTTGCATCACTTTAAATTTTAGCAATATGATAAGTGACACCGAATTACTACGACAGTGTCCTAAAGAGGGGGTGGATCTGTATTTTTGGAAGGACGACAACAATGAAATTCAAATGAATGTAATGACACATGAAGACACCAAAAGTAAGTTGTATGCCATATTAATTAAATTCTGACATAAATGATAATTGATTTTATTACTCAGGGGATCTCAAACAAATTTACTTCACTCTACTGACTGACAAGTACCAAGACGTGAGGGACATGACGGTGAACTTCGGTGCAGCAGAAGATTATCTGCTAAAAAAAACCGAATCGACTATTGGTCATTTTAACAGTGACCCCTTGAACCCAGACGGATGCAAAGTGAAGTAAGTTACAAATGGGCCTACCTGTTGTATATGGAACAAATATTTAAACACATTGAGAATTTTGGAATTACATTAAACAATTAAAAATTCATAGGGAACTTGAACAACTATGGGGGTGGAAAGTCGAGCCTAAGTTGTCCTACTCTTTCCACATTTATACAAACGATGCATGGGTCGCTGACCAATTGAAATGCCGCATACGGAGAAAATTCGGAGTTGTGTGCGCCAAAGCTCCATACAGTTCAGAAGTAGTTTTGGCCAAACACGCTGCAAAAATCGATCATCATTTAAGACAATTTCTCCCTCGTCTTCCTCAAATACGGGAGGATTATTTTAATAACCCACCTCCTCCTCCTCCAGAAAAACTACAAAACCCACGACCTACACCACCATCAAATGAAATACGCCGATGCGAGTTGTGTTCCGAAACTCTAATTGGTTCTGGGGAAACTCACACTAATCACATGAAGGTATTCCTTTCACATCTAAGCAGTATACGTTTTATTTCATATGCTATTTATTTGTTTAGAACTGCCACTACACTGGACCGAATGCATTTCCTTGCGATTTATGTCCCTGCAGTTTTCTAAAAGCAGCAAGCCGGAACGTACACCGGGGGTTGGTCCACCGAGGTGCAGAACCACAAAAAAGGAACACGTTCGGTATTGTGGACATTACTGACGAAAATGCTGCTAAATGCGATGTCCATCTGGATCTTATTACCAAGGAAGAGGAAGGGTCAAAAGCGACCAAATATAGGTGCCTGTGGAGAGGACTAGAAGGTGAAGAATGTGGAAAAAGTTTGAAGGGGTTGACTCTTGCTCGGTAATTCACGGTTTTTTTATTTTATGGGAAACGATATTATAAGATCAATTTAATTATCTTTCCAGCGACCACGTCTGTTCCCATTTAGGACTTAAACCTTACAAATGCCCTGCGTCTGGGTGTACTTTTGAGACTTCTAGCTTCAGGTCGGCTTCACGTCACTACAGAGTATGTGCTTCGCTTTATATTAGAATTCCTAGATCATCTATTAAATATTCATTATATGTTAGAATTCACATGAAGGAAGAGACTCTGAGGAGGAAGAGGCGACTGAAGAAGATGAAGAACCCCCAGCAAAAAGATGCCATCAAATCTACTCTAATATCCACTAATTAATTATTACAATGCCAATTAATTATTACTTTCATTTTGTTAAGATGAGTAAAGGTCCGTTTAATGAATTATTAATTAAATAAATTCACAAAAAAAATGTGATCATCAACGTACCTTTCGGACCACGGCCCAACCCACTGATTCCTTCCAAACGGTCCACCTTCGAAAAATATTAAAATTTAGGTTCGAAAATTGATCTTTCAACCTTTTCAGAAATCTTGCATATATTATTTTATTACGTAGTCGGACAAGTGGTGTTTCTCCAATCGTGGTTGACCCATTTCCAGTATCGCGAACCCGAGCTAACCCCGTAATATCGTACGAGGAATGCGTGACCAAGCCGTGTCGAAGTTTTAGGGCTCGTCGTTCACGATCCTACATTTAAATTGCACAAACAAAACCACTAATGTACCAACATAACATAGCATCTTGGCCATTTGAAAACTGTTTGTTGAACAATTTTGCAGCAATTATTCTCCGTTTAGCCCTGCGGAATTTGCTAAATGCTCATCCGCCGATTCATGTTACTAGTTTTCCTTAAGCTATCCCATTAAAAATGAATATCTATGTGCATACAATACATGTGTGCACTAGTTAAAAATTCGTGTTGGTATATTTGCTGCTACATAAATACCGTTGGATTGTTGGTTTAAAAAAATGTTATAGAGAATCATTGTAAAATAACCACAACCATCCGTTTCATCCATCCACAATCAATCACCTTATACAGATCGCAGTTAAGCTTGGAATTAGAAAACCCTGAACAAAGTGAATTATGATTGTGCAGCATCAAATATTTCACACATCTGCCACATGCATGACTCGGCCCGATTGTCACTTAATTTATTTGCCGACTAAATTATAAATACATTTAGTACGAAAGTACCAAACCAACGTATTTAATTGTAAAAAAATAGTTAAGATATAGCCGGATGAGTTCAAAGGAATTAAGGAATGATTGATGGATTAATTGTTAAGAAGATTATTAAGTATTCAGCTTTTTAATGTAAACAGATACACTCCTATTTTTCTGCGCAACAAAGTAATCATTTGAATTCTAATGTGATATGGCACCCTGTAATCCTTCCTTCTCTTTGTGTGTGCCTTCTTGTTCATTCATGGCAATTAAATAACAACACTTGTGATGAGAATGAGGGATGAAATTACTTACGTTCCAAAACTTGCAAATAGATAGAAATTACCATTCACATTGAATTGAATTCTGGTATTTGAGAATAGCACTTTATTCTTATGAAGAGCGTGCTCAAAGCCAACCTTTTTTTCGCTCTTTGACTTTATAGTAATTCCTTGATTTAATAGTTTTGACTTCTCGACCGGTTTGGTTCATTCTTTTAGCAGGGATTTTAAAATTATATTTACATTGAGCATTACCCCATGAAATTTATGCGCTACATGGGCCCCATAACTTGATGGTAAAGTTCACCCGTGTTGATCTTTATTGATGTGACGAGGACTTGTATAGTGATCATCAGGGATGTTAACATTTGACCAGTTTATGTATTGGGTAATAAATTGGATGAATAAGGAAAAGTGATCACCTACACCGTTAGATTTGGATTTATATGATGTCGTGAAACTACTAATCAACTGATAATTATAGTAATTGAAGCTAAATCTTCGTGCACCTGTGTGTGGCAGGAGCTTACTGGAGTATAATATTTGTAGTGGTTGTGATCCTCTAATGGGTCATATCAGTTAAATAATGTTGGACATATTTCAAGTTGAGTCATATTATTAAAGAAATAAATAGTGGATTATTACCGGTAAAATGGACGCAACTATCAGGCTACTGCGAGGTACGGCGGAATTTAAGACTTGGTAAGTTAGGTATCGGTCCTGCGCTCCGAGTTTGAAACTGTGGACAATTGATGACGATTAATATAATGTAATATAAGATAACGTATAATATGACATACGATTGTACGATTCCACCAGATAAATCTTGCAACGCCCGAGCACCACTCCCATCGTTCAGTCGGTCATAACCACCGTAAAATCTGGGGATGGTAATAAAAACATGAAATGATGAATGAATGACTAAAATTGAGACAACTTTTACTGCCAATTGACTTACTTGGCATACGCTTTTTCCATTAAAGCTGGCCAAAAATCGTTTAGTGATGGATCCGAGCAACATATTCCGACAGGCCGACCCCGACATACAGGTAACCTGTCATCCTAGAATTTCATTCATAGAGTATGAGTACATGTACATATCTACCCTAATGACTTGTTAGTCTCGTATTTGTTAAGATGAGTTGAGGTCCCATAAAAATAAGTTTTACAAATGATTTTGTAAAAAAACTACTATTTCGGACCGAATTAACCGTTTGTAAAACTTTTTTCCATGTATAAGCATATGTTGTACTTACGACACAGACCTCCACCCACTGACCAAATTGCCAGAACCGAAATCTGCAAATGAGTTTTAATAATACAGATGCAATTTTTATTTTCTACCAGGGTTTTCGCACTTGGGGTATAGTAACGTTAAATTTATCCCCTCAGACAAACCCCCAAGCAAGTGCAAAAAAATTGTATATCACAATACCTAAAAACGCCACAGTATCCACTTCCAAATGTTTGATCCAAGGGTACATTTCTTTCCAAGAGTCGTGGCGTCGTAGAGAGGGTGGTCAAAGCCAGAAGTAACCAAATATCCCCTTGTAATCCCATCTCTAATTGCACTTTCCATGGCTGTTCCCCCGCAAATCGGGGATGTGGCGTTAATTCCTACAAGCGAAACATTTATCATTTTTTTAACTCCTATCACATCACATCACAGTTATTTGGCAGTAATAACGCTTAGCTTACGTGAGGTCTCAACCATACAATTGGATGCTGTAACTTTTTATTTTTTGGCAATAATTTATATGAAGGTGTGAAATCTGGATCTTCCCATATCACCGCTCGCTCGAGACACTGTCTCTTGAGTTTGGCGTATGGCGTCGGGATTCTATTATTCACAGTCGCATTTCTCTCAGTTGTCCAAAACCTGTTAATTTTTAATAAAAATTATTAAAACAAAATGCATTATTCTAGTTTTAGATGACAATAATGCATCCTTCATAAATCATCGAATTTAAATTTGCATCGCTGAATTTGGCAGTATGCTGATCATCATTATGATGAGAATCACGTGAGTTGATGAGGGTGAGGTCTTTTCTTTTTATCCGTTTTCAAAACAAGATCATCTCTTAACAGGTTTTTTTAAAAAGTGTACTTATTTGAATTAGGGAGATGGCAATTTCTGCCAATGTCAAAAAAACCTGAATTATTCCAAATGAACATGATGAATGGCTTCTAAATAAGGAATGTTCCTTTCTGTACACCATTTAAATTCGGCAAAGTTGTTTGCCTGGCTTTTCTCAGGGCTCGTTTTAATTAATGGTTTGCGGGATTATTGGATGGTCATAATTTACTGTCTCTGTTGAACAAGTGACCAACCAGAAAGGTGGTTGGAGACATATGTATTGTTTTAAGAAATCGCAATGAGACTAATCCTCAGTATGACGATTATGAATGACTTGACCTGCTGTCTCATGAAAAAGATGACATATTCAAACCCTCAAATTTTGGCAATATGTATGTAGTTATGTGTGCATACATATGTACATGAATCGTCTGGGAGGTACGTGGGCCGGTTGCGGCTGATTAATCGAAAACAAATCCAATAACTTCAAAGCCAAGTTCTCATTTACAAATTATGTATTGACCATTGGAAGTTATTAGTATGCAGACGTTGTCGAAGCCTCATTACTCACGATGATAAGTCGCTCACTCACGTTGACCGCACTTACAACATTAGAAAATAAAGTCAACGATGAGAATGTGTATCGAATATCGATTCATGATGCTGATGAAATTGAATCTGTTTTTAGGCTATGAATGACAGACAAGATGGGTTGATTTAATTTATATTATGAAACGTGTCTGCGTAGGAAGCAGTTCAACTTACATGTGCACAATTAACTACTCAAGTTTACTTGTCTCAAGTAAAACAACGGGACATGTATGTAAAGGTTAATAATCCAGTTAGTTATGATGAGTAGTAACCAACAAGGTGAAAAGTTCGGGTGCGATTAAATTCACAAGTGAGTCAAATGAGATAAGATTTTTACTGACATTAATAAATGCAAAATACTAATAAAAAGCGACAAACCTGGATAAACTGGTAATTCGCTCTTCTGGTCGAGTAGTCCCATTCCCATGGTGGACTGGGCCATGACCGTTTACTCGTGGCCGGTTGATCCCACCGTCTGAAAGAGGCAAAATTAAGGAGGCTTTTAATATGATTCATCTATTTTATTTTTCAACTTGAATTTCAATGTGGCCATTTAAAGTAATAATAATACTTAAATGAATTAATGATGAACTTGAAGTAGGTAAATAAGTAATTAATTTAATGGGAAACACGCTGTTCAATTGTAGCTATCAGTGCAATAAAGCTTTATTATCGGTGTAAATGGTTTGTTGGGACGGGATGAGACAAGAAATTTCTGTAAACATTTCTTGTCTCATGCGTAAAAGTACTTAAATACCTTTAAAGGTAAGTATTTAGGTACATACTATTAGGTTAAATCGTAGCTAGATAGTTGTACATAATTATACACACTCTAAAAAAGTTGCTAATGTGACGTGCCATAATTTCTTTTAGAGATTTGAGGCTTCAGATGTTAAATAAGTTATTGTTCAAATTTAGTACACATATAACTTTTTCGGCAGACTTCTGATTTGATAAGTACGCATTTTTTGTGCAAGTAAGTCCTGTTACGATATACGGTGTCGGTGTGTAATGTGATACGTTTTTTCCTACAGAAATGAGTAGCTGAACGATTTTCCGGCCATAATCTGTAGTAAACTTGTTAATTTTAAAACTCATTGGTCCCTGGTGCATGATGGTTGGTGGTGGTTTGATTGCTCTCGTACTTCTGTGAGAAGTTGCAAAAAATGGCAATTGCCGTTGTCGCTGAAATCTCATTCATTCTTAGACTGACAGCCGCCGCAGCGACGCATTTGATGATTTTATGAAATTATTCGTAAAAATTGTAAACTTTTTCAGTGGAACGGGTGGCTGAATAATCGTACAGTTTCGTTCTCGATCCCCTCCGTCCTCGCCCAAAGTCTCTGGCCTATCATCCGAGCAGAAACAATGACAAACGGTGAAAATTAGAGATGAAATATCATCTCGACGATTCGCTTCAGTATTTCTGAGATCCTTCAACTTACATAACTTTTATCGGCTGGCTCATCACCAGCTGCATACCAATGACTGAAATGAAATGCCTGTACACTGTCTGTACGTACATCTTTTCTCGATTTCCCATGAAAACCCCATGAAATATTGATTTCCTTACATACAATTAGAATAAATAAATATACACCGGTACAGGAAAACCAGTGGTAAATAATATTTACCATTTTACAGATTATGCAAAATGCTGCCTGCCTGCATAATCCCAAGGTTTTTAGGTAAGTAATACTTACTTATCCTCTATTTGTGTGGTAATGAATGATCATTTCTTAATTCAAGTAATCAATGTAATAAAGAATCAAACCCACTGCGCCAGGAATGTTTAAGATGTTTAAATTATTTTATGTATTTTACGTGAATTTCGAGTTTTACCCAAGTGTCAATTTAATCTCAAAAAAGTTCTTTTACGACTTGAGTGGTCAAGTTTTGTGTACGCCAAACTAGAAAATTAAACCACTTTTAACTCATACATAGTAGGAAGAATCTGCATTCCTCCTCCTATGCTTCGTATGAATAGTAAGTAATATGAATCATACGACTTTTGGATGTAAGCACTCTGCTGAAAACACGACAGGTAAACTAATGGATGAAATGATGTCTGTTATTTTATTGGAGTTCCGTTGACTTTGATTCAATTCGTGATCACCTCTGATAACAATTAGCATTATAATATTCCTCCGCAATGCATATGACATAGGAGTCAAGAGGAAGAAGGAGTGAAATCAGCCAAAAAAGATTGACTGCTGCGGTCAACTTATCGGTTTTGTTGGTGGTGAGTATTGAGAATGGAGATGTCAAACAAGATCCCAAACTTGAAGAAGCGATTATGCTAAGTGCCAATCAACAACAATATAAAAAATGGACAATTGCCTCCTCCTCTTTATCCTACGGTTCAATTCTTTGCAGTTCCTGCCTGATTGATGGACTGGCTGACTTTTCAACTTGAACTATCGTTTAATATACCAATGTGCACACATACATAGTTAATAATCGGTTGGTTGGCAGCGGATTGAAATTTTATGCAAATTCTGCATTGTTTTCGGGAAATGCAATTAAAATATATCATCAAACCGAGCAGCTACTATGATCCCTCCGATAAATCAGGAGATTGATATACATATGTATGCATACCAGGGTCTAAATAAAGATGATATTCGTGCCGTCAATGGCTCAATAAATCAATACTAATTTGATTACTGATGCTAATCAAGGTTTGTAAGGAAAGAATAATTAAATCTGATTCAACTTATAAAGACTGGGTTTTAGTGAGGCAGTAAAAATGTTATTAAAATTCAAGCCTCCTCAGTTTTAAGACGTGACTTTAATTTTAATAAATAATAAAACATTCCAACAATTCGTGGGCAAATTACTTCAGTGAGTTCAAAATTAATGATGAGAGGGTGTTTTATTGTTTCAGAGGAGTCACATCATTTAATTGTCAATTTTAATAATCCGCATGTTTGATTACTTACGATGTTTGTGTTCTTGTAGTATTGTTTACACGGCGCAAGAAAAATTAAATTTCCTTTGTGGCGTGATGAGTACTTGCGGTGACAATAAAGGAATTTCACGACATGACATGACTTCATAACGGTTTAAGTTGGTAGGGATTTCATTATTGTAATTAATAGCTCCTTACACTCATTAATAGGAGGCTGGGTCAGACTGAAAAAAATGCGGCTGCATACATAGATAGTTGCGGTCATCGGACGCTTAAGGCTCCGATAGATACATAACCAACGTATTTATAAAATATGATGATCCGCTGGTGTGAGTGTAAGATTAGTGATTACAGATAATTTGAAACTCATTTCGACCAGAATGCTACAACAATGGATGATTGTAATGTGATGTGAACGAGGAACAGCTCCCAGGCACTTCGTCAGTCTGTCATGGTGGTAATGAGGTCTGATTGTTTCGCGTGGTATGGCATGGAATGGAATCTATTTTCTGTTCCAAGTTTTTTGAGATGAAGGCTGGCAAGTCCTACTTACATACTTGGACGTTGCATAATAACTGTTTAATAAATATTCGGACTTATGGGGAGGAAGTTGTGTCATGTCGTGCATGCATAAAAATGTACATAAATATGTATGATACATACATACCTACATACTTATGCAGCGGTCAAAGAATTCATAAGTCACAGCATTTTTTTTTTTTTTTTTTTTTTACTTACATCGTATTAAAAATGTGTGGTGAATTAGCGCTGGAAGAAAATTGATGCGTTATTCAAAACTATGATAGAGTAATTCGCTACTAGCTATTAACTTAACTAGCTCCAATCTCATCAGGAGTCCAATCATAAACCTAATCGTCCTTTTCATTATTACGTATTATGCACTCTCCATTGTTGCCACGAACTGAAAATATCTATGTGTGCTCGTTCTGTTCTGTAAGTAATCTTGGTTATCAATCTTCACAAAATATTATTTATGAAAGTTGAATTTCATACATAAACGAGAACACAAAGGAACATCAACATTTACTAATAAAGTTTTATACTAAAAAGTTATTTTGGATAACAGAATTATCTATCTATGTAGTAAATACGTAGTAGAAGTTTAACATTTGCGTGTGTGCATGTGTGTGGCTGTTTAATTTGCTCTCTTTCGTGTTCAATTAGAATCACTGCTGGTATCGAGAGTCAAAATCGTCGGCTCGTTGTCTTAATTTGAGATGTTATCGGAAAAATAACTGCAGGAGAGATGGTAGCTACATAAGTAAGCAAGCAGCATAGCTTTATTTCGTGTGTACATATTTTTTATCTATTTAAATGGTACTTTCTTGTTCGTAGTGGCTATTTATTTCGTATTGTTGATCAGACTTAAGTAAAAATGCAACAGATTATTGGGTCGATTATGTATAAAAAAAACTTTAATTTATCGTAAAATACGTACATATTTCGAAATATGCAAAGCATGTCCAGATGGTCAAAGAAATATACGCGATGAAATTTTACCACACAAAGTAATTCTGCTTTTATGGCCCTTCTCCATTTCTATCTTTCTACATACATATTCCATATCAACGAGTAAAGATTTGTATAAAACTGACTTTTGCATTTGAAATATGTAATGTATTTATCTGGGTCAGAAGCCAGTAATCCTCTCCTTAAAGAGAAAACACGATTTTGCCCCACGCTGACCACCGACATGAGATGACACTACGTATCTAATGGAACGCCAATTCACCATAAATCGCTTCCATTATTTATTCCCCAGTTATTGTTGTATGACCGCACTTTGCACTATCGACTGACTGCTACTGCATATTTATGTATGTCCACTCCTTCCTTCTTTGAAATATAATCCTCTTCACAACAATGGGAATAAACCTCTTAAAATCTTCATCATTGCATCAACAAGAAAAATCAATTGGATATCGATCATTAAAAATACCGAGAAAAAAATCAATCACACATCAACTGTTTCATCGTTCGTGGTCTGGTCAATCTTGTTAGTTACATTTACATATCAAAAACACAAAGCCTTATCAATACTGTCAATGGAAATTTTGCATGAATTGACTAGCACTAGTCCCAGGAAATGAGTATTATTTTCATTTAATCTTGTCCCTCATTACGAATAATTCATGTGAATATAAATCCAATCCAATCCACCCATTGAACTGTGAGACGGGATGAAATGCAATTAGAAATCCAAATTTGATCCCTGTTAATAGTCGTACCACCAACAATTTCTACTCCTTTTACGGATTGGGGAGGAATTCCAAGTGAGTTAATAATTGTCCATTTCCCTCATCATCTTGTTCCACACTCTTTTCTTCTTCAATAATAATTGCTGTGGGCTACTTTTCCTCTTATGTTCAATATATATACATACATATGAAATGAAGTCCTATAATCAATATTTACATTTTCAGAATAAATAAATCATACATGTACCTACGCATTTAACACTATGTAACTAAACCAAGCTACGTAAATGCGTGAATCTTTTTAACACACGAAAAATAAGGCAATTCTAATCATCCCACAAGAAATGTGACACTCGTGAGAACAGAAAACTGGGGTCATACCATAACCAACAAGAATAAGAATAAGTATTAATCCGCATTCATCTCATCTCTCTCTACATGCAGTAAAAAAAAGTAATATGGTCGGTCACCCAACACCAACATCAGCATAACAATAAGTTGCGAATTTATAAAATCTTTTCGCCAAAACCACAAACAACCCGTCCTTATTCTCCTCTCTTTATTAAAGTAAGCTTATCTTTCAACATCACCACCTATCTACCTTTCCGCTGAATGTATATAATGATGCAGATACTTTTTATGTGATCAGCAGATCGTACTTTATTTATATTCATTCACGTTAACACAAAAGTAACAACGAAACGACGACGAGTCCAGCATTCTTTGGTTCCCTAGTTAGTTATGAGGTTATTGCTGTTAAACATAATTTAATCGTGTCTCGTTCCTTGTAACGATGTTAATCCCATTAATACTGAACTGACGGAGGAAAGAATTTATAAAATGATAGTTTAATCCTCTCTCCTATTTACTATCTAGCCAACCAACCAAACCAACCACCAAGTAACAATTACTATTAAACTATTCACAAATTTTGATCGTCTCTTCGTGTCGTGCTTTATTGTAGATCCGCAAGCAGGGGGTTTTACACGACAATAATCAATAAGCATGTATACCTATTAGCCAGTGAATGAAATGTGCATTAGAAGAGGAGGAGGAGGAAAATGGATGGATGGATAATAAACAAATATTATTATTGAGGACTTGTACAAATAATTGTGCTCTGAGGAGAAGGATCTCATTCACGGGATGACAATACGGTCCACTTATTTACTTGAGCTGATAATATAATAAAAAAATTGTATTTTTATAATTTACTGACACAGATCTTCCTTCAAAATGAATGAAAAATAAAACGGATGATGGATTTTTTTAAGTAGGAGACGACCGGCACGACTCTTCTACTCTCTCGATTTTTATTTTTATTATGATGGTGGAGAAAAACTATTGTTGATTGTGTGGATGCAAGTATTAAGAAAAGACGGCAGTATGATCCGTCAACCAGGGATGCCAATAAAAATGAAGTGCTATCGTTTCAATAAAGTTAAGTGTAGGAGTTGAAAGACAAAAACGGTTCACTCTTAAAAAAAAAACGGTTTGATTTAATATAATGAATTGACTTTTCCATGCACATAAAAAATTCTATGTATCTTCATAGCATAAGTATTGGCAGGTTAAGTAAATGATGCAGATTGTTGAAGAGTTTTTCGAATTGAAGAAAGTCTTGATTGTGGTGGTGACCTATTAAAATCCAACGATTTTTACTTGACAGAGTTTCAACAAGGCCTGACTCTTGAGGACTCTAATTGTCTGTCGTAATTACGGAATTGTGTCTTCATCAATTAAGTAATTGTTGCCGTAAATGATTTCTAATTATTATACTCCTCCCCTCATTATTGGTGATGGATTGATTAATTGTTTGCTGCTGCTGTGTATTGTAGCTGCTGCGTATTTAGCAATTCACTTTCATTGTTTAGATTGTGTAGGATTTCTTCCGTGAGTATGAAGCTCTTTGAAATCTTGTCAAAAACAACAATTGAGCCCTCAAACGTCAATTTCTTCTCATTCAATCAGCAAACTCTGAATTTCCATAAACCATTTACCAACCAATGAGGCATTGATTGCACAAGTGGAGAGGAGAAATTCGATTGAACATCGTCAATTGACGAAAAACTGTACATTTTGAGATTTGCACAGAATTGCATAAAATTAGGTAATCATGTTGAAAAAATATGGGTATTGTCCAATGCGAATGAAGATGAGCAACCAACGACTATTGGAAATTTTTATTCTGCACCAAGAAGCTTTTTATGACTAACTGTTCTTTAATATCGTCTAAATAAGTAGTGGTAGATGCTGGTTTAGTATGTACTATGCATCTCTTTTTTACTTTAAAAAAATAATAAATATACGATAATGCATAATTCATATTAAAGTTTGAGTTAGGGAACAGTCTGGGCATCCTAGTGAGCGAGTTGACTTTTTCTCCTCGCCACTTACCAGTAATGTAAATGATTTTTGTCACTAAGACTTCTAATTTGCAGCTAATACAAAATGGATTGATTTCGTTTTGGTGGCAATAAATTCCCAAGTTTGTGCTTTACAATTGCCATGTTGCATAAATTCCATAATAAATCTCGGTGAAAAGTATTGGACTGAAACATGATATGAGTCCATGTTTCAGTTCAATACTTTTCTCTGAGATTTATTATGGAATTTATGCAACATGGCAATTGTAAAGCACAAACTTGGGAATTTATTGCCACCAAAACGAAATCAATCCATTTTGTATTAGCTGCAAATTAGAAGTTTTAGTCGAAATTTTTCTCCTTTTCTGGTTCGCGATGCCCCGTTTGGAGAGTGGGAACGGTCACTCTCAAAACCCAAAGCAACTTTTTACATGCAACTGCCTGCATTGTTTACATGAAAATCAGCTGCTCTCTTCGCCCCGCCCCCCCTCATTAGCAAAAAATCTCTCGGCACACAAGGAGACGCAACCGTCGTCTCTGTCTTTTAGTTATGAGATTTTTTCAACGTATATGCCTTCTTAATAAAGTGATGGGAAAAAAGAAGGAAGATTTTCTTCTCTGTGTCCAACTAATCAAAATTTGCTTGTGTAGAAGGCTACTTGAACTTTTCATGCCATAAAATTGGGCAAGGTATATGAGACATACATAAGATATGGATATTATTGGGAGTGAACTTTCCGACTTAATTTGTCTCTCCATCAAAATTCTCATTAAATGTGATAAATAATCAACATAAAAAAGGAAAGCTATCATTTCATTTATGTATTAAAACTGGGTTCAGGTCACGAAATTTGTTAATATTTTCGCATGTATGTATCATAATTTTAACTGTAACGTTAGTACTGACTGACAGCTACCTGAGGATTCTCCTGAGAGGAGATTAGGGGCCAATATGTTGGTGGAGTAGTTTGATGATGGGAAATCGGCGTGTGAATGAATTATTTAGATTGCTTTGCTTTATTTTATGGCTTAAGGACAAATACCATGATTAAAGCGAAATGAAAGGTCCTCTACATACATATTTACTCACAGGAATAATTTGTAGCGAACAACCTGTATTCTTGTTTCTGAAATATTTTGCCCAAAACTGTGCAGTTTATATTACACGCTTTAATTAAAATTTAACCTCATTGAATTTAGTAGAAGTCACGGAAAAGTTACTAATTAAATTACCAATTAAACCAATTATTATTGACCATTAAAAAAAATCTTACAAAATAATAAATAGCAACTTACTGGGCAATGTCCCATTCGTCCTGGCATGTCCGTTGGGTCTCATCTCAATAAAAAATGTAACAATTATTCATTCACACCTCGCTTAATTTCTACATTTCCTTGAACAAAGTGTAGTCGTACGGTTCTTTCGAGATGCATTTATTATTATTACGTATCACTCATTATGCTAATAATAAATAGTGCACATAACAAGTCATCAATCACTTGATTATTTTATATCCGCTCTCATCTGTCTCTTAGTCTTATAATCTTGTAAGACTGCTATTTATTCCCGTTCTCCGTCCGTATCTGTAGTTTGCATGGATCTTCTCACATGAATTGCAAGCTACTCGTACAATAATCTAGCCCGGAAGGGTTAATTCATTGAAATTCACGTGCACACACACGCCAAACTCGAACCTATAATTTCTTATTATAGGTTTGAATAAAAATAATTACGCCACAAAAATTCACACTGGCATTTGTTTTCTTCCTGAATGGCGACTCGAGTCCCGAGTAACAATGGTGCATAGCTTTTAATTTCTTTGGCAAATGTGCAAGTACAGTTAATTTCCCAGACACTCAACACTTTGCTGTTTCACTTTTTTTAGAAAAAGTTTACCGGCGAGTTAACTTGTAACGTTGAGCTTAATGGACCGAGGACTTTATTACGCAACATTAACAATCCCATACGAACGACAGGACGACTAAAGCACATTAAGCATTCATTCGTGGATGACATTAACAATGCACAATAACAAAGGAAAAAATCTGTCCCGTTGAGTCCGTGGGAAAAATTATGATTAGTTGCACTTACTTGTGTGTCTTGACTTGACTGGTAAAAAATGTCCGCAGACTGTTACATTATTGTTGTTATTATTATTATTAGCATTTGTACACACACATGTATGCACGTGAACAATAATAATCGGATTAAATTTGAAAGATTTCTTCAGAATTTCATTGTATGTTTTCTAGATTTTTCGCAATTGTTGACTTTATAACGTAGTTTCAAACGGTACGCGTAATTAGCAAATAGTTAAAGCAAATCAACTAATTGTAGATTACCACTGGTATTATTATAGTGGGAATTAGCAGAGGCATAGTTTTATCTTGTATGTACGCTATTATCTGCAGGTCTGGTTCTTGATTCAGTGGTTTGATATAATAATAAACCTTGCAGATTTTCTCGTCATAATTATTCTGTTTTGTTCATGAGCTTCTCAACTTTTTAAGAATTGTTCGAGTTTTTTTGTAACTTTTTCTTCAAGAAAGAACTCTGTGGTCCAGAACGACGAGGTGAGGAGGGGAGTAGTAAATATGTATATGAAATAATGCTGTAATAAGTTGTCTGCAAATTAATATATGACGTCGACAGGGATGTATTAAATACGGTAGATTTATACCACTTGTATTTTCGTAGCTAAAATAATAGTAAGAAGAAGCAGAAATCGGGCAAATATACCAGTCAGTAGTGTTACATTTAAAGTTTTAGGATATCTCTGACTCTCTTTTTTCACGTTATGTCGTTATTTCAGGCTTTGATGCGCTGTGTCCACCCTCCATAAAAATTCACGTTACGCTTCCTCCTCCTCCTCGTGTAGAGTGAAATGTAATAACGGGTTCACTTTTTCAAAGAAAATCACGTTTCTCATACTTCCTCCGTGCAAATTAATATGTTCAAGTGCAAGGCTGATTTTATTTTTGCGTAGAGGTAGTAGAATCTGCACTGCACTTTTTCAGCTCTCTTGAGAATAAAATCATTAAATTTAAATTGCCAAATTTTACACTTCACCAAATGAAATGAGTAAAAAGCTATTTGAAGAACAATGTTGCATTACGATGGAAATTTATTTCCGAATCCAATCCATTATTACACTCCTTCACTTTGTTGTTGGAAAGGCTCTCGCACTTATTTACGGAACGGAAGCGTGCTTGTGGGAGCCGGATTTTAAATGCATGCACTCTCTTCGTACATATTTATGTAATATGGATGAGTGTATGTACATGCGTATGTATTTTGTTGAGGGAGCAAGTTTTAAACAGTTTGGTTGCTCGAGGCTTTAAAAACAGGCAAATTAAATTATTTTCCGTTCCTTGTAATTAATGAGCTACGTACGTACAGGTAGCCAACTCCGTGTCGGTGTATGTGCTTACTGGGTTAATTAGAGAGGTGTTGTTGGTAGGAAGGAGACATTTTAAAACTGGATGTCACTACAATTATGTGTGCACCAGAAAAGTACAAGTATTCAAAGTTATGTATGTATTACTTAAATCTTGGGTTTACACAATGATACACATGAATTTTTTTGCGATAATTGCACCGCAATTCGTGCAACAAACTTTTTAAAACATTTTCTCAAATCCAGTCCAGGCACAAATTTTGCCTGTTGAGATGATGCGGTGTGGTATTTGAAAGATGAGACTGCGATTACTTGATTATGTTTAAAGAGCAAAAAAGCCTTCCTTCATTGTCTTTTGCACAATTTGTCCGTCTCAAACTTCACTCGGAAAAACAATACGATTTAAACTCTAGCGCAGGCACAAACGCTCACCGTCTTTATTCTTACGAACAAAACGTAATATGCAAAAATGTTATGTTACCACAGACAAAGTTCGATGGATGGATCAGCGTCCGTTCTTGCGATGCGATGTTGGCCACGGTGCGGCTCAAGTGCAACTGTTGTTGCATTCATGATATCGGATGGATGGATGGATGCTTGTACATACATATTTTAACTCTTTATTCCCTTACCTTACCTCACTTACGTGCTACATGTGGTTGATGTTGGTACGTACATAAAATGAACAGGAATAAGATCGGATCAGCAGAAGAAGAGGAGGAATTGTTGTAAAGCAAGCTCTCGTCTTAAAGTCTCAGTTTTAGTTGAGAAGCCCAGAGGCTGGGAGATAATGGGTTGCTTTTACTTCTTACGCAAGAAATTATCCTTTACCCACCTCCTCCAAATAGCGAGGCAGGTAAAAGTCTAATGGTGCTTTTAAATACTATGTATGTGTTACTGCTCGGAGTAAATAGTAGGTAGATACATACATACGTGACTTTAAGAGACTGGACTAAATGCTGTAATGATATGATACAAACAATCGACAACAACAGAGATAATCCTTTCACAAAACACTTTGTGTTTAGGAAGATTCACTTTTTGTTTTAGTTTGGGAGCTTTAAAAGATTTAAATGCGGAGGAAAAGAGTTGAATAAGTGTGGGTTTATAATCGTGGTGTGAGACAACAAATATTTGCATTAATGGAAATGATACACATTTTCTGGCTTAAAGTTTTAGTATATTTGTCGTGTGTAATGACTGTACAAATTCTAAAAAGGACTTTTTGTTATATGCAAGAATTTTAAATCCTCAGAGTTGAAAGTTCCAAAAGTTTCAAAAGACGAGTGACACAGCCAGACCAAGTTCAGATACAAATCTAAAAGTCTGTTTCATTCTGAAGGGGTTGCTTCCTAGACGAAAGGAAGTAGAGAAAAAAGCGGGTTAAAGCCGGCTGCTTCCTTTTATTACTTTTGTCCATTTTATGAAGGGGGTAGAAAACCAATCTTCCGGAGATCCAGTTTTATTTGACGACATATGTATGCACCAAATACAACATTCGCTTGACCAAAAAATATGTCATTGTCTCCTCCGAGTATATACAGAGTATCAAGTGAAATGGACAAAGTAAGCCGTGAAATCGCATTATGCTTTCTAAAATGGAAAAGACAATACGTTATTTGTGTCACTCACAAGACTACATTTGATGACAAGTCAGACGTACTCCTTTCAAAAATTAACACACTTGACAAATAATTTCTTTCTTTTTTGATTATTAGTCGAGGCATTAAACTTGACATATTTATTTGCTTGAACTACAATAATTCCAGATTTTACAATTTTCGAGACGAGTCGGCCGTTTATTGTGTTAAGAATTTTTGAGAGAAAAACACGTATTTCAAAGTATCATCATTTAATCATTAGTATTATGCTCATAAGTAAATATCTAAGTTATGTATATGGATTAATAAGTGGAGAAACTGCTCTTATTAACACTGCATACTTTTAACAAATACGTATGTACATACATGCAAATATCTGTGCGGGTCATTTGTTTTATTGTTTAACACATCTCTCTCTCTAATTTAAATTTCTTCTGCTTCGGTTCCGCTTCATCTTCATCGTTAAAAAACAACAGTTATAGAAGACGACGACCAACTTCAACTTCATAACTGCGTAACGAAGAAAGAGGAGGATTCGTCGAATTGCATGCGAAACATGCTTTGAGGGAGCACACCCTTTTCGCCACATGCACGTCAAGGCATTTAGCACCACCACACACGCTGCGAAAAATGCATAACTCATCTAGTGAGAGATGGACTAAATAAATCTTTTGTCTCGAAAAAGTTCGACTCCACTATTTGCTTGTAAGTGTCAGTGAGTCCGATTATGTGACTTGGTTTCTTAAACGGTTGCGATGGCCAAGCAAAAGTCGATTTTCATTTAAAATACATTTAAATCACTGGCTTTTTCTATTGTTTTCCGTGCACAATTTTGATTTTGATTAGTAAGTTGTTTGCTTTGTGTGGTCTTTTGTTTTGCATGATCATGCATGAAACAAACATGACATTTGGATCTGACACCTCACCAGGAGATTTACAAACTTTGTGGGTTCTGTTTTTTCGGGGGGTTGGTTTCAAGCAAAAGGTAGTCGTCCGGTTGTCTGTTTTACCTTGGATTGGGTAAAATTTTGTAAAAAGTCTCAATTTAACCTGATGAAATAATTGTGCATACCTGAAGTTGCTTTAAATGTCAAAATTTTGATAATCGTATCCATTTTTCTTAGTGAGGCAAATACCTGACAACGAAAAAAAATTGCTAAGTATGCATTTACCCCACCCAAAAAAAGCGATATAAGTCGATTTCTCGGCCGTTTCTCAACCGATTTTGATGAAATTTTGCACAGATCATTGTTAGGTAATTTAGAAAAGATTTGCTAGTCGACTTGGCGAATTTTTGATGTTTACCCAAGTTATGTGCCAAAATGTGCAAAAATTTTCCCCTGAAAACATATTTATTTTTATGATTCATAAGTGGTGCATCTCAGCATGCTCGCTTATTGAAAATATTTTAGTCAAGGTCATTCCGGACATTTTAAGCGCAAAATGACTTAAATCGGTTGAGAAATAACGGCGTTATTCAAGTTTGAAAATCAAAAATTTAATGAATATATTCAGGGTGCCGATAATAACGGCGGTTGTGCAGTAAAAATAATGTCTTTGACAACCAATTACAAGTTTTAAATAAACAAGGCCCCAAAAAATGGGAAATCTTAGTGAGTCAGCGCAATCACAGTTAATAAATAAAATTAGATTGAATAATTTTTTCATCACCGCTCTCGGTATAATTTTTCCTAGAAGCATTAATTAATCATTTAGAATAATTGCCCCCCCCCTCAAAGGGTCTGGAGATTTCATCTGAATAGGAATTAATAGGATATCTAAATTTATATATCGAAATTGTAGATTTTCAAATCTTTCTAAATTTAAAATTCGCAGTTCACAATTATATTTCATATCGATTAATTTATTCAACTTCTCGTTCAATAGTAAAAACGTCATCTTGTAATCTCAATTAATTTAATGAATGCAAGAGTTCATGCGTATGCAAAACTAAATTTACAGTGGACCCAGTAAAAATTATCCCGAGAGCGGTGATGCAAAAGTTATTCAATCTAATTTTATTTATTAACTGTGATTGTGCTGACTCACTAAGATTTCCCATTTTTTGGGGCCTTGTAAATTCATTATAATCAACTAAATAAATGTACACAAAGACCAAATACTAATTTGAAATTTAGCACACACCAATATGGAAAGTTTAGTGTCAAAAACCTAATTTAAATAAATATTTGTCGAGTCGAGCCCACCACCACGTGCTTTAACATATTTAGGCAAAAGTCAAGAGTAAAAGTAAGAGAATGAACTCTTGACAAATTTCACCTGTAATTAGATGTGACACGGAACCTTACATGGACTTAACAAGCCAAACTCAAATTTAGGATCTCACAAGACAGTACACACTTGAGACGATCAACGAGGACGGAAACAATGTGTGAATTAATTGTTGGTCAGCACTTGTCTCATTTAACTTTGACTGACTGAATAAACCCACTTTTATTGTCAACGATTATTACGCTATTCTCACCCCCAAAATAGCAACTCTATGAAATTATCATCTACCTGACCAGACCACCAAAAGTTTGCAGTTATTATCTCGCCTGAAATTCTCAGCATATGTTGCACTCTAATGAATATCCATCCATAGAATAGAGTCCTCTTTATTAGCCGAGGTGGAAGTGCTATTCAGATGTCATTTATTACAAAGAGCTGACAGCTCTTAATTTAATTGATAATTAACATGGTTTCTCCACCACTCATGGGAATGCGAATGTCTGCAGATCCATAATATCGTACAAAAGGTACACCCTGGCTTCTGGCCATTTCACTCATTCTTCAGCCCTCACTTCACACCAAAAGTTCACTTATGCATTCAACAGGATGCCGATAAACCGAGGCAATTACAGCCCCATAAATTAAATTCTTACCAACTCATCTGCTGAATTTTTATTTCTAATTTAAATTCTGTGTATGAATCCTTCTTATGTTGGCTCTTTAAAAACAATTAACTCTGATTTTGCGGCGCAGCAGCATATATTATACGCAAGTGTTTGTTACATATGTACATGCGATGTGGGGGCACAGTATGTGACCGACGCTGTTGATGTCATGTCCAGTCAAAGAAATAATAACCGGCTTCACAGAATACACTATACACTCCACCTTAAGTGAGCAAAGGCATACCCACTAATTAAAGAATTGACAAGTGGAAGCCTCGTGCTGAGAAAATAATTTCAAATTGCGATTTTGACAAGGTAAACGGGTGAAATATAGTTGTAGCATGTGGCATGATGATGCGTCTTATCGAGGATGAGGGTCTTATCCGCAAACATAAAATTGCAATTAACGGATTAAGCCAGTCAAGTTGTTTGAGTAGTATCCATCCATCCGCCATTTGAGTTCCTCTGATTTGCTGACATGGCACATCTATCATAATAAAAATTTGCAAAATCTGCACGTAGCGTATTATGGGAGGTACTTTGCGGGATTTAAAATAATGGAGTGGTCTTTGTGTAATGTCAAATTTCTTGAAAGATTCTTCCTCATTCTTGCAGAGTGACGATCTTTTTGGCCGGTGCGATATGGGTGTTTAAAACAAGTATGGGATTTTATCCAATTGACGGATATAAGAAACCGGAGAGTGCGGATTATTGGAGACGAGTGATTACTGTAATGATGAGAATGATGAAGACGAGATAAGAGTAATTTTCATTAAAGCGGTTGCTCAGTTCCATTCCCAAATTATAGGGTTCGTGTATACGGAAAAAGTATTGTGCAAATTTTCAATTGCAAAATGAGACATTCTGCTGAATCTCGTGCAATTCTGATTCGTTACATGCCCATACAACAATGTGTGGTTCTTGAACTTTGTGTTTATGAAATTGTTGTGCGTGTAATGATATCAAATAATATGTAGCTGCTTGTGTGGTTTTGTTATTCTTTGATGGTTCGATGGTTTGATGCAAATAAAGTAAAATTCCTTCGTTTCAAAACCCTTCTTCATGATGAAAATTAATATGTTAGAGTTTCAATCTTTGGACTATAAGATATATATTGTGCATAATACTTACTTTTAATTATACGAGGGTATTTTTGATACAATAATGGTTGAATGAATGGTCGTAATAATGAAAATAATTAACTCTGATAAATTTATACTTTTTGGTGGCATTTTCAAGTACTCACATTCTTTTCATCGCCAATTGATAGTTCCTCCAGATTTTATACCAAATTTGCGCCCTCTTCCACTTCTTCTGCTTTCTCCGTATCGTCAACATCAAGTTTGTCCGTTCTGAATACCCGATCTGGGTTTGAAAGCCGCAGCTCCGATTTTATTTCAATCAACGTGGCCTTAAGATTGCTCAGTTGTAGAGTTAGACCCTCTTGACAGCTTTTCACAAATGTGTTGGCTTTGGCTATGTAAGTCAAAAATCAGTTTAATTAATAAAAGTATGTATGCATTTTTAGTGATTTCACTCTAAATGATGAATTTCACTCCAAATGTACCTTCTGGATTGGGCATAATATTGGCCAACGCATTTAATTTTTCAAATTGATCCTCCAAATAGTTTAATACAGATTCTAATTCATCTAAAATAATCATTAAATTTTTTAACATGAAAAAATTAAAGTATTTAATTTTTCAAATTGATCCTCCAAATAGTTTAATACAGATTCTAATTCATCTAAAATAATCATTAAATTTTTTAACATGAAAAAATTAAAGCATTTAATTTTTCAAATTGATCCTCCAAATAGTTTAATACAGATTCTAATTCATCTAAAATAATCATTAAATTTTTTAACATGAAAAAAATTAAAGCATGTAAACTCCGTTTCACATTACGTGAGTTCGTTAATATTTTATTATTATTTTCATTTTAAATTATTCACTTTTGTATGATTTTTACGCCAAAATAAAAATAAAATTTTCTTTTTTATTGAGATTTTAAATTATTCACTTTTGTATGATTTTTACGCCAAAATAAAAATAACTGGCGTCAAATAATAAAATAATTCAGCTAATTCGGCTAATGTGCACGTAATGTGGAACTGACAATGAGGGTATTCATTTTGAGTTCGCATCGTTAGCAACGTTCGCAAAAGAATAAAGTTCCCAAGTTCGCAAAAATAAATTGGATTGAAAATCATTTTGTGAACTTGCGCATCTCCAGGGCTAGTATTTAGTTCGCAAATACTTTTCATAATTTTTAATTCGTGGGATTAATTCGTGGGAACGAAATGTGAGTGCACACTGGTTCCAAAAAAAGGTACCAGGGTTTTCGAAAATTGAAGTTTTTTCATCGTCGAAGTAAGCATCGTGAAGACTGTGAAGAGACGAAAGTGGTGTTTATGCTTCATGTCATCGTCACGTACTCCTTCAAATCCGATTTTTTGATTGGCTGAACGAAATGATCACTACGACAATTAACAATTTTAACCAATCAAAAAATCGGATTTGGAGGAGGACATGACGATTACGTGAAGCATAAACGCACCTGAAGTTGCAGTAGTTGGCATGTAGATTATTACAAAAATTATCACATAGTGGCAGTTCCCAAACCTTTCACTCTCTGATTGACAAGAGTTACATGAATTTATGTCAACTTTTAATTTATTCATAAAGTACTACCAAACCCAGCCTTATATTTGCAGCTTTATAATTTTACGTGTTATTTTAACATAATTAATTGGCCCTGTGTCTCTTCCCATGATGTCGCAATCGAAAAACTGACCTCAGATTCGAAATCAGCGACCAAAAAACTATAAGAATCAGCATTTACCCAACCTCAACAACGTTGAAATAATTAATTATTAATGATGAATTATTTGTAACAATTGTAAACACGGAACATGTGCGGCCGCTTATCTCAGGTGCTATTAATATACATAGGCTATTAATAGCACCCAGTATGACTAGGTGCTATAGTCTATGTTAATACATAGGCTATAGCACTGGGTGCTATTTATAGCAGAACTTTCACCGGGTGCTATTTATAGAACTTATTTATAGCAGAACTTTCACCGGGTGCTATTTATAGCAGAACTTTCACCGCCCTCCAGAGGGTATAAAAGGAGCTGCACCAGAAATTTTTGTCAGTCTGCGGGAGGCGCTCGTGGGGGACCCCTGGGTGAGCTCCCCATTGTAGCCGCGCCCCTGGACCGCCCTGCCTCTTTGGGGAGTCGGGTCCACCCGTGGTTTGTCCCACAGCCCCGACTCTCTTCCCGTTGGAGGGGTGGTCCGGGGGAGCAACGCTGCAAGGGGAGAGCCTTACGGGAAGGTCCCCCCTCCAATGCTCCTCCCACCAAGCAGGCTCACCGGGTGGGGAGCCGGCGGGGCTTGCCAAAAGTGCGGGTGGCGCTTGGCAAGTGAGAGGGGCTCTCTACCTCCAACCCTTGGGTGACGCCGCTCTTTAGCGATACCTCCCCTTGGGGCCGGCCGGGTTCCCGGGTTCGAAACCTTAATGGCGGGTCGATTTACGGGGACCTCCCACCTCGTAAGGCGAGGGTAAGACGAGACCCTCCGGGGGAACGCGGTCGCGGAGGCGGTGACGTGGATAGGGCTTTCCCGGCCGGTGGAGGTAGACCCCCGCGGACGCATTCGGGCGTCCGCGGGGGCCGACCCGCGTGGAGCACGAGGGAGCGACGTCCTCGTCGTGTGCTCTGGAAACGCCCTTCTCAGGGCGGCCAACAGCTCCCCCCCCTTATAAATGCATGGCATGGCGACACATTTCATCGCCATGCCATAATTTCGCCATTTCTCGGCCGATTTGCATCAAATTTGACACAACGCTTCTTATTGGTGTTGTCGACATGTCGCAAGGTCCCACCCGTCGCCACCACCTTGTTTTCGCCAAATATCGTCGCCATATCATAACTTCGCCATTTTTCGTCCGATTTCCATCAAACTTCGACAGAGACTTCTTTTTGGTGTTATCGACATGTCGCAAGGTCACACCCGCCGCCACCACCTTGTTTTCGCCAAATTTTGTCGCCATGCCATAACTTCGCCATTTTTCGTCCGATTTCCATCAAACTTCGACAGAGACTTCTTTTTGGTGTTATCGACATGTCGCAAGGTCACACCCGCCGCCACCACCTTGTTTTCGCCAAATTTTGTCGCCATGCCATAATTTCGCCATTCCTCGTCCGTTACATTACGTGAGTTCATTAATATTTTATTATTATTTTCATTTTAAATTATTCACTTTTGTATGATTTTTACGCCAAAATAAAAATAAAATTTTCTTATTATTGAGATTTTTAATTATTCACTTTTGTATGATTTTTACGCCAAAATAAAAATAACTGGCGTCAAATAATAAAATAATTCAGCTAATTCAGCTAATGTGCACGTAATGTGGAACACGTAATGAATTAAGTTGTATGTTTCTTAGCAAAAATTCATGGATGTGTGATATGGACGAAAACCGAATGAATATTTAACTTTCTGGGAAGACTTATTTCTATTTTAAGCAAAATTGTATACGACCATTAAACTTAATATTATTTTTAGAAATAATATAACTTAAATACTCATATGACCCTTAATGCATACATCCAATGAGAGTGTTTTCTCATAATATTTCCGTCCTACACAAACCTTTCCATAGTTGAGCATGCATATCCTACCACTTTAGGAATAGGCACAAAATGTCGGTTGGTCCTTCATTTTTAAATAGATCAAAGTCAAACGTACTAGCCGTACGAAACAATTAGTACATGGTTGGAAAAAGTCTATGAAATAAATTGTATGGCCTAAAATTTTAAACTGAAATTTTGCATGCTGCATTATGGGAATGTATTACATAAACATGGTACATATTACACAAGTTTACTGGTTCTGACCCTGACTCGGACTAAATAGAAGCACTGCACACTGCACACCTGTAGATTTTTTAAACTGGATCAGATGACGTTTTTCTTTATTAGATTTAAAAATTATGTTGGCGTCTTATGTCAGTTTTACATTAAAAATGTTACACAGATCGTATTTTTGCATGTAGAAATTTGCATACGGCACAAAGACAAAGCAAATCTGAAGCGTACCACTGCGCACTGCCCCTGCATGTTGATTCTTCGTACCGCCGCATTTAAGCCAACCACGAGTTTCTTTGTATTTCTGTGCTTCTCAATGTTTTACTTCTAAAAAATTTTTAATTTCGATTGAATTAACTTGTAACACAGTTGTTTATTATCAATAACAATGAAGGTCGAGCACCTCGTTTGCGATACAAACGCATTTGTGAAAAATATCCCCCTTCACGTATGTGTTTAAAAAATATATTTACACGTGTTTCATTTATTCAGTAATGGTGAAATAATAATGGCGAAATAATTTGATAACCTAATTACAAAATTTCAGGAATTGGGGGAGAATATCTATACCACAAGAGAGGTAGTTGGCGAGATAAAGGATAGTGCGACACGTCAGCGTCTAGAAGTCCTTCCATATGAATTGCAATTTCGAGAACCCCACTCAGAGTACATTCAACTTGGTAATCTATTAATTTGTTTTAATTAGATAGACTTAATTAAGTTTTATTTATACGTGCTTATTTGTTCGCAGTTACGAGGTTGTCAAAAGTGACTGGTGATTATACCTCACTATCAGCTGTTGACATTCAGGTCATTGCACTAGCTTATCAAATCACAAAAGAACAATTGGGACCCGAAGCTAGCTCACTGCAGCTAAAAACTGAATTGGATGTGAAAAGGCTCACTGTTCTGGGACAAGGACCAGCAGCATCAAGCGAAAATAAGCAGGAACACGAGATTGACCACAATATTAGTAAATTAGACGGTGAAAGTGAATCTGCAGATGGCGAAACCAATTCTGAAGGGGAAAGTAGTCAGGATGAAGATGAAGAAGATGACGAAAGTGGATGGATCACACCCTCGAATTATAAACAGAAAATTAAGGAACTTCAGTCTGAGAATGGAGAATTTCAGGATCTGGATGTTGAGACTAAAGTTGCTTGTTTAACCAATGATTTCTCGATGCAGGTGAGTGCCATGATGATTAACTTATTAATTTCTGCCATAATCACAAACAATTTGCAATGTGTACTTGTTTAATTTCAGAATCTAATGATGCACATTGGTATTAAAGTATTATCCTCCAACGGAATGCTAATTAATCAATTGCGAACATATATTCTTCGGTGCTACACATGCTTCCAAACTACAAGCAAGATGGAGAAATTATTCTGTCCTAAATGTGGGCATAAAACCCTCAAACGAGTCTCGGTCACAGTGAATCCGGATGGAACTCAAGTTATTCACCTTTCGCGTCGAGTAAATCTTACCGGAAAGGGAAAAAAGTTTCCACTGCCGATGCCCAGGGGAGGAAAGCATTCCAACAATCCTATTTTATCGGAGGATCAACCAATCCCTCAACAACGCCCTTCGAAGCAAGCTTTGAAAAGAAATAACCCACTGGACTTTGAATACATTGCTGGTACTTACGCTGAACTAATGAAATGTCATACTTTCACAATCATACTTTCACATGTTCCCTTTTGTTTACAGGAAATTCCCCTTTCGTGACGAAGGATGTCTATTCTCGAGCCGCCATGCTGGGAATAAATTACGGAGGCAAGAACTATTGGGAAAGGAGTAATCCCAACGCAGCCAAAAAGACTACAGGGAAAAGAAAGAATCAACATTGATAATTTAATCACTCATCAAATTTTCTAAAGTTGTTCTGGCCTTGGGATCTTGTTTTAGAATAAAGTTATCCTAATAAGCAAATCAACGTGTATGTTTTCCATGCTCATAACCTCAAAGCATCAAAATCCATGTGGTGAAAGCTGGCAGAGTGGGGAAAAAGAGAAAGTTGTGGCTCGATCGAGCAGAGAAAGCGACCGGTGTCTTATTTTGCCCCAAACCGTGCAGGCAAATTCAGAGGCTGAGCAAAGCTCCGTATTTCCGCTCTTCTCGCTGATCACCAAAAAACTGGAAAATCGGAAAAAAACATTCACAATTGTTTAGCTGCCTTTCTTTTTGAAACCTGAATGTTCCAAGCTTCTAAAACTTGTCCTATTACCAAGAATTTCAAAGTGTGTTTGTGCTAATTATTTTTGCGAGTAAGAGAGGAGAGAGACAACTTCTTTTCATTGCGGATTGAAGATTGTTTCTCAAGATTTGTTGGTTAAAGATTTTTATGAGCAAGTGACTGACAGTTAAATTTTTGCTGCATATCGTAACTAGTTGTAATAATTGAAGCGGTGGACTTCTTTGAGTTGGGTTTATGCGGATCGGGGGGCGCCGACGGGACGGTTAGTGAAGGTAATAAAAATAAACAGTAGCACTCGACGAAGTAATTGTATTCAAAGGATGAATAGTTTAGAATGTTTAGTTTGTTATTGATAATCTATGAAATCTTTGCCGTATTTTGTTAGTTTGTGAATTGTGATGTGGCATGCCTTTATGTTGCTGTGCTAATTCATTTGTATGTTTTGCAGGGAGGCGGAGTTACAATTGATCAATTCCAAAAGTTATGGCCTTAGTGGCTCCGATAAGTAACATAAACGTGATGAATCACCCCCACAACTCTCCAATGTTGGGCGGCGGGATGGCCCCAACAACAAGAATGGTCGTGGTGTCGGATGTTGGGCCCCCACAATTTCACGGACAAGGTCCCGGTACGAGCGTTTATCAAGGACATTCTTCAATGATAGTAAGCAATAATCAGGGTGGAAACCAGCAACAACAGCATCACCAGCAAATGAGTTTACCACAGCAGTTTGGAGTTTCAACTTCGACAACGGCTACTGCTCCAGCACATTTTGCTGGAGCATTGTCAAATATAAATGGTTCGTATGGGGGACAGAGATCAGTATCACCAGTGCCTATGGAGGAGGATGACGAATCGCCGCTAACTTCGGCAGAATTGCAGATATTGTCCGGTCTAGATTGGTATTAAATTGATCACTCATAGAAATGCATGCAACTGGTAAAGTTTTGCAATTTATTGTCATTTTGATTTTTTTTGTTACAGCCGGCAATATGGTTTTTTCCTTCCAAATGCTCCGGAGAATGCAAAGAAAAAGACACTTATTCAAAAGGTCAGTATGCAAAATTAGAAGACGACCATACGTCTTTCATTAAATTTTAAGTTTAAATTAAACTAAATTATTTTTTTTCAATTAGGCAATAAGTCAAATTGGTCGCATGCTAATTGAAGAGCAACGCCAAAAAGATCAAGAAGAATCTCCTGATGCCGCTTTTCCTATTCCAATGACCCCATCGAGTAGTGAAGAGAAGAAAATTGTAATTGAACCAAAAACTTATTGTACACTAGGACACTTTAATCTATTACTTGAAGACTACGACAAGGGTATGCGAATTATTAATCGCAATCGTATGCCTTATTACGTAACATTGCAAATAATATTTGTTTTATATAATTATAGCTTTATCCGCGTATCAAAAATACTACGATCTATTACATGGGGACCATTACAAGGATCCCATGCTTCTCTACGGTTTGGGAATGTGCTACTTTCACTTTAACGCGTTTGATCAGTAAGCAAAATTTTTTATGCAAGATATTTGGCTTGTATTTAACATTTGCAGCATGTAAATCATACATACATTAAAGTAATCCCTAAAACAGTGCAAGTTTTTTGTGCTAGTAAGATAGATGAAATTCAGGATGACATTTAGCAAAATCATTGAAGCGTCGATAATTTCATAGTTTGCAATTTATGACATGATTGCGTATTTCGTGTCATCTCAGGTATAATAATACTCTAAAATTGGGCTCATGGATTTGTCAACACGTGTTTCGTTGAACGTATGTACAACCCTTCCATGAAGTTCCATGTCCTGTTGCTGGTAGTCCTTTAAGATCATTCGAGCCACTCAGTTCAGCCGAGTGCACATGTTTTTTAAAGGTCTATATCATTGCCGTAAATTGTCCTGCCTATGATTATGTAACGTAACATAAAGGACGTGTTACTGTATTTTTGTTAGTTTAAAAATCAGATCCTCTCTATTTTCATATGATGGTTGAGTAGAGTAGAGCTGTATGTAGAGCTGAGATTGTGTAGTAGTAGTGGTGCCAATGTCAACCTCTAGAAATTACACCAAACTTCCCCTTCCTTCCGTTCGAGCAATGTTACACATCACATCAACTCTATTTCAATATCCATCCACGTCTACATTTTGTTTTAATACAAGTGTACGTAGCTGAAACTGAGTTAGCTGGAGGTTATACCAACGCTGTAACCGAGATTTTTTACTGAACGCATACATAGGACTGAATTATGCTCTTCTGTTTTACACGAGCCCGAAAAAAAAGAATAATAAATATACATATACTCCGCCTGAACTTGATGTTGATACTGCTCTATATGCTGTGTGCGTGGATCTCGGGGATGATTTGATGCTTATTCAGTTCAGCATCCCTAGAGATCGGTGGACAGAATGGAATATACATGGGATAAAAAATTCGAGAACCTCAATTTCAGTTTGGGATGCTCACTACTCATTGCTGCTGACTGGTAAAAAAGATCCACATAAAGGGAACAAGTTCGCATTGCATTTAGCAGCAGCTGAAATCCTTTTACGAAACGAAATCGGGGGGTACACACAGTTTTAACTTGACGCATCTTTTCCATCCACTGCTGCTGTGGTATCAAAGTAGCTTTTGTGTATGACTTCAGTTCATGAGCAGCTTCTCCTTTTCTCTTCTTAAAACTCCTCTTCCCGTCCAACTAAAAGCAATCCCAAACCAAACTCATTATTACATCCAATCCAACCAACATTGCAGATACTCAGGTTAGTTGGTTTGGTACATATGCATAGCTTATACGAGGAGGTGAGTTGGTATCTCTCTTCTGCGGTCGCTATCTAGCCGTGTATGTAAACGTAGGTTTCAAGTTGAAGTTGAATCTCAAATTGAATACTTTTTAACCCTTTACTTTAATGCAACAACTTTTACATTGTGTTTTGCTTCTCATCCATTCTGTTATGTAGACTATTATTGAGTTGCTCTTTCTTGAGGGCAATACTCTGGACGTCCTACTACTACCAATCACATTGCATCACGAAAACTGACTGCATGCATTATAGCACATTCATAGAAGCAGCAAGCAACCGCATCATGCATAGGATTTTTACTTGATATAATCATTCTTGAAGCAAAACAAACTACCTTCAGCTTTGCCTTCGCCACTCACCACCACTTGCGGCGTGTGTTCCACTGGTAGGAACGAGCATGTAATAATAAAAAGAGAAATGGTTTAGAGAGATCATGCAATATTATCCGTTGGGGTATACGGACTTGATGTTAAAAAGCTTATTTCGCTCGATGTTGCGTTATTTATATGGAATGTATTATAACACACATCGTCAACTGTTGTTAAACCGCTATTCCATCCTTATTACGCTATATTACGCTACACGGTGATACACTCACTCGGATACAAGACGAAGAGGCATTTAGTTTAGTTGTAAAAGTTTCACGCATTTCTGTAAGAGCAACGATGAAGAAGAAGTTGAAGCCCAATATTCTCTCATCGTTAGCTGACTGACATCAGTGTTCAAGAACGAGTTCATCTCGTTCGTTCCTCGTCGTCGACTCATCCCTTTGTGTTCATCATCTGCTGTCTACTGCCTGCCTGCCTGCTTTGATATTTAATTTTTCTCGGGATTATCCACAAAACCATTTATATGTACAAAAGTTGGTTTGGTTTGGTCGTGGTGCATGCAAGTTTCGTTGCCTTGTTTTACTAGAAAGCTACAAGAAAAAGGAAGCGTTGTGTTTTCAAACCAGAAGTATAGTGTGATCATATTATGAGTAAAGTGTTCTGTTAAACCAACAAAATTTAGTAGCACCTTGTTCCCATTTTTTTCTTCCCAGCAGCGGTAGCGGTACGTTGCGTTACTCGCGTTGGAAATTTTAACGGAAATTGGAAACTCATTATTTTTAAGTTGAGTATATTTGAATAGTGGTTTCGCTTAAAGTTGTTTGACGGCAAGATCACTTGTCCTAATTAAGCCACACTTCATATCCGGCCGTCGAAAGTGGAAGGAAATGTGGTGTGAGTGTGTGTGCCTGTGAACGATGAGTGAAATAATGATCTCTAACAAACCAAAGTCGGATTCACTATTATATTACATGTAACGTCGTAAATATACATAACATAAAAATAATTTTGGATATGGTCTTAAAATTCTGCCGTGTTAATTAATATAATACTGCACCAAAGTTGTTCATTCCTGGTACCGGAAGTTGACGTGAGTGAAATTCTTGCTTATTGTTGTTTAGATATAATCCCCTGTAATCTGCTAAATGAACTGTTCAAGAATTTCACGAGAAAAGATTCAAAAGATTTCTCCGTAATCAGAACGATATCACAGCAAACGCATGCATCATGAATGCAGAAGTAGTAGTGCATGCAAAGTTTTTATGAATGAGAATCGAGCAGGGAGCAAGAAACAAGAGGTGTGTCATCTCATCTCTCGCTAAGAATTTGGAGAATTCTATTTGTTTGACATATTGAACGGATAGGTGATAGTATAGAAGAGTATAGTACGCTATGGTAAATGCATAGTAATATAATGGTGAGTAAATAAATGGTACAAGAGAAGGGAAGAGAGATAGGCGGAATTTTTGCTGATTCAGGAATTTCTCGTGTAAAAAAAGATGTACGTAATCTTTTATTCTCGTGAATAAAAGACCACGCATAAGGAAATCCCCTTCTTTTAAATAAGCAAGTCTTCTTCTCCTTGTCCAGCGAACGTGTACTTGCTTACCCATCATTGAACAATCCTGCATCAAATGCAACTGTACCGTAGTTTTTTAGCTCTGTATTGTCTTCTGCGTGCGTTGTTCAGCAAGCAGCTTTGGGATATCCTATTCTTTAAAAAAAGTGATCCTACTTCGTAAATAGTAGTACCAGTCGGTAGTAGTGCAGTAACAAGTATTAGGGTGCAATGCTTTTAGCGTAGTAGTAGCATCCACCAATTTTTTATTCTCTAACCAAGCCCAGCATCAGCAAGTATATAATAAAGCCAGGCAGGTGTGGACCTTATAACCAGGATCGATTTGTGTTTGTCCTGTTGTATAAAAGGCTTCTGCGTATCCGTCCATCGTCTGTTCCTCTTTCCATCCTCTGTTATAATACCACTCGATTTCTAAAATGCTCATCCTGGAACTCAGTAAGTCGAGAAGGACTTGGTGTAATAGCTTTTCCTCCTTCATCCGTCTCAACCTGCAGCTTTGTTGGGATTTTAAGGTTGGATATATGTAAGCTAGCCTTTTCGTTGTTAATACATAATATGATGACCCGAAATACTGGCCTGTGAGACCAATTGGGATATTGCTACACATGCAGCAGGGTATAGATTTATGTGTAATTTTAGTTAGTTGGTTGGGTTTGTTTCGGTTTTTGTGAACGTGTCATATTCCCTACAAAGAAAGAAAGCGGATGCGAATATAATGCGTTTTCTACCAACAATAAAAGATCAGTCCCCCAAACCGAACCGTGTACGTAGCATTCCTTATTCCTCCTCGTGTCTGTGTGTCGTGAATTGAGAGAATCCACTGAATTGAACCCGAACAGGACTGTACTCTGCGTTCGACACTCCGACACCGAAACTTTCCAACCATTCACACAGTACCGTTCTTTTTGTTGAGTTAGTTCGAAGCAGGAGGGGGACGGAATAAGAGCACAACCCGCAAGCATTCTCTCGTCGTCGTCCTTGTTGGAGTTGTCGCTAAGCTATTTTGCGCGTGCACTTTCCCATCTTTCTCGTCTTACGCACTTCCTGTCGTTCCCACCAACCAACTTATCCTTAGCAGAGAGAAAGAAGAAAGTGTAGCCGTCGTGTGTGTGCCAAGTGAGGAGATGTTAGTTGCGTTGGACAGTGAGTGAGCTACAAAGCTGGGTCCTCCTCCCCCACCAAAACTATTAAGGGAGAAAGTCTGACAAGAATTTGTCTCTCGCGTTACATTTACATATTTAATATTAAATAGCAGAATTTGAATAATTCTCTCCTCAACTCTAGCAAGAGTTAACGTACAACACCAGCTCAATGTAATGTAGTATGTAGCGTAAAACTACACTACTGCCAATGCGCAGACCACCAGAATGTGTTCATTTTTATACATTTACACTGGTAAAAAATACGATTTCTGATACAAAGTTTTTATAAACAAATTCTACAATAGTGAAGAAAAAAATGATTCTCAAGTTGTGTGCATTTCTTAATGCCATTCATAAATAATCCACCACTACCACGTGTGTTCATCTCTACTAGTAGACTGCGACAACTGTAGTTGTAATAACTCAACCCACTTATAGAACAGAAGTTGATAAACCAATTCGTTTATATTCATTTAATTACCCATCAATATCAACACCGACCGACACGGACTCTTTCTCTCTCTCAAGTTATACTGTCCTGTTGACGCTGATGAATTTATAGTGTATTCGTTCCTGCTACCATTAACTTGTGATTATTACTCTGCTCTCATATTACATCCCATTACGTTGCCAACACATTAGATGAGAGAG